GTGACTCCCTCCCCCACCCCATGCTACTCGTTTACGATTTTCTACGCCGCAATGGCCAACGTTGCACACTGCTAACGAACAGACAATGCGATACGGTCACGAGCGTGACGGTCGAGGTCGAGGACAAGGGCAGTGACACGGCCAGCCTCAGCAGCCGGAACGGCAGCATCATCAACAACGTTCCGGGCCGGAGATAGTAGCGTGACGACGGAATAGCGCAAATTTTGGTGGGATAAACCCGAATGGAACGTGCTTGGGGCGATTCTCTCTGTCATTGGGACGGGACTAGGAGGTGGTCGGCGTCTAGGGCCTCCGGTTTTTATCTTTCGTCTTTCTCTCGTCTTTCTCTCGTCTGTTTTACGTTTTCGTTTTCGTTTTCGTCTTCTTAGAGCTCTGATGAGCGGCAGCCCCCTTTGTCTACAGCATAGGCACGGTGTACGATATACCCCATTTGATTTTCTTATATTCTTTCTTATAAATCCGTTTCCATTAAAACGCTGTTTCCTCGACATTTTACAATGTGGACAATCCCCTGTAGTCCAACATCTAGTGACATGAGATGACGGTTGCTGTGATAGTCACCGGAGTTAAACTGTTATTTGAAAGAATCAAACATATTGTAGACACCGGCGAGACGCACTATTACCAAGCAGAGCCATGTCTAACGTCAATTCGACGCAGAGTGCCGTATAATCCGATAGGGATCAGTCAGATGTAGCCGCCGGACCTTGTTCTCTCATTCCATCCCACCCGGCGTTAGGCGACGTTGGCCCCGATGTCCTATGGCCTGCCACGCGGCATCGGCGTTTGTAAAGGCAGTATTCCGATGCTTTACTGATGCCAATATGTTGATGACGAACGGATGGTATTCAACAATAAAATCGTAGGCATACTCACGAGCTGATACAAAGGCCTTTTTTATTTTTTATTTTTTATTTTTAATTATTTTTAATTTATTTTTGTTTCTCTTTCTTTCTTACTTTTTACTTTGACTGTAAAATGCCCACATGCTGTCTAATGTTATGATTATTTATTTCCCTCTTACACCAACTGCCCGTATACCACACGTGTCGTAACGTTTGCAAGACAACATGTACGACATATCTCGTACGGCCTAATGTTCAAGTGACAAACTTGGCAGACGTTGGTCCTTTTTAAAGTAATACTAGTGGTGTTGGCTTTTATCGCGTCCTTTCCGAATCGGGAACTTGTCCGTACCACAACCATCGGCACAACAGCAATATGAATGCCAGCAGTGTGAGACCGCGCACGCTTCGACGATGCATCGGGTCAGGCTCGGACAATACAGTCCAGCAGACAACGCACATCGACGTGTCGGGTTGTTGTTGTTTGGCGTTTCCCTCAAACACTCCTTGCGTGCAGAGCTTACCCGAGCGCCGAGCCGACACATTTCCAGATCACGTGCACAGGGCTTCGTCTGAACCTGGAAGACGATCGGGGGCAAGCAAGAGAGGACTAGCGGCACCGCTTGAGCGCCGAGCACCGAGACACAGCCCGTCGTTCCCCACCCCCTGCGCTTTCCCCTTTCAGCTTCGGCCCAAGGAGCGCTCCGTAGCTCCTGCCGAGTCTGGACAGATCTTTGGTCGTATTGCAGGAAAGAGCAGAGAGCCAAACTCCGACGTGCTTCCACGCGCAAGCCTAGCTGTTTCCGTTTCCACAACGCCGCACCAGTCGTCCGTATACCCACCAGACCAGCCTCGTTGGCCCCCTTCCCTTTGTGCCTCTCCCAATCTCGTCTCTGTCGATGTGGGAAAATTAGGCGACAATACAAAGATCGGCGAAAGGTTTCAACGCAGCGGTCGAAACATATCGTCTGCCTCCGTTCGGCAGAGCAAAAGCCCCGGCCGACAGAGGCTGCGAAAGGGGTCGCGACGTGTCGACACCGGCCACCGGTCCACGCCGATCGAGGGGCGTTTGTTTTCACTGTCTGCTATAAGTGCCGATCTTTGCTTTCTTTTTTTCTGCTCTTCTTCCTCTCGCTTGTTTCTTCTGCTTTGCGCTCTGCGTCGTACTCCTATTTCTTCTCCGCTCCCCCTTTGGCGCAGCCCCCTGTCGCCGCGACCTGTTGCCGATCACAGGGCAAAATTGGCCTGGCCTTTGCAGTGTATTCTGTACACCATATTAAACCTAGCCAACGTCCGCCTTCCACATCCCCTTTAGCTCGTTCTTCTGCCTTGGCTTTTTCCACCCGTCGTCTTTCTCTCCATCACCCTCCAATCCACCATCTCTATCCGTGCCACCCTCGTCGACCACAGTCGACTGCTGTCGACTGCGTTCAAGCTTTCGCCGGCCCTTTTTGCGCAGATTGAAGGCCACGTTACGACCGTTCCGGTATTATCGCTGCGGTATTATCGCTGCGGTACTCTCGCTACGGTACTCTCACCACGGTTCGCATAACGTTACGCCTCTGCGCAACCATCGATGGCCGAGACAACAACACCTGCCCCTGGGCAGGACGCGCAGCCGCGTGACATCGAGACCGACGCTGCTACAATTGCGGCTGCGCCGACAATAGGCGCACATACGGACGACGACGAGAAAAGCACGCCCCGGGCCGGCTCTGCCACGGAAACGGACGCGCCAGTTGCCCCGGCCCATGGCAACTCCGACGACACACTGGCCGGTCCTGGGGCCGCCACAGAAGAAGCACCGGCCAGCGCACCACCAGCCGGCCAGGCCGACAAGCGAGGGAAGGCTCAGATTGTCCTGTTGATGTCCGCACTTTGTGTATGTGTTGCTGCCATGCCAAGACCTTTGAATTAGTTTCTTATTGTGTTTCTTTTCGTCCGTTTCTCTGCGCGCCTTGACTGACCCCCTGGCAGATGTCCGTGTTCCTGGCGGCCCTCGATATGACCATCATCACCACGGCCCTCCCCACCATTGCCGAGGCCTTTGGCTCGTCCGCTGGCTTTGTCTGGGTCGGTTCGGCCTTTATGCTGGGGTCCGCTGCTTCTACGGCCGGCTGGGGCAAGTTCAGCGACATTTGGGGCCGCAAGCCCGTCCTGCTGACCGCCAACCTCATCTTCATCCTCGGCTGCGCCCTCTGCGGCGCCGCCAACTCTTTGACCATGGTCATCGCCGGCCGTGCCGTCCAGGGTATCGGTGCCGGTGGCCTGCTCACGCTCGTCAACATCATCATTGGCGACCTCTTCTCCGCCCGTGAGCGCGGCAAGTACTATGGCGTTATCGGCATGGTGTGGGCGACGGCCAGTGCCCTCGGCCCCGTTGTCGGCGGTGCCCTGACCAGCAATGTCTCGTGGCGCTGGTGCTTTTACATCAACTGTACGTCTTGGTGTGCCCTTTGGAACCTTCTTGCTTTTTAACCCCTACTAATGGTCGCAGTGCCCATCTCTGGTACCGCACTCTTCATCATTTTCTTCACCCTCAAGCTGCCCACACCCCATACGCCTCTGTTGACCGGCCTCAAGACCATCGACTGGCTCGGCACTCTCACGATTACTGGCGGCACCCTCATGCTGCTGATGGGCCTGCAGTTCGGCGGCACGTCCTACCCCTGGAACTCGGCCATTGTCATCTGCCTCATTGTTTTCGGCGTCGTCACCATCGGCCTGTTCATTGCCATCGAGCACTGGGTCGCCAAGTATCCCGTGGTTCCCACCCACATGTACAAGAGCCGCTCCAACCTGGCCTGTCTGCTGGTCTGCCTGTTCCACGGCTTGACCTTCACCCAGGCCACCTACTTTATGCCGACGTACTTCCAGGCCGTGCTCGGCGCGACGCCGCTTCTCTCGGGCGTCTACCTGCTGGCCATGAGCTTTGGTGTCTCTGTCTGTGCCGCGTCCAGCGGCATCTACCTCAAGAAGACCGGCCGCTACATGGACCTCATCTTTGCGGGCTTCTTGTTTTCCATCCTCGGCGCGGGTCTTTTGATTGACTTGCCCACCAGCCAGCACGCGCCCACGTTCTCGTCGTCCTGGGCCCGCATCATCATCTACCAGGGCATCGTTGGCGTTGGCACAGGTATCATGTTCCAGCCGCCCCTCGTCGCCCTGCAGAGCAACGTGCCGCCGCAGAACAATGCCTCTGCCACGGCCTCTTTCGCTCTCGTCCGCAGCATGTCCTCCGCCATCGCCGTCGTCATCGGCTCCACCGTCTTCGCCAACAAGATGACCTCCCAGTACGACACCATCCTCGCCGCTGTCGGCGGCAACACCGCCATTGCCGGCGAACTCACCGGCGCCAACGCCCAGGCCAACCTGTTTCTCGTCGACAGCCTGCCCGCAGCCGCCCAGACCGCCGTGCGTCTTGCGCTCTACAAGGCGATCCAGACCATTTGGTTCGAGCTCGTCGCCTTTGCAGGCGCCGGTCTGCTGGCCAGTTTCTTGATCCGCAAGAAGGCTCTGCGGGTGTCGCACGAGACGGTCAAGACGGGCATCGAGGGCGAGGAAGAGCGCCGGCGCATTGCCCTCGCCAAGAAGGAGGAGCAGAGACAGAAGGCGGCCAAGAAGACGGTGGGCAAAGGTGAAGGTGTGTAAAACAGCACCGACGATCTCTTACCGCGGCATACTTTCGCATCATTTGGCGTATACTTTGGCATTTACTCGATTTACTCGTATCGGAACATTTATAAAGAGGTGGGTTTCTTTCCATGTGCTGTGTTTTTGGAACCGCCTTGTTACATGGCTGTAGAGCCAACCTAGACTTTAAGGCTTTCCTTTTCTTCTCTTTTTTTGGCAGACTTTCCTCTTTCCATCGTTCCATCTATCAGACTGTTTCTGCCCTCTTGATTATGGCATTAGATACAATAACCACCAATACCCACATCAAATTCTAGACAAAGTCCACGCTCTATGTCGATACTAGTACACATCGAAACAAGACCCGCCGAGTGGTATCATTCCGTGAAATAAATAAAAAAGTAAAGAAAGTGCAGCAAAACTCCGTAACAATGTATAGCGCATATAAACCCAACACACCTTCATTGCGAACGTAGCGTACACATCGTGATTGTGAGATGCTTACATGGCCGAAAACTCAAAGAGCCGGTTCTGGATGTCCCCAAGTCCGATCCGGGGGTCCATCCAGCGGTCAATCTCGCCGGTGTCCAGCGCACTCGACAGGAACGCCTCTTCCTCGGCGGGGCTCATCGTCGACAGCATGCCGCACACGGACGTTCCGATGCCGGTCACGAGAGATGCAAAACCCTCGTCGGTCACAGAGTACGGGTCGTGCTTCCGTCGGTCGCGGTGCAGCTCGTTGTGCTTCAGAATCTCCGGCGTGATTGTGTACGGCGGCTGCACCTGGCTGGATTGCACGCAGTACCGCAGCGGCTCCAGCACGGGGTTGACGTTTGAGTTGGACTCGGCCGGGCGGCCGCTCGCCGCAGGAATAAAGTAGGCTTCGTACCACGTATGAATGATGCGCACCATGGCAATCCAGACGGACGCGATGCGGCCGCCCAGCGCCTCGAGCTCCTCGAGACGCGCAATCAGCGACTCTAGGTACTGGTAGATCTGCGTGGCCGAGTCGCCCGTCACGGTGTCGAGGAGAAGGCCGTGCATGGCGCCGCCGGGCAGGGCCGCCGAGATCTGCAGCTTGAGGAGAACGAGCACGGCATAGCCGACACGCGCATAGACGACCACAGGGGACCCGAGCAGCTGTTCCGTGGGCGAGGCCAGGAAGATGCCAATGAGGGAGCGAGAGGCCATCAGGCAGATGCGCCGGGACGTGAGGTGGGCCTGTGTCATGGGCTTGCGGGCAGGCATGTCTTCAAAGGTCCCGGGGATGGACACACGATACGGAGGCTTCAAGTCGGACGCGGCAAACTCATTGTAAAAGCAGGATTCATGAAGCAAACACAAGATCGTATGGTATTGAATGAGGAGAGAGTCTAAAACAAAGCGGTTAGCAAGACGATGTTACCATATGGACGGGCTCGAAGACCAGGGCCGACGTACTGGTCAAGCAGCGGCTATGGTCGACCCGCCACTGCTCCAATTGTCGCGTGACTTTCATTAATCGAGCCTGGAAGTTCGGGTCGGCCAGGTCGGGCACCGCATCGTAGCCGTGCGTCGCCGCGCTGTCGGCGGATGTCGCGGAACCACTGCCGTTGCGGACAACCGCCCGCAGGCCCAATACACCCGCGCTCGTGTCGACCGTTCGTTGTAGGTGAACCCAGGCCACCGTGACCGGGTCGGTCGGAGCGGCATGGGGCGATGTTTCCAGCCGCCGAAGGTACTCAGCCATGACGGGGGTGTAGGAGAGCATGGTTTGGCGATGGAAGCCAAGCGAGATGCTCGAACAGCACATGTAGCACGCCAGCAGCGTCCGCTCAAACGCCAATGGATCCTCCAAGAGACCACTGACAACGCCGCCGCCGGTGCGTCCTGTCCGAACGCGTCCCTTTTCGTGGTACTCGGATTCGATCTCGATGGCCATGGTGGCTGCCATGTGCAGATGCTGGTAGAAGCGCAGGCTGTCGAATCCGCTGACGGTCGAGTTCGAGCCATTTTGGTGAGTGCTCTGGCTGACGGCTGCCTCAGCTGTTGCATGTATGAGGCAGTTACTAGTTGGTTTTTCGAAGCTGTAAAAGTTCCAGTTTGAGGAGATCAAAAGCGCCTGGACCAGCTCCAGGGACTTCTCGCTTTGGTAGATAATGCGGTCGGCATAGACACGTAGTAGCAACGAGTCGAGCAACGTGGCTACGTCTTCCTGCCCGCCGCTGCTGTTGTCGGTCAAGTTATGGACGCTGCCGTCGGTGCTACTGTCGGCGCTATCGTCGTCTGCGCCGGTCCCCAAGGCAGCTGTCAGGATCGACAGAAAGAGGACAGGCGTGTGTTCGCGGACCAGGGCCGCCACCATGCTGATCGAAGCCTCCACGGCCGGCGTAAACTCCATCTCGCCAGACAGCGTCACCTTGGGAAACACGACAAACGGCCTCTGCGGTGCCATCACCGTGACATATCGGCGGAACAGGCGAACGGCTGTCTCCATGGACAAAATGCCGGCCGCCACAGGGTCGGCTACTAGAGGCTGTGGCTGGTTTTGCAATGCCATGTTGTCGGCGGCTGCCGTCCCTGTTCTCGTCGTAGTAGCAGAAGATGTAGTTGTTGTTCTACTTGCTGCTGCTGCTGCTGGTTGTGGTGCTTGATGTGTACCGCTGTGTGGCGTATTCGTGGACGTGCTCAATGGCGTTGGAGTCGTAAACAAAGCAGACGGTGTATCAGGCAGAGATTGTTGGGCCGGAGGTGGCATAGCCGTCGCAGCGGCGGCCGCCAGCGACGCTCGTGCCGAAGTTTGGGCTTGCTCGTACTCGGACACAGGCATGCCCTCTTCGGCGACGCGTCTCCGGAGCATCAGCAGCTCGCTCAGCATGCGCACCTCGCGCTCCAGCTCACGCACGCGCACGTCGGTCCGCTTCCGCTTCGTCCTCCGAGGCTCGGTGTAGACGCAGGTCGAGCCCGTGTCCTTGCAGCGACGGCACGCCGGCCGCTCGGAGACAGGCGGCAGGGCGACGGGTCCCGTGCTGCTGCCCTGGGGACTGCTGCTGCCGCCACTGCTCCCTGCAGCGTCGTCGGCTGGCATGCATCGCACTTTGAGGGCACGGCATAACTCGCAAGCTCGAAAACCAGTCGTCTGCATCTTGTGAGTGTCAAGGATTCGTTCCTCTTTGTCTGCGACGAAGTAAGGTCAAATGGGGCGATGTGGCAAGCAAAAGACATGCCACATTGAATCAGATGTCGTTGAGAAGCCCAGGGAAGACATAGAATGACAAAGAATGACGATGTTCAGCGGAGCTGAGGAAGCGTAGAAAGGTCCCTTATCCTGTCCCTCGTAGGGTCCAATAAGGCTGAATTGCTGTTCCGAGAGTCAGAGGCTGACGAAAACTAGGGGGGAAGTTGCACCGTGTCATGCACTGAAAAGACAACGGCGGCAGTTGGTGAGCGCCGGTGCGCCGAGCTATGGCAGGCTGAATGCCCCTAATACAGTTGTTCACGCGTTATGGTCTTGATGCAGCCAGTTGCGCCTTCCTGGCAAAAGTGCATCGTGAATGTGTTCGTTCGTTCTTTCCCTTTTCGTGCAAATTTTTCAAGTCGTTTTCCAGCATTTCAGCCCCTTTTTCATCCCCTCTCTTGAAGTTGACATTTCAGAGGCATCTGCGTCAGTCGGGTTTCTCGTCCTTTACATTATCGCCGAGCCGACATCACCCAGCATCAAGAGAGGCGCCCGCACAGTGTGCGACCACAGTGGGATGCGTCCTATCTTAGTCACCCAGCTCGCTATTCGATGGGCATATCACAGCCAGGGTTGAGCTCGTCAACAAAGACAGTTGTCGACTGGCCGCGTCTCGTTGCCCTTTGGTCTCAGATTGGACTGTGACAAGACGAGGTTCCAAGCCCCAGATAAATGGCGTCCTTCTGGCAAACCAGCCCTTTAATCGACTTCTTCACCTGCCTTGTACTTGGTTAGTAAGAGGACTAAAGGCATTCTTGTTGTTTATCCACACTTCCCACCCCATACTAACAGCCTTTCCGCCGGGGTAATTACAGACAACGTCCACCAACCGATGCAAGTCATTAATTGGCTCAGAGTGGGCGGGGCAACGTCGACGCAAAACGAAAAATCCATCAAAAGGTCGATATAGACAACATAGCATTTATCGACTTTGCCATCCAATCTAAGGCTGTAACGCCCTACCCCTCATGATCTGTACATACCGAAATGCTCCAGTGTTTCCAATCGGCGGGCTACACACCACTAAATTATTGTCATCGAGATCGAGCTTGAATTCCGTATGGCGTGCAAACATCATCAACAGCCGGCATTCCAGGGTTCCCTGATGCAGGCCTCTATTTGTTGTTGGCCATGCTTTTGGTAGACATCAACCGTCAGTGTCGAATCGCCTGTGAAGCTCGACACTCTTGCGGTTCTTTCAGTTGTGATTAGAGACTGTCCATCGCAAAAATTCCTACGAGACAGTGATCCAGCTTAAAGACGAAGAGGACTGGTTACATTCAACAGTGGCTTTTACAGAATACTGAACCATGGAGAAGCAACGAGCCACCGCGATTGGTCCGGACACAATGGTCCTTTCCGCCCCAGAGACATGAAGCCCCTCGTTTGAGTGGACAACCCAAAATCCAGTCAGAAGGCTGGAATGGTTCAAGAGTGGTGCTGAAAAGGCGTTGAGAACCCCAGTATACCCACCTGCCCCTGCTCAAAGAACAGACTTGCATCCCGCCAGCTTAGGTCTCCAAAGTACCTGGCAGAATTTGACAGTTGCCAACGCGGGAACCGTTACAAGATGCTTCGAAAATCCCAATGCTGCTGGGCGTATTACAAGGCCGTCTGGTCGTCTACTGCGGTCTCCGTCTGTCCTATACAACAAACGTTCCCCTCCTCTCATGTGCTTGGCATCGCCAAAGGTGGCCGCTGCCATGTTCTCCCCTCGAGTTTCGGAGGAGCGGCCTCCCCACTGTCTCGATTCTCCAAGCCCACTTGCTCGTCTGCTTTATGCTGGCTTCTCTCAGCGGCTTATCCGCTGGCCCAAGTCAAGCGATGGCGCCAGATCCATTATCGTGGAGCCAAAGCAGTGTCTCTGGTATTGAATGGAGTCCGTCACAACAGAACGTTCTCTCTTTCTGGAACCGTTTCCCGTCAGCACGCTCTGCCTCTATATTACGATGAATGTTGAGTAGGCGACCCACCACAACCACCCAGACATGCCGTTGTAACCGCTCTACGACGTAGTGCAGTTGTCACACAAACCCCAGCTGTCCATAGTGCGTGTGGGGGCAAGCAGGTGATCGGCGATGAGCGTTTTGGAAAGACCAGTCCAGACTGTGTTGTATTGTGATTTTGGGCTTAGTTTATTCCGCTCTGGTCTCACCCCAAACACCACCCCACCATCCCTTTCACTTTCTATCCCTTCTCTGCGGTCCCTGCAAAAGGCGCGATGGCGAGGATGGGTCTCGCTGTTGTCAGTTACCTGCTGCTTTGTTTCGTGTTGTTGATTTATTTTGTTCTGTTAAGCTGCCGGAACCTTTTATCCACTTCCTTAACAACCTCAAACCATATCGTCAAAAGATAACTTTATCAAACTAAAAAACGAAAAGGCATTGTAACAATTTGTTTGAACACAAAACATCACAGCCATGACAGGCACCAGTTTCCGCCGTTCTTTCTAGTCGTACATCAGTGTTCCTCTCGATTCTGCCGCCACGCTGGATCGGCTTACGTCTTTTCCACCGCCTCACTACCTCTCTGAGGCAACTGGTCGTCCAAACAATGTTGGCACCGTCGGCGTCAGATGATGGTTCCGCTTCGATGCCCAATGCCGCCCTCGACATGGCCTCCTCCCAAGAGGGCACACCAGTGTTTACCGACGGTAGCGATATCGATGTCTGCGAAATATTTGACCTGTCCCCCGTCGCATCCGCCATCCTCTCCCCTACGTTTCAAATCGTGCGCGCCTCGCGAAGCTTTCTTGCTGTCCTGGGGCTCGAAACGAAGAACTGCGTTGGCCGAGACATTCTTGTCGCAATCGAAGACCAGGTTCTGCTGTCCAACAACGATCGCGTCCGTATCAAGACTATCTTACAGGCATCAATCAACCTGCGTGCAGTACAAACACTGTCAGGACGCAGCACCTCGACGGGCGCTGCCGTGACTGGCTTAGGCGTGGACCTGGCCTGGAGCCTCCGCACCATCCCCGTATTCCGCAACGATGTTCCGTATTCGGTGGTCTTCGAATGGACACACACCCAGTCGACCTCGACCTCTCCCACAGTGGAACCCATGCCATCACTACCCCCGACCGTGCCTCCATTAACCGTTCCTCTTGCAAGCGAAGCACAGTCGACATTTATACCAGAACCAGATTATGACAACTTCGCGAGCAACATCTCCATCGACGAGGCGTTTGGCATCCTTGTCCGTTCTGTAAAAGACTACGCCATTTTCTTGATGGATACCGAAGGCTACATTATGACCTGGAACGCCGGCGCTGAGATGAACAAAGGCTACACCAAAAAGGAAATCATCGGCAAGCATTTTTCCATCTTCTACGGCCCCAAGGACATCGCCGACAACAAACCCCAGAGAGAACTGGAGGACTGTCTCCGCTATGGCCGTATCGAGGACGAGGGCTGGCGTTTCCGCAAGGATGGGAGCCGGTTCTGGGCCAACGTCACTATCACGGCCATCTACAAAGGCGGAGTGCACGTAGGATTCGGCAAGGTGACCCGCAACATGACGGAGCGCCGCGCCGCCGAGGTCCGCGTGCTTGCCGCATACGAGGAGAGCGCAAAGCTGAAGTCTGATTTCGTCGCCAACATGTCCCACGAGATCTGCACGCCGATGCACGGCATGCTGTCGGCATGCAGTCTGCTCCTTGACACTGCGTTGACACCCGAACAACGCGAAATTGCGAGCATCATCGACGAATCCGGCCAAGTGCTGTTGCATGTCATCAACGACATCCTGGACTATTCCAAGCTCGCATCTGGCAGCTTCTCCATCCATACCGACATAGTCGGCATCGGCAGCATTGTTACATCCGTCGTTCGCAGCATCGAACCTTCATTGCCGCCGGACGTCCGACTGCAGTTGGCCCTTGCCAGCGATTTGCCTCGAGCTGTGCAGGGCGACCCACTGCGATATCGTCAAATCGTACAGAACATCGTTGGCAACGCCAAAAAGTTTACAGATAAGGGTATTATCCGAGTGGCAGTAACTGTTCAGGACCAAGACGAAGATACCTTCACCATTCACACGAGAGTCACGGACTCTGGCATCGGAATTCCAAAAAACGCATCTCACAGCCTCTTTATGCCATTTACGCAGGTCGACACAACAACCAAGAAGAGGTTCCAGGGAACAGGGCTTGGCTTATCCATTTGCAAGTCCCTTGTCGAACTGATGGGTGGCACCATTGGGTTTACACCGAATCCAGACGGGCACGGAAGCATTTTCTGGTTTTCCATCAGGTTCCTGAAGATCAAAAGCCTGTCCCAACTGAACATGACCGACGTGGAAGGAAAGACCAATAAGCGGCTTGCACACAGAGGCGCACTGACAACGCCAGGGCAAGAACTGGCACAATTCGAGCTTGAAAAGGCACAGACCATCCCACCTCCATTAGAAAGAATTGCCAAGAAGGTCGGCCTGTCCAAGGCCGAAGTGGCCTCGGGCTCGGGCTTTGATCTCATCGAAGATGATGGAGATACCAGTCCTATGCCGGGTGGAGAAATTGTTTTCACCCCCGAGGCGTCATCCGATTCAGTACAGTCAGACTTTTCATCACCAATAACTACTCCGCCGAACGAAGGAACGTCTCCGCCTGTAGCGGAAGCACCCCTTCCCGAATCGAAAGCATCGCCAGTCTCAAACGTGGACAACTATAGCACGCCCCAGTCCCCGCTATACCCAGCTGAAACCATCACGCCCATATCATCCATCTCCTTACCCGCCCTCACCATCCCTCTCATGGATCTTCTCTCTTCATCAACCCGCGGCAACAAGTCCGTTGACCGGAGCACCGTACCCGAAGATCCTCAAGCTCGACTTCAAACAGAACTTGAGCAAAATGTTGCTCTTTTGCGCAAACGCGCCCCTGGAAAACGCATTTTGGTGGCAGAAGACAACACCACCAACCAGCGTATCCTCCTCCGCATCCTTGCCTCATTCGGCTTCGATACAGATTGCGTCACTGTTGCCTCGGACGGGTCACAGGCCGTCAAGCATGTTATCGAACGATCCAAAGATTTTGACCTTTGCTTCATGGACATTAGTATGCCAGTGATGGACGGTCATGAGGCTACAGTACAGATTAGGAAAAACGGTATTCAGCTGCCCATCATCGCCATGACAGCGTACGCCCTGAAGGGTGACCGTGAACAGTGCCTGGCGTTCGGTATGGACGACTACGTTTCCAAACCTGTCAACAAACGCTTGCTAGTCGACAAAATCCTGACTTGGCTTCCTGCTTGATTGCCGACGCTAAATTGGCGACACACAGCGCGTGCTCGACCTTGTGTTGATATGCTTGATTTTGTTTTGTGATACGTTTCTGTCCGCATTACGCGTTGGACTGTTGACAGACTCGAACTGGTCGGATCCATTTTGCTTGAGACGACTTATTTTATAGTTTTTATTTCATATCTTGCCTCTTCGCAAGGTACAGCTCCTAGGGCCCAGAGCATCCAGAATGTTTCTCTGATGAGCACATTGGCACACCACGCGATCTAATATTTGTACAATAAATACGATACCCCCTGAATTTAATGAATGAATGCTTCTATCCTTTCAAATATCCCATCTTTGGTAATCTGCTGTCTTGGTTTCAGTCCCCACCAGTAACACGAAATCGCACGCAGTCATCCTGAGCGCCACGTTGGGCCACCGGCATGAGCACGGGTTGGTGGTTTTGGGCTGCAATCATGGTGCACACCCGATATGAGCCTGCCGGCAGACCCCCAGGGACGGTCGTCTGCAACCGCCCATCGGCTGTGACCGGGTCATCGACACCTTTAAAGAAGACAAACGACGACGGGTCTGGTACATGGGCAAGGGCATCCGCTGCTTCGCCTGTGATTCCAGTTGGCAAGGCTTGCACTGTGATGTGGCAATGTCCATAGATATCGCCGTGCTCATCGAGGTCCTGAGGCGCCGTGTAGTAGTTGCACAGCGGGTTTACGAGGTGGCCCGCCCGCAGATGCACCGTCTGAATGACAATGTCGAACGTGGTGTGTGCGGGCAGCGTGGCATTCCAGGCCGGCGCCGTGATCAGCGACGCCACCATATTCGCCTTGGCCGGTAGCCGGCCGATAGGTATACCGTTGCATGACGAGGTCGATAGCTGCCGGCCGTTTGTCAGAGGCAGCCCAGCACAGACATTGATAAAGTTGGCATCGTCACTGCACTCTGTCAGTAGTCCGTCACGGATTTTGTAACTTTTCCAGTATAGGACTCGTGCTTACACCTTCGAGGCTGTCTGGCCATCGTAGATGCCATTGGTTCCCTCTCCCTGGCCGGTAAGGGTGCTGGCTGTTTGGACAGCATCTGGAGATAGGCAATGTGTGCTGTTGACATTTCCAATATGTTGTTGATGGATGATAGGCTGCGGTCCCGAAATATCGCGCTGTCCAACCACAACGCCATAAACAGAAGGGCTCAGGGCCAACAAAATCACCGAGAAGAACATATCAGCATATGTATCCAAGTACAACTTTTCTAGATGTGTCAGAAACTTTGCTAGTGTCTACACAGTCAATCGTTCGAATCTTCTCGCTCAGCATCCCTTTACACTTCCATTCCAGGTCCGTAAAACTTGCCGGTCTCGGCAAAAGAAGCAGGATGCACTTCATAGTAATTTCATACGCTGCAGATTAGGATAATAGTGTTACGTAGGCTATTTAATTCATTCTACATATTAACGAATCCATCAATAGTCGCAGTAACTGTCCTCGCTTTGTAGTCTCAACGAACCTTGCTTTTCTGTTTACTTATTATTTTCAAATTCAATAGGAGAGCTTGTGGCACTGACATGTAGTACTGGGCCTGCACACATGTAAATGATCTAGGGATTTTATTATGAAAATATTTCAGGTTCAATAAGGTCTGTTATATTTTCTGGTAGTTTTATTTATATTTTACTTATATAGCATATTTTGCAGAAGTAAAAAATAGCCGAAAATATTACCAAAAAAATCAGGTTTATCAAACGACAAATTTGATAGAGCTTGTGAATCAACTTGAATTGATAACTTTTTTTTTAAAAAAAAAGATCATAAAACAAATGCTCTTTTACTAACACCAATACTATCTGTTGTTCTGCTACCCTCAAAACAAATGTATCGTTGTACTGAAACACGTACAAAGCTAGCTCTAATAACCAGCTAACTACCAAGGCGGTGGCCGAAATAGGCAATAATCTGTGGTCCTAGGCGTGCTGATGCTTCGACCTCGTAAAGTATACTCTTGTAAAGGCTGCAAGGAGTCAAAAATAGAGGAGTTCAGTGGAATCAGCGTCCTCAAGTCCATACCGAAGAGCTGGAGGCAAAATTTGGGCACCAGAGGCAAACAAGAGCGGCCTACACAATAGAGGCTTGGCTTGTGAAAACACGTGACCTGTGACGTATTATCGCATTGTGCACCGTATTAATGATTAAAAAGGTTTTAGGCATGCAGTTGGTAAAGGTTGGTAAGGATGGAAGGCGGATTATGAAAACTCTTACTGGAGAGGCCACCAGTGTGACCCCACCAAGTTTCCAAGGTTTTCACTAACAAAAAAAAAAAATCACTAGGGAACGAAAACCCCGCCACGGCCAACAAAGATCCAATCCTCTATCTTTCTTCCTCTCTATCGCCTCTACGTGTTTGCTGTTTTCGATCCTACGGCATCACTTTTCCTTCGTTATTTCTTTCTCATTTTACGTCCTCGTCTCTTTATTCGACATATTCTGATTTTCTGTTCGAAATCGGAAAAGCAAAGAGACTCGACTTTACGCCTCCACCTGTCTCCCTCCTCCTTCTCTCCCTCATCTCTAACGACAACAACCCCCCGCCGACCTGCCCAACATGGTTTCCGCCTCCAAGGAGAAGAGACTCGCAAAGAAGGCCGCCGATGGTGGCGGCAAGAAGACGGTCGCTTCGCGGTCCAAGGCCGGTTCCAAGACCGCTAGCACTGCAACCTCCTCGGTGAACGGCGACGAGGTCGACGCCGACGCCAACGAGATTGTCAACGACCCCGATGAGGTGAAGCGATTGGCTGCACAGATGGACAAGCACGGCCTGTCGGACCGCGTGACGACGGGTGTGCTGGCTTCGACGTCCACCAGCCGTGACGTCAAGATCACGAGCACCAGTCTGGTGTTCCACGGCCGCGTCCTCATCACAGACTCGACGCTCGAGCTCACATACGGCAGACGCTACGGCCTGCTGGGCGAGAACGGCTGCGGCAAGTCTACGCTGATGAAGGCCATTGACGCGCGCGAGTTCCCCATCCCCGAGTTTGTCGACATCTACCTGCTCAACGAAGGCGCGCCGCCGAGCGAGCTGGGCGCCCTCGAGTGGGTCGTCAAGGAGGCTGAGAACGAGCTGGAGCGTCTCGACAAGCTGGCCGAGAAGCTGCTGGAGGATGAGGGCCCCGAGAGCCCGGTGCTGCTGGATCTGTACGATGTACGTAGACGGCCCCTGATGGGCGGCAAACGGCCACCTCCCCAGTTTTTATGCCCATTTTTTTTGTCCCTTTTCACATCGTCCCGTACTAACCAACCCAACAGCACATGGAGAAGATGGACCCCTCGACATTCAGCACACGTGCCTCACTTATTCTGACGGGTCTGGGCTTCAACAAGCAGACGATCAACAAGAAGACCAAGGACATGTCCGGTGGTTGGCGGATGCGCGTGGCGCTGGCCAAGGCGCTGTTCGTCAAGCCGTCGCTGCTGCTGCTGGACGACCCGACGGCCCATTTGGACCTGGAGGCCTGTGTGTGGCTGGAGGAGTACTTGAAGAAGTGGGAGCGCACGCTGGTGCTGGTGTCGCACTCGCAGGATTTCCTCAACGGCGTGTGCACGAACATGATTGACATGCGCGAGAAGAAGCTGATGTACTTTGGTGGCAACTACGACTCGTACGTGAAGACGCGGTCGGAGCAGGAGACCAACCAGATGAAGGCCTACACCAAGCAGCAGGAGGAGATTGTGCACATCAAGAAGTTCATTGCCAGCGCCGGTACCTACGCCAACCTGGTGCGCCAGGCCAAGTCGCGGCAGAAGATTCTGGACAAGATGGAGGCCGACGGCTTCATCCAGCCCGTGGTGCAGGACCGCGTGTTCACATTCCGCTTCGCCGACGTCGAGAAGCTGCCGCCGCCGGTGCTGTCGTTTGACAACGTCACGTTCTCGTACTCGGGCGACCCCAAGGATGACCTGTACCGCAACATTGACCTGGGCTTCGACATGGACTCGCGCACGGCCCTGGTGGGTCCCAACGGCGTGGGCAAGTCGACGCTGCTGCGCCTGATGACGGGCGCGCTGAGCCCGACGGAGGGGTCGGTGTCGCGGCACACGCACCTCAAGCTTGGCCTGTATTCGCAGCACTCGGCCGAGCAGCTCGACATGACCAAGTCGGCGCTCGACTTTGTGCGCGAGAAGTACCGCGAGAAGTCGCAGGACTACCAGTACTGGCGCCAGCAGCTGGGCAAGTACGGCCTGTCGGGCGAGGCGCAGACGGCGCTGATCGGCACCCTGTCCGAGGGCCAGAAGAGCCGCATCGTGTTCGCGCTGCTGGCCATTGAGGGCCCCAACATGCTGCTGCTGGACGAGCCGACCAACGGTCTCGACATCCCGACCATTGACAGTCTCGCAGAAGCCATCAACGCCTTCACGGGCGGTGTGATTGTCGTCAGCCACGATTTCCGTCTGCTGGACAAGATTGCCAAGCAGATCCTGGTGTGCGAGAACCGGACCATCCGGACATGGGACGGCAGCATCTCGGAGTACAAGAACTACCTGCGGAAAAAGATGATCAGCGCCGGTGCTGTGTAAATGGGAGTTCTTGATCGGGGTCGGACAGGCCACCAAAAAATTATTATAGAGCGGGACAAGAAACAACACCAAGAATAATTTGGACGGGTTGTTTTATTTTTTAGGTTATTTATTTCACGTTGCATCCATGTTTCCTCTTTTCTGTCGTTTGCCTCGACGCCATGTCCGACGGCAAGGCGATGCTTTTTTCTTGTTCCCATCGCTGGTTTCTTTCACAAAAATAGAGTCAAGTTTGACAATTGAAAGATTTGAAGATCAAAAACGATGAAAACCGTAAAAAAAAAAAAACGGACGGCATGTACCGATCGGCACATACAGCGGTGATTTTGGCACAGTGCGTAATTCGTCGGCGGCCAGGCCAATTTGAACTTCACTTACTCAGTTCACGAAATGGCGTAACCCCTACGATCAGATGGAGCCGATGACGATAACTGCGACTAAGTCCGGGGCGCTTTAGGAGGCTTTGCCAACTTTTTCTGTTGATCGCTATTTTCCCTGAAAAACGGGCGCTGACGGATGCCCAGAGTCGCACTGTCCGCACTCGCAGTTACGGTGTTTGCAGGTGCGTTTTCAGGCTTTTCTCGCTGCCACTGGAACCTGTTTGATATAAATGGCGTTGTGAAGTTGGACGATTCAATTAAAGCTTACCACACCGTGTCATGTCCTTTTCTCGTGCGGTTATGCTGGTCCGCCAGTCCTGGCGTTTCGCACCCAGGCCGTGGGCAACAACAGGTAATGTATTTCATCGTACTCTGTATGCCGTAGTCCTTGACGTGGCCTTGTTCATCTTGACCAGCACATTCGATGGCAAAGTACACGAGCAGGCCCATGCGGTTGGTTGCTGCTGGGGGCAACAATGAAAGGTGATCGCGTAGCTCGTACTTCGTGGTTCCATTGCGTGTCACATGATGTTTGCGATTTCAGTGGTGATGATTGGTGTACGTAGGGCAAGAGTGATGCAAAAGTGGGTAGATGCGAGTGGTGTGGCGGCAATCAGACAGCAAAATGGAGAATGAGCGGAAAGGACAACATCGAAACCGACACGGCAGTCGCGGTTGAGGCCAGGCCACAGACGTGGCAGGAAGAGCTGTGGTGAAGTGGATCGCCTTGGCCCGACTGACGACGCGGCAAGATGCTGGGAAGCGAGCGAGCGAGGGAAGGTGCAAGGGAGGGCGAACAGGGAAAAGAGGACTCAGAGGGCAAGAGACAAATATTGGCCACTTCTGACTTCCTTCCGTCTGGCATCGCCCTCTGCTCATTCTCGTCGTTTATCGACAAATTCCGAAAGAAGAAAGGGGCGATGCACTAGCGTGGTGCCAGGCTGAGGGGAGAGAACCGAACGGCCTGGAACACTGGAGACTGCCATTGGTCGAGGAGCCGGGGAGCGCGGCCCCAGAGGATCCAGCGAGACCCAGAAGGCACAAAATCGGAGAGGTACAACTATGAGGGAACGGTAAGATGGGGGGGCAAGGCCGCGGAGGAGAACATACGAAGTACAAGCACAGAGGAAGAGAGACCCAAGTACAGGGCCAACGGGGGGAGGCACAGCTGCGTTGAGAAGGATACTTTTGTCGCAAAAGGACATAATCATGGAGAGAACGGACAAAAGACACATCGCAGGCGAGCCAGATGTCCAAATACGTCGAAAAGTAAAAGAGAATAGGGAATGAAAAGAAAACAGAAAAGTGCTCTCGACTCATGTGGTTGCAACGGGCGGGACCGAAGAGAGACATCGTGTAAGCGCGGAATCTGCACACAAACGCAAGTACTTCTACTCCGGAGCGAGCCAGAATCATTCGCAGGATAGAGCAACACAATAAAGCCGTTGAGCGAAAGAGGGAAAAAAGGAAAAAAAAAAAAGGCTCGCCGAGCAAAGGCGCACCAAAAAAGGGCGTCACTCGTTCTCGAGTCTGGGTTTCCACCGCCGTCACCTAATTTCCATCTCATCCTCCATCCGTCATCCGCTCCATCCTGCCATTGTCATCCCCATCTCCCCCATCTGTCCCACCACCCCGTCCGCGATCACCATCGCCATCACCACGCACACCGCCGCTGGCTCGACTGCCATTTTCGCATCGACATCGACGCACACGATCTCGCTGTCCTGTCATCGTGACTTTTGGAGCCCAGGTGTGTTGGAACCGCGTCATTTTGACGGATTTGGGACTGTCGGACCTCTACTCTCGATTTTCGCGGACTTCTCGCGCTGTCCTGTTTTCTGGTCTCCATCGCTTCGCGCATCAACACCACCAGCACGACAAGCGCACAAATTCGGCACAGCGCACAGCGCACAACACGCAGCGAACCCTTTGCTAGGCACCCGACCCACCCTCACCCGCGCTTTTCACCTGGCAAAACCCGACACCGATGCGCTCAACAGAGGATCTCGGCGGCCTTCCTTTTCTTCCCTTTTTCGTCTTCTGTTTCTCGTCTCTGTCTTGTTAGAGCTTATTGCGGGCCTCTGTCGTAATTGGCTGCACCAGAACCGCATCCAGCACCAGCCAACATCTGCCAACGTTCTCGCCCCGGTGATGACAGACTGGCACCACCAAAGCAGCACGAGATACATAGATACATCATGGACCACTCCAGCAGCTTCCACTCGACCGTGTTGGGTCGCTCGTCCGACAACAACGGCGCCGCCACCAACGGCAACAGCGGCGACAACGACCGCACGCGGCGGCGCGCCATCGACATTCTCAACCCCGAGCCCGAGCCTGCCGCATCGCCCGCTTCCTACCCGTCGCGCCACCAGCACCAGCACCAGCACTCACATTCCTATGCCTCATCGACGGCCTCCTCCCCCCATCGCGCCCACGACAGCTTTGCGCTGCGCTCGCCCAGCAAAGCGGACGTCCGGCCACTGGCGTCGCCCAGCGCCCGCCACGCCTCGCCAGCCTCGGTCGGTCCGACGGTGAACAATCTGCTCAACAACAGTCCCCCGTTGCAGCATCGGCCGGTGCCGTCGTCCGTGTCGCGCTCGCGCTCGCCGCACCTTGCGCCGCCGCCGGGCGCGTCTGCCGCGTCGACACCGTATTCGGCCCACGGCGACGCGCCGTCCGCGCAACCGCCGTCCGGCAAATTCTACGACCCGACTACCGACACCACATCCGCGACCGGCGCTGCGTCATTGGCCGCCGACCGTCACAACGTGGATTCGCGTGCCCGGCGTCCAGACAGCCAGGTGAGTTTCTTTTGCGCGTGTCTTTGTCTCTATTTTCCTTCTTGTCCGGTTGCCCGCCCCAAACCTTCCTCGGCTCCTTTCCCCGTCCTTCTTATTTTCTTGTATGGGCGCAGTACACCCATTGCGTTTATGTTCGTCGCGTCCGGACTTTCTCTGGGTTGCTTGCTGTGTCTGCTCCTTCTCGCGCATGCTCTCCGGTGTTAGTCGGCAGCCCGAATGCGAATGCCCGGACACGAATGCGTTTTGGCCAGGCCCAAGCCGATCCTGCATCGGTTTTGTTGGCCGACGCCAATTTGCGATCTTTTGTGTGGCTTTGCCTGTCATTTTTTGTGTGTGGTTGCTTCCTTCCTCGTGCTTTGCCGTCTGTTGTGGCTCTTTCTGCGTTCGCGCGCCTGACGCCTGACGCCTGACGCATTGCGCTTTCCTTATGCCTACGCCCTTTGTCTCATCATCCATGACCGCGCAGCTCCGTCTCCAAAATTTCTCCTGTCGCTTTTTGGCCCTTATTTTCCACCTCTCCCTTACGGTCCCTTTTTCTCATCCGCCACGCCTCCACTTAATCATTGGCTCAATTGTTCGCGTTTTGTTCCATCACCCAATTTTGCATTTCCGTTTTCTGTTTTCCATTTTCCATTTTCCGTCCTCTTTTCCTCTTCGTACCGTCCATTCCTTTTCGACACCTATTTCCATTTCTCATTTCTTTTTCATCAGCACCGACATCATCCACCATCGCGAGGAGCACGTCTTTCGCGATAAACGCGTGTTGTTCTTCCCATTGCCCATCAGACTATCGTCACGACCCCTGAATGCATTCTCCCACCCACTGCCACACGGTTACAATGCAGCATCGACGAGCGTGAAAGGATATTTTGGACTGACTCGATTCTTCCCTCCCTTCCCATCGACAGCCTCGCGATAGCCACGGCCATCCATCGCAGTCGGCTGCTGCTCCACGCAGCCCCGTCTCGCATTCTCATTCTCGAAACCGCTCTGAATCGACACCTGCTGTTCCCATACCAGAGTCGTCAGCTCACTCTCCCAATCCATCCATCACCATGGCTTCGCCATCTCTACGGCAGCCACCATGGACGAGCCTGGGCTCGCCACCGCCAAACGGCACGTCCGGGCATTCTTACTCAAAGGACAGCTCACCAGTTCCATCAAAGGCATCAGCCCCGGCAAGTGTAAGCGAATACCTTTGAACGCAACGCACCTTGGTTCTCCACGAAACCCATTACACTGCATTGTCTCGGGCTTTACCGATTGCATCCTGATATCAACCTTTTCTGCCTATCTACCCCATATCTCTCACATTTTGCTCACTTTATCATCTACAGACACCCAAGCGGACAGCCGATTTAATGTCCTTCTCAAATATCCTTTCTAGCGCCGAGCCTGCTGCCGAAGAACCACGAGCAAAGTCCCCTCCCCCCCCTGTCGATGACGACTCCGAACACACAACGAGCCGCAGCACGCGCGTCATCAGACTGGAGAAGCCCGATGATAAGAAGCAGGGACGCGTTCCACGTCGCGTGGCGAAACCCCGTGCGTCGAGCTCGAGATTGTCAAAAGATGTCGACAAAGACGGTGACTCCGTGCTGTCCGAGGCCGCACCTAAGGCGTCGCGTCGCGCATCTACAAAACTCGCTGCGCCTGCTCCCGAGCCTCGCGTGCCGGCCAAGCGTGGCCCCAACGGCCAGCAAAAGAAGAAGATCTCGGTCTCCTCCTCGGCGTCCGCCGAAAAGAGCATCCAGAGCTTCATGAAGAAGCTGGACACTGCTGAAGATTTTGATGCGCACGACTACCTGGACGACTCGCAGATCGACGAGGAGCAGCGCGCCTGGAAGGAGCGCCAGCGCCGACGCCAGCTGCAGATGGCCGCCAAAGACGCCGAGCTCCGCCACGTCCGCAGAGCCGAGCTGGCCGAGTCGCTGGCGAAACGCCTCGAAGATCACAGCTATCTGGGAACGAAGCGCTACTACGAGATCTACTACAACGACGCGCTCCAGGAGGTCCGCGAGCAGGAACTGTTTGCCGAGAAGGAGCGCAAGAAGGACATGCAGCGCAAGCGCCGGAGAGAAAAGTCCATGGCTGTTACCCTCGAACAGAAAAAGGCTGCGCTCGCTCGTGCCGCCTTGGCGGAAGACGAACACGAGCGCCAGAAGTTGCTCCGCGAAGCGGAACGTGCGAACAAGAAGGTGCAGCAGACCAAGCTCATTCTGCAAAAGGGCATCAAGGGCCCGGTTCGCAACGCCGCGATTGAGCTGAACCTCGAGGGGGGCACCATGGCCACCTTCCAGGCGACCGACATGGAGCCGGGCAAGGGGAAGATCAAGGGCCGGGGCGGATCCCGTCTTAAGAAGTCCAAAGAGCAGAAGCAGCAAGAAAAGGAGAATGCAGAGGCTGCCCAAGCGGCTCTGGACGCCGGAGAGGCTCTGCCCTCGAGAGAGGAAGCGTCCAAGATCCGCATCAAGTTTAAGAAGGGCTCCGGCGCCAATGGTACGCCAGGCCGCGATGACTCTGGTCGTGACGACGGCTACTCGAACAAGGAGAACACCGAGCCCAGGTTAACGAAGAAAGAGAGGGAGAGGGAGAAGGCCGCTGCTGCTGCGGCTGCTGCTGCGGCCGCCGCCGCTGCCGAGCCGCCCAAGGATCCCTTCCAGACGAAGGGCTTCATCCAGATCTATGACCAAATTTGGCGCGATCTCGCCCGGAAAGACGTCAGCAAGACGTTCCGTCTCGCAACCGACTCATACTCGACCAAGGCTTCCAATCTTAAGAAGACGGCCCTGCTCGCGTCCAAGGAGGCCAAGAGGTGGCAGCTGCGCACGAACAAGGGCAACAAGGACCTGCAAGCGCGCGCCAAGCGCGTCATGCGCGACATGATGACGTTTTGGAAGCGCAACGAGCGCGAAGAGCGCGATTTGCGCAAAGCCGCTGAGCGCCAGGAGCTCGAGAACGCGCGCAAGGAGGAAGCCGACCGCGAAGCCGCCCGGCAGAAGCGCAAGCTCAACTTCCTGATCTCGCAGACGGAGCTCTACTCCCATTTCATCGGCAAGAAGATCAAGACCGACGAAGTCGAGCGCAGCACCGACCACCCCGACGAAATCGCCAAGCAAACCGCCGACGGTGCAGATGCACACAAGACCAACGGCCTGACTGTGGACGAGCCATCTGGCCCTGTGGGCGCCAAGGTCACTGATTTCGAGGACCTCGACTTTGACGCCGAGGACGAGACTCAGCTGCGCGCCGCGGCCATGGCCAACGCACAGAGCGCCATTGCTGAGGCGCAGCAGAAGGCCCGCGAGTTCAACAACGACAATGACATGGACGAAGAGGGCGAGATGAACTTCCAGAACCCCACCGGACTCGGCGACGTCGAGATCGAGCAGCCCAAGCTCCTCAACGCGCAGCTCAAGGAGTACCAGCTCAAGGGTCTCAACTGGCTGGTCAACCTCTACGAGCAGGGCATCAACGGTATTCTTGCCGACGAGATGGGTCTCGGCAAGACGGTCCAGTCCATCTCCGTGATGGCCTACCTCGCCGAAAAATACGACATCTGGGGTCCCTTCCTGGTTGTCGCGCCCGCGTCCACCCTCCACAACTGGCAGCAGGAAATCCAAAAGTTCGTGCCCGAGTTCAAGGTGCTTCCGTACTGGGGCTCAGCGGGCGACCGCAAGGTCCTGCGAAAGTTCTGGGACCGCCGGCATTCCATGTACAAGAAGAGCGCTCAGTTCCACGTGCTCGTTACATCGTACCAGCTGGTCGTGGCCGACGTGGCCTTCATGTCCAAGATGCGTTGGCAGTACATGATTCTGGACGAGGCGCAAGCCATCAAGAGCTCGCAGAGTTCGCGGTGGAAGGTCTTGCTGAACTACCACTGCCGCAACCGTCTTCTGCTGACGGGTACGCCCATCCAAAACAACATGCAAGAGCTGTGGGCGCTGCTGCATTTCATCATGCCGTCTTTGTTCGATTCCCACGACGAATTCAGCGAATGGTTTTCCAAGGACATCGAATCGCACGCGACCAGCAACACGAAACTTAACGAGGATCAGCTGAAGCGTCTGCACATGATTCTCAAGCCGTTCATGCTTCGGCGTGTCAAGAAGCATGTGCAGAAGGAGCTCGGCGACAAGATTGAGCTGGACGTCTTCTGCGACCTGACCTACCGCCAGCGCGCCTACTATGCCAACCTCCGCAACCAGATCAGCATCATGGACCTGATCGAGAAGGCGACGCTGGGTGACGACAATGACTCTAAGACCCTCATGAACCTTGTCATGCAGTTCCGCAAGGTCTGCAACCACCCTGACCTGTTTGAGCGTGCCGATACGGCGTCGCCCTTCTCCATGTCCTACTTTGCCGAGACCGCCTCGTTCAGCCGCGAGGGCAATAACGTGCCCGTTGGCTACTCAGCGCGGAACATGATCGAGTACAGGCTGCCCCGCCTCATCGCCCGCGAAGGCGGCCGCCTCGGTCAGGTTGGCAGCGACAACGACACTGCCGGTTTCCGCAGCAAGTACCTCTACGAGCTGATGAACATCTGGAAGCCAGAGAACATCCGGGCCAGCGCTGCAGAGGACGGCGCCTTCTCGTTCCTGCGCTTCGCCGATACGAGCCCGGGTGAAGCCTACCGTGCGTCTCACAGTGATGTTTTCGCCCGCAGTGCCGAGCTCTTGAGCAAGCACGCGTCGTCGTCGGCACTCTCGTCTCGCCTTCGCCGCATGCAGGTGATGTACGACGACGAAAATGCCCATGGAGGCGGATTCACTCCGACGCACGCCCTTTTCCAAATCCGTGAGCGGAACAACCGGATGGCCCTCGCTGACGTTACGGGCGAGGGTGTTCTTGATTCGCTCATGAACGTGGCCCGCACCACATACGACAACACCGGTCTGACGCGTGTCGAGGCTGCTGGGCGCGAGAATGCGTCGGCACCGCCCATCGAACTTGCCTGCAGCAGCCGTGGTACCGTTACCGAGCGCGACGACCTGCTGTTCAACATCCCCATGCGGCGTGCCCTGTACGGCACGAACCCTGTTGAGGAAATGGCGTTGGTGACGAGCAAGGTGCCGTGGAAGGACTACCCGCCGCGGCCGATGCTCCCGGCGCCCGATGTGGAGAAGAAGCGATTCACAAACATTGCAGTGCCGTCGATGCGCCGCTTCGTGACCGACTCGGGCAAGCTGGCCAAGCTGGACGAGCTCTTGTTCAAGCTCAAGGAGGGAGGCCACCGTGTCCTGCTGTACTTCCAGATGACGCGCATGATCGATCTCATGGAGGAGTACCTGACGTACCGCAACTACAAGTACTGCCGCCTCGACGGCTCGACCAAGCTCGAGGACCGCCGCGACACGGTGCACGATTTCCAGACGCGGCCAGAGATTTTCGTTTTCCTGCTGTCCACGCGTGCCGGTGGTCTCGGCATCAATCTGACGTCGGCCGACACGGTCATCTTTTACGATTCGGATTGGAACCCCACCATTGACTCCCAGGCCATGGACCGCGCGCATCGGCTTGGCCAAACGCGCCAGGTTACAGTGTACCGCCTGATCACGCGGGGCACGATCGAGGAGCGGATCCGCAAGCGCGCGTTGCAAAAGGAGGAGGTGCAGCGCGTCGTCATTTCTGGTGGCAGCGGCGCGTCGTCGATGGGCGTCGACTTCTCGGGCCGCCGCGCGCAAGACAACCGTAACCGTGACATTGCGCTGTGGCTGGCGGACGACGAGCAGGCCGAAATGATTGAGCGGCGCGAAAAGGAGCTGCTGGAGAGCGGGGAGTACGACAAGGCGACGAAGAAGCGCGGCGGCAAGCGGAAGCGCAATGCGGCCGCCAACAACATGGACATGGACGGCGGCGCGAGCCTCGACGACATGTACCACGAAGGTGAGTTTTTCACTATGCCTAATTGCCTTTCGGGCACGTTTCGCTGTGGACGCGGCTATCCGGAGCAACGACTAACAGACATGCAGGCGAGGGCAACTTTGACGACAACAAACTGTCGGGTGCCGCGACACCTGTTGATGGCGGCGATGCACGTGGTGCTGGCGGCAAGAAGAAGCGCGTCCCCGTGAAGAAGGCCAAGTCGACGAAGCAGCGCCTTGCGATTGCGGACGGCATCGACGGTTGAGACTTGGTCGTGCGGTTATTTTTTCTTCTCCCTCAGTTCATTATGTTCATTATGCATTTTTCTGTATCGGTACCACATTGGGCGAACCTTGGTCGCATAGATTATACTGCTTTCATTTTTGTCTCTTCGTGTTTATTTTTTTTTCTTTTGCCGAATTGTATTGCTTTATCTTTTGTTATTGCTGTTTTCACTTTATTTTATATTCGGAGGACACCATGGGGTTTCATCATGATTCGGGGGCGCTGGCGAAGGAGATCTCACTCGGGAGACGTTGCTCTTCCACAAGATCTCGTCTGCACAGAGAATGGCATATTTTCAGTGGGCAATAACCATAAAAAGGAAGGGGCATTTTTGTACTTTTATCGACTGTCGTGTGCTGTTCGCACGGTAGTATATTTTCTATTTTGGTAGACGGCGGTTCGGAGAGCAGATACAAAATATGCGGTGTTCAACTTAGTCCTTACACCTACCGAAGTGCAACAAGTAGCAAGACCAAAATCGTGGCCAAGTGTGCACTTTATCGAATAGGCAATAACAATTGGTGCTCAAAAAATGGTGATGTGTCAAGGTTACAACAGTCACAAAAAAAATTAAACAAAAAAAGTCGGCATTTTCTGCATACAGAATTGACAAGAGAGGGATTCGAACCCTCGCCCTTTCGGATTGGTGACTTTAAAACCGCTTTCCTCGTTGAACAAGGAAAGTTAGTGGCCTAAAACCAACGCCTTAACCACTCGGCCATCTTGCCGTTAATATTCCGGTAATTTCCGGGAGCTTATTCCAAGATATATAGAGTAGGATGCATCCGCAGATAATGGCACTTTCCCTGTGCAATCCACAGGGCTGGACTACCTACACATAGTTTGCAGAACTTCGATAAATATAGGAAACAAGAAACGAAAGAAGAAACGATCCCTGGTCCATGTTTGTGATGTTTGTTACTGTTTCTACGAGTTATCGTGCAAGTTGGTATTCGCCTCGTACCGTGGACTGCGCCACCTCTGTGTTGTGAGGTACCTATGTCCAAGACTATTGAACACTCTCAAGGTATCATTGCTTATCGAATTGTTGGCGGACACGAGGGCATGAAGCGACATGAACGCATGATCAGGCGCCGGCTGTTTCGAGCGGAACGACGCCAAAGGATTCTCGTAAGATTGCAATGTGTGAGGTGGAGGTCAAGACGCTGCATGCTCCGAGGAGTACGAAGGCTACGATGGCACTGAGGGCTCTGCGGAGATACGGGTGGCAAATTGCGGCAGCATCCTAGTTTGTTATTGTGAACATTTGTTTGACAAGCGGACAAGCAATGGTTTGACGGCGGCTATGGCGGCTGCTTGCCGAGACTTTGCCAGGATTTGTTGACTTGACGCTCTATTTTGATGAAGCCCTACAGGGCGACACGAGGGTCAAGAACGATAGAAAAGAAACAGATCTACGCCAAGGTGGAATAAAAAAAGAGGCCTCAGACGCTCCCCGGAGGAAGATCGAGCTCGGTGTTGGAATGGAACGCCTTTGAGGAATGGCACAGAGGATATGGGCATGAAGCCAAAGCTATGGGGAATCTGGACCTGACAGCCTTGTCCTTTCGTTAGGCTGATCGCAGGACAGGGTCGAGTTAACAAACGTTGTTGGTAAAAATAAAAAGAACGGCCTCCACCATACTTGGAGCCTCAGGGTAGCATTGGCGAGTCTTGTGGGCGCCCGCCTGCAACGGCAGAGACGCCACAAAAGGCTTCAAATCAACCCCCTGCCAGTGCTGCGGCCACCAATATTGTGGCGACCACCCAAAATGAGCGAGGTCTCTTGCTAACCCTGAGCCCTCCCCTTAGTGAAAAGCGAGGGCGGCAATCAGGGGGCGCTCGTACCTTGTTGGCGTCCTCCCGATTATCCCGTGCGCTGGATGCAGGGGAAGTACACAACGGCGGCCGGAGGGAACAGACACTGGAGCAAGCACTTGTGTTGCCAAGCATTGTTTCTAGGCGCGCTTCGCAATTGGACGCCTTTTCTTGACAGACACAGCCCTGCCGCGATGTGATGTGATCTGGCTTTGGGCACGTCGTATAAATGGTCTTGTTTGTCCAGCCTTGCATGCGGCATGTTGCTTTCATTTTTGTTTGTCATTCTATATTGTTTGCTGTTGGGTTTGCATTTTGTTTTCAAGAAAGGAAAACCAACTTTCTGTCGTCTTCCGCAGCGTAGACCAACAGACACCCCGGAATACAAGCGACGGACTATATTGTTGGCAACCGGAATCCTTCGGTGGTCGTCAACGTCCCTTGTACTTCTCCGATTCCACGACATGGCCTCACGAAAGGACGACGCCTCGGCAGCTCAGCATGACACGCCAGCCAGAGACAAGTTGCGCAAGACAGGACACAGCAGCAGTGCCAACAAGACGGATACACCACCACAGACACCAGATGCTTCCGCTTCCGCTTCCGCCTCCACACCTGCACTGGCCATCTCGCCTTTGTCTTTTTCGTCCCTCCCAACGCCGCCGTCGTCTGGCCGCCCTGGATTTGGATCTAGCTACTCTGGTGCCGACCGCCAGCACCGGCGACCCGCTGCTGCATTCCGTGCTACCCGCGCCTTTTTGTCGTCGTCGCCGTCTCCATTGTCGCCACCAGCTGCACCAAGCCCGCCGACAAGCCCGCCCTCAGCCTTGAGGCGACTAGCATCACCAATGTTATCATCAGCGGCAGCAGCAGCAGCGGCAACAGAAGCAACAACAGCAGCAACAGAAGCAACAACAGCCATGCCCGCCACACCTCGCATATCACGTAGTGGGACGCCCGAGATTGCTCAAATTCCCACCAACCAGGCATTTTGTGACTGCTGTGATGACAACGACCGACACGGCCCGAGCACAGACGACCAGGGCAAGCAGCAGGGTCCATTGGCAGCAACCAGTGGACAAGGCCGGTGTGCCGTGCACGGTGGCAGCCAGGCTGTCCAAAATGCCGTGGCCCAGACAAGCCATCACCCGCCAGGCGAACGTGCATCAGGCAGCCTCAACAAAGTCGAGGCACAGCGTACGTTTTTGTTCCATTCACCCCCAAAGCCCAGTCTGTTTGCGTTGGCGCAGATTATAGACCTCGAGGCGCATTGTGTCCGTCTTTACTAACAGTTTATAGTCCAGGCAGCAAGGGCCTACATGATGAGACGGAGGCAAGCAGCGGCACAAGGCAGCGGCAGCGGCAGCCAACATAAGAACTAGGGGGTGCTGGCTCACGTACTATATGAGATCAGTGTATCGTTGGGGATGCAGCCTGGAAGGATTGACAAGGGAAACATTGTGGGGGGTTCATTTGAACAACACGTGGAGTTTATATTTTGGACACCTGGCAAGGTTTTACGTCCTTGGTTTGGAACACGGATTTGATAGTTATGGATGACCATGGGTTACATGGAGTTACGGACACGGTGTACGGAGTTCAGACCACTGGCTGTAATGGCTGTAGTTGATTTTCAAATTCAAAAGTAAAGTCTTTTTTTTTAAAGTTTGTTTTTTAGATCCAAGTTCATCCTGTACTGTCCACGAACCACAAAGTCACTGACCACCCTTCACGTTCCCTCGGACTTGCGCAATAAATTAACTCAATCGCCGACTTTTAGTCCCCAAACATGGCGTTTGCGTATCGGCAGATGCTGCCGCTCGCGGGGTAAAGCCAAGAAACAAAAGTTGATGAGCCGAGGCGTGGACTCGGTATACGGATATAAATCGACATGTATTTGTCAATGGGCGACCGTCCTGTTTTAACGTATGTCAAACTGACTTGATCACCATCAGACCATCCCCACGCATCTCACAATGACCGACGTCCCGACACTCTCAGAGACACACTCGGGCATCCCCGTGTACCTCCTGGACAAGGCCCGCGCCACTAAGGCGGCCGTCTACCAGCTCAAAGCCAATGCCGGTGCCGACCTCGACACCGACATTCCCCGTCGGCGCGCCGCGCCTGCGCTTCCTGTGGGCGTGACGGCCGAGACGTTCCAGACGGCCGTGGCCGACCTGCGCGCTCGGCTCGGCGGCAGCGAGCATGTCGACATTGTCGACCAGGCGCTCAAGGACGGCTGGTACATGGAGCATCCCAACACGCACGACATGATGACGATTCTCGACGACGAGGAGTTTGTGGCCTCGGCGGTGGTCTATCCGGGCAGCACGGAAGACGTGCAGACGGTCGTGCGCTGGGCCAACCAGTACCTGATTCCCATTTTCCCCATTTCCATGGGGCGCAACTGTCCGTCCGTGTCCTACATTTTGTTGTCAACCCCCCCCCCCATCTAACGCATCCCAGTAGGATATGGTGGCGCGGCGCCGCGGGTGCGTGGTTCCGTAGTGGTGGACCTCGGACGACGCATGCGGGCGATTCTCGACATCAATGCCGACGACTTCACCTGTCTCGTGGAGCCGGGCGTGTCCTTTTACGCGCTGCACGAGGCGATCCAGGCGCGCGGGCTGGGCGACATGCTGTGGGTGGACGTGCCGGACCTGGGCGGTGGATCGGTGATCGGCAACACGGTGGACCGCGGCGTCGGCTATACGCCTTATGGCGACCACTGGGCGATGCACGCGGGCCTCGAAGTGGTGCTGCCGACGGGCGAGGTCGTGCGGACGGGGATGGGCGCGCTGCCGGGCAACAACACGTGGCAGGCGTTTCCGTACGGCTTTGGGCCCTATTCGGACGGCCTCTTTTCGCAGTCGAATTTTGGCATTGTGACAAAGATGGGCATGACGCTGATGCCGAATCCCGGCGGCCACGAGAGCTTTGTACGTGGTGCGAACGTCGTTGCTTTATTTGTGTGATTGGGTAATACAGTAGTGCTGACACAGGCAGCTGTACACATTTCAAAACGAGGAGGATCTGGCACCGTTGGTGAGTCGGTTGTCGGTAGTCTGCGTTTCCTTTGACATTCCCACTCGTATTCTCACAAGCCGACACAGATCGACATCATCCGACCGCTGCGCATCCGCAACATTCTCGAAAACGTCGCGCAGCTTCGCCACGTCACGCAATCCGTCGCCGTTCGCGGCCTCCCGCGGACCAACTATTACGCTCCCGTGGACGGCCTCGTCCCGCAGGATGTGATCCACGCGGCGGCGGCCGCGAGCCCCGTCGGCGACCATACCTGGGCATACTACGGCACGGCGTATGGCCCGCCCGCGGCCCGGGCGCCCAAACTGGCGACCATCGACGCCGCCTTCCGACGCATTCCCGGCTGCCGCCAAATCGACACGGCCACGCTGCCGGCCGACGAGTACTTTTGGTCGCGCGACCGCATCGCGTCCGGCACCCCCGACCTCCACGAGCTGCGCTGGTGCCAGTGGGTGCCCAACGGCGCGCACATTGCCTTTTCGCCCGTCAGCCCCATCCGCGGCGCCGACGCCACGGCGCTCTACGCGCTGGCGCGCGCGCGGCACGCCGAGCACGGCATCGACTGCTTCCCGGCGTTCTGCGTCGGCCTGCGCGAGATGCACCTGATTGTCGAGCTCGTCTTTGACCGGACGTCGGCGGCGCGCAAGGCGGCGGCGCTGGCGTGCCTGCGCGACATGGTCGACGACGCGGCGGCGCTGGGCTACGGCGAGTACCGCACGCACCTGGCGCTGATGGACCAGGTGGCGGGGACGTACCGCTGGAACGACGGCGCGCTGATGGCGATGCACGAGCGGCTCAAGGACGCGCTGGACCCCAACGGCATTCTGGCGCCCGGGCGGTGCGGCATCTGGCCGGCGCGGTACCGCCACCGGGGCTGGGAGATGACGCGGGCGCACGGCGACAGGTCGGAGGGAACGAGTGTGGGAGGTCGGTAGGCCGGTATTTGTGCTACGTCCTGGTCCTGGCCACTGGAGACTGTTCTTGATAGCAAACACATTCGTATATTAACCATTTCTCGCAAAACATACGGCTATGTACTTTACTCCAACAGTATCAAACAAGTATTCACACTTACAACACGCCGCAACACAGAAAAGCAAAAGGATATCAACCATGCTCGCACCCGAACACCCTACGCACGGCCCGCCTCGTTCTCCTTCACCTTGGCCTGCCACTCAGAGACGATGTCCTTGTAGTCTTCAGGACCATAGGGGTGCGTGGCCTCCGCCAGAAAGCCGCCGCCCTTGCGGTAGATGGGAAGGCCGAGGTCGCGGAGCAGCTGGTCAAAGTAGGGCAGCGCGTCAAAGACAAAGTCGGGGAACTGGCTGCCGTGGCCGGCCGGGTAGCGCCACTTGCCGAAGCGCGCGGCCACGACGGTGGCGTACTGGAGGGCGTCAAGGCCCTGGGCAAAGGCGGCCGGCGGCGCGGTCGCGGGGGGCACGACGGCGGCCGGCAGCGTGCCGTCGAACAGGGCCAGGATCCAGAGCGCCTGCAGCTGGGCCGAGAGGGCGACGGAAAAGTTCATGACGACGCCGGCAAAGGCAATGTCGCGGCGGCGCACGAAGCGCTCGGCGGGCGGCAGCACGAACCGGTACAGCGTGTAGGGCGTCAGCGGCGTCGACGGCGTGACGGCGTCGGCGCTCGACAGCCCGCCGGACGCCAGCAAGGGCGCCAGGGCCTTGTTCTGCACGGGCGGGTGCGCGAGCCGCGGGAACCGCGCCAGGATCTCCTCGTCGGCGCGCGCCACGGCGCTCGGCGTCCACACGGGCTCGTCGCCGCTGTCGGCCGCGGGCGCGTGCGGCAGGCCCAGCGCGCGGTCGATGCCCGCCGGCAGAAACGCCATGGGCGGCACGTGCTTCCAGCCCGTGGCACAGGCCAGCGCCGACAGGCCGGCGAGGCGCGTGCCGTCGGCCAGGTGGACGGTGTGGGGCGACAGCGCGGCGATCTCGGCAATGTGGACGCGCACGGTGCCGCGGCGCACGAGGTCGAAGAAGTCGGTCGGGTAGTTGAGGATGGAAAAGGACGACGCCGTGAACATGGCCTCGCTCCAGGGCTGCAGCTTGGCCGTCTCCGGGTGCGCGCTGTACTTGTTGAGGGCGATGACGTCGCCGCCCAAGATGCGCCAAAAGGCGTCGGTGATGCGGCGGCCGAGGGCGCTGCCGTGGTAGAAGGCGCGCACGCCCGTGTAGCCGTCGGCGTCGCCCCAGACGCAGGGGCTGAACCAGGTCAGCATGCGCGTCATGACGAGCTTCTCGAGCCACTTCTTGAGCGGCGTCACGTAGGGCGGCGCCTGCCAGATGGGGCCGTGGCCCGTCGACCGGATGATCCACTCGACCTCGATGCCCTTGGCGGCGTACGCGTAGACCATGTCCCAGGCCGACTTGGTGCCGCCGAACACGGCCACCCGTTTGGGCGCCGCCGCCGCCGCCGCCGCCGCCGCCGTCGCCGCCGCCTCCGTCTCCGCGGTGGATCCTTCTGTGGCGACATCCAGCGTGTCTGCGTGCTGCAGGAAATCCCGGCTGTGGAACAGCGGCGCGCCAAACGATTCCTCGCCGGCAATGTGTGGCAGGAACGGCTCCGAGGTCAGGCCCGTCGCGACAATCAGCTTGCGCGCGACCAGCGTAGTCGTCGTCGTTGTCGCCTTCCCGTCTACTCGGCCCTCCAACGTCAACGTCCACCCGCCGCCCGCGGCCTCGTCCCGCATCTCCGCCGACACCACCTTGGTGTTGGTCCGGACGTGCGCCGCCACGCCAAAGTGCGCCGCGTAGTCGGCCAGGTACTTGTGCACGACGGCGCCCGGTATGTGCTCGCCCGGCTTCACGCCGTACGTCGCCGTGTCCATGGGGAAGTCCGGGTACTCGTACGTGCCCAGCATGTTGTTGCTCCTGAGGCCGGGGTACAGCCGGTGCTCGGCCCAGACGCCGCCCACGGTCGGCGCCGCATCGAGCACGGCCAGGGTGGCCTCGGGGTGCAGCTGATGCTGTGTCTTGGCGGCACAGAGGCCGAACCAGCCGGCGCCGACGACGACGAGGTCGAGCGTCTCAGTCATGTTGGGGGGTGCGTAGGTGAGAGTGGTGACGGAGTCAAGGATCAGAAACGGTCGGGGCGGTCCTGCGAGGGCTAGTTGAAGACGGAAATTCGGCAACGCAGGTGAGACAATATGGCCTGCAGGACAAGAACAGAACAGAACACAAAAGTAGAACGTTCCAAAATCAGGACAACTACGAAGTAGCAAGAAAGATGCTCAATGATACGCTGTAAGAAAAAGGTCCAGCTGCGACGTAAGTCCAACTACGACAGTCGTCTTGGTGCAAGCTGCACGGCTCCAGACGGATGAGCTCCAGAGACAGATTAGCCCCGTTAGAGTTGTGCCAAGTTCGCTCTCACGTTCGTCTAGCACGAAAGGCTGCATCCAGGATAGCGTGATAACAGATTCTCTGACTGGCCAGAGGGGAAACGGGGAGGAGGGTACGGAGTACAAAGTAGAGCCATTTCCCTTTGGATGGAGCTGTCTGAGAGTCGCCAAAAAAGGAGAGAGGGAGAGGGGGCAACACTGCGCGGCTGGTGAGCCCTGAAAATACAAAATACCTCCTGACTCGTGCTGTCCTCTTCTCCCGATCTCCCCCTGTCGACTCTTGGCCGTGTGGGTTGAGTGGGTGGACCAGGGTGGATATGACAGACAAAGCCAAATGCGTGGAAGAGCGCTGTCCAAGGTCCGCGGAGCGCGGAGCGCGGAGAGACTGCACGAGATGGCGAGAGTGCCAGCTTACCGGGACTCGATGTATCATTTCATAGGCCGTTTCAATTTGTGACAAATATTCTGTATGAGCTGTCCAAGTGAGAGGATAGTGCCATTCATCGATGCCACCCTTGTCGACGTCCAAATTCCGGAGATGAAAACGGTTTCCAGGTCGTTTACGTCGTATGATGTATGCCCAACTTGGCAAAAGTGGTTCCATCCCGGGCATCTGGGAGTCTGGCTACGGAATTCGTATGGAGGAAACGAGTTTGAACATTGCTTGTTTTGCTCGGCCAAGTAAGATATCATTTGCAAGGGCTGGTGCGTGACTCGACAAAAAGACCGCGAGGAATCGATGGCGTTGAAAAAAGCAGCGGCGATTTCCGCTGCGCTTCGTTGCTGTCTTGTTCCTTTGCAAACTCGATACATGTTATACTCAGACAGTCAACGATGAAAAAAAAAAAAGAATAAATCACGCCGTGATACGGAGGAGCACGTCCGTATTCCTACGAATACTGAACAAAAGACACCAGAGCAACCGCTACGGCAGGCCCCGTAAGACGGCCCAGCGATCAGTGATTGGCGGCCGGTTGAACAGGTACAGCCAACCTCGGTCCTTTGTGCGGTGTTTTCGAATGTCTTTTCGCTTGCTCCTCTGTCGTTTCCCCCTTCCTCGGCAATGTGTTCGCATATCCACTGAACCCACTGAAAACGGCGTCGATCCCAGTGCATTGGAGCAGTTAAAACTGAAAGGTGCAAGGGTCTTCCCTGGCAGCACCCCTGTCGATAAACGGCGCGTTTCTGTGTCGTCTTCTGAGCCTTCCGAGCTGCGTCTGGACACTGCAACGCTTTCTGGACCAAAAGACCAGCCCATGTTGACAGTTGCCACTGGCGCACAAATCTGCACAAAGTACCGTACATCGTGTGTCCGCTTCTGTTTGTACCCAGCTCGGGGTAGAACCGGTCGCAATTTGTTCCCCTTCTCTTTTTCAAGTTTTCCTGCCATTGGCCCATCAATGGAGAGTGGGCAAGCAGCAAATCGGATGGGATCGGCGGGCCGTCCGGACTCCACTGGTGTTTGACCATTATTGGCTGCCGAAGAGAAAGAGGAAAAAGGCGACAGTACGTCGCAGCGTACGATGTAGACTTGGATCTGCAGATTTGTTGGTTTTGTCACCGTACGGAGCACGTATGTACGATGTACGAGTATGTACGAATTACTTCGTAATTGCACCCTCGGTCCCGAGGCCCTTGTTGATTCTGGCCCGCGGGCCTTGACGTGATCGGCAGAAGACCATTTTTGGTCGTGTTGTATTGAAAAACGATGTGCGAGAAGGAAAAGGGGGGAAGGGCCGCAGTGGTAAAACAGTGACAAAAGAAAGAAGGACAGTACGAAGCACGAAGGGGGAGGGGGGGGGGGGGGGCAATGCAACGTTGTGTAAAATGATGCCTCAAAATTGGCGCTCCAAACGAAACTCGAGTTTGGGAATGTCCAATGCCCATCTGACGTCAGATATGGATATGTCGCCTGGTGTTCAAATAACACGAGAATAAACCACGCATGGAGTGCAAGACATTGGATTGGCAGGCAGGTCAGCAAGGCAAAAGAAAGCACAGGCTACGGCGTCTTACTGCGTAAGACGTACGACATACGGATGAGAGAGAGCGTTGAGTAGCGGGGACAGAGGGCAAGCTGCAGTGGACCAAATCATGGAAAGCCAACACAGGTACGGAATAGCGAACCAGCGATGTGTCAAACAAATCAGCCAACACGAATTGAAGCTCTCCACTGAACGAATGGAAATGCAGGATACAACGCCGTGGGCGGGAATTGCTCACAAAGAAAAAGAATCCAACTCCCGGGCTCTCTCTCTCTCTCTCGTAGATCGACAGTCGTCGGCTGGGAAAGGGAAATGTTCATCAACTGGGAGCACGGGAAAAATCGAGAGAAGCGAGAGAGCGAGAGAGAGGATCGGTGGACGACGCAAGCAAAGACTTTGGACTTGACTTTGCCTCACAGACCCGCTACGCCGGGCCGCAGACGGAGCCGCGCTCCCTCGCCTTTTAGCGTCGTTTGACGAGCCACGCGACTCCCGTGACGCTGCGAAGAAAATACAAAAATGCCAGGAAATAGAAGAAAAATATGAGAGGGACGAGAGGGGCAACTTGAAAAAGGGGGGAGACTCCGCCTTTTCCTGCCAGGTTGCCAGCCCATCGCCATAAAAACCAGGATGGCTCGATGGGGTAAGGGGGGGGGGGGGGGGGCGCCACTGAGACATCCTTGACAGGAGAGACTTGTGAATCTGTGATCTGATCTGTCAGAACACGGGAGGCCAACGAGATGCCACCACTCGTCCATTGGCCGACACTCGGGGTACATGTACGGAGTTACTCTGGTTTGAAAGTTTCGTTGGCGTCTTGGCTCGCTTGGGCGATGATACTGAAAGGAGGCGATGGACGGTCAAAAAGAAAGCATTTGTGCACAAAAGTCGATAAAAACCAAAACTGAAAAGCAAGGCACCGACAGGACGAAGCCCGTCCTACTCCGTCGTTACCCAGGTCAGGTTCTCGAGGCTGCAGATGGTCCAGAGGGTTCCATTCGCATGGGCAGGAAACACTTTGCTTGTTCCCTGATCCCTGATCCCTGATCCCTGATCCCTGATCCCTGATCCCAGACCTCCTTTGGGAAGGTTGGGCAGACTGGCACGACTGGAATGGTACTGGGGAAGGTCTCAACAGCTTTTCTAGTCTGGACAGAGGGACGACAAAAGTACAAAGTACGGAAAACGGGGATGGAGATCGGGCACGACGTATTACCTCTGAAAAGATACAATGAAAAGATACAGAAGTACATACGTCGTACGCAGAGCACGGACAACTAGCCACGTCTTTCAGTCTTTTGTTTCTTTCCTCCACCGGCCAGGCATCGTGCTTGTCCGGGACTCTCATCCCTTTCGGCAGTCTGCATCGTACTGGGGTCAGCTGTGTGTCCTTTGTGCCACCGTCTGTGCGGAAATGCTGCCAAATGCTGCCAAATGCTGCCAAATGCTGCCAAGCCAAGTCTTCAACCGGTCAAGCCAGACAATCTTGACCCTCACGAAATCAGGCGCGGCACGAGGACACGATTGGCCTTGCCAGGCTGTTGGAATCGATACTCGGCGCATGTCGTACGACGTACGGCGTTTTTCTGTCCTTGCACATGCCATTCGCACGCAATCTACGAATGATACGCCGAACATGCACTTTTTCAAAGCGCCCCTTGCTGCCTTGTGTTGCACCCGCTGCGGCACCACGACGAAAGGCCCTTCGACAAAAGGTAACTCTACTCCGGAAACCTCGAGCGCTGTATCACTGCGGAGATAAATCGAGTCCCTCCAAGCGAGGCTTCCATGTTTGCTTCTTCCTTTTTAACCGTTCATATGCTAATCATAATTTTTTTTTCTTTTCTCTGTCATGGCCATCCACCACATTGGCCGTGACTAGTGTTTTTCCAACAGGACAGACCATAATGTCTCACTTACCTCCGCCTTTCCGCGCCTTTATTCTCTGTCCGTACGCTATGCCTCGAGTTTATTTCGGTCTCTTGGTCTCTTTACTGTGTCCTACGCCGTAATTCGTAGATTTGATGTTTCGATAATTCGCATCATCACTTTGTAACTGCCTTCAGTTGTCGGCCCAGTCTTTACGGCGTACTCCGTGCAAAGTCATTACGACATACTTACTCTGTACTCTGTATTTTGCATCATATCGCCTTTGATTCCTTTGTACCCAGCGCTCTCTCGTCTCTAACAAGTTTTCTTTATTTTATGTTGTACTACTCCGCATATATTTTCTTCCTTTTGCCTGGCCTTTTTCCTTTTCGTCCCACCCCACCGACCCAGCAAAAATCCAATTCTGCATCCCCCCTTGTATTACCAGTCCGAAATCCTGGCATTGTCACTTTTTGATTTTGGGTTTGCCTTTATACGTTTGCAAATCGTTGCTTTCTGTCGTGTATTCCGTGCCCGCACAACAAGGTCCCCAGTCCTTGACCTAGGCCTAGTTTGCAGCGTCCGGCTCTGTTCCCTCCTGTTTATTTTGGTCTGTCTGGTGAGCTTTCTGTCGACGCGATTGGTACTGGCAGGTCAAAGACATGCAGATGATCTGCTGCTTGTCTCTGCCCTGGTTGCTTTGCTTTTTTATGTTTGACCATTGGTCTCGGATCTAGACAAATAGACAAATAGACAAATGATATACTGCGTACGAAAAACGTTCGCCTGTCCTGTGCCGTTCTCTTTTCATTTCCTCTCCCTTCTTCTCTTTGGACGACCGTGGCTTTCGAATCGTAGCATCCTGGACAAAAACCACTTTGATAAGACGCACAGAGGAAGAAGGTGAAAAAAAAAAGAAAGAAAGAAAAAAAAATAAGAAAACAAAGCAACCCTTCTCACCAAAGCCCGTTCATTGTCCTCTTTTTTTGTCCTGTCTCACCTGTTCCTTTCTCATTCGACCCGACTTCCCCTGCTTCTGTTCTTACCTTTGTCTCTGCGTCTTTCTTTCTTGTCACGCGGACAGTCTTGCCCGGAAACCCACCAAGGAGCAGGTCAGCGTGCGCCGTCGTGGTCGGCCGACCGGTCATCATCGGACAGTTCGAGTCCTTGCAGCAGCCAGCCGGGCCGACCAAATCATTTCAACCTGTCAAGAGGAACTGGGCCGGCACTCGGCACGCCCTTGCACATTGGCCCTGCGCGTTTTGTCCTGCATTCTGTGCGCGGTCCGATTTGTCCTGTCTCGGGTGACTGGTGTTTTCTTTTTGCACGTCGCCATCCTTATTTACCAGTCTCACATAGACCAATTGTGTTTTCTTCTTACGTCTTTTCACTTGCCTTCGTTTTTTTTTTTTTCGTTTTCTGTTTTCTTTTGCATTCGTCTCGACCATCCTCACGAGCGCATGATCCTGGTTCCCGTGTTCTTCGTATTGTTTTGTCATCTTTATCATCTGTCGTTGTTCTTTTTCTTTTTCTTCCTCTTTTTTTCTTCCTGTTATTTCCGTTTTGTTCTCTTATCTTCATCTTCTGTAATTGTCATCCTTTTTTTTTGACGTTACCTTTGCCCCCTTATTTTTCTTCTTCTTTCTTTTTTTTTTTTTTACATTGTCCCTCTGCTCTGTCCTCGTACTCTGCACCTCACAGTCAGGGATCGGGTATTACAACTTCTCCGGCACGCAAAAGAACCTCCTACAAAGTACCTCCGAAACGACAACAGCAGCCTGACACCACCCCATCCCCCCATCCACATTCACAGCAACCCAGTTGATCACTTGCGCCAGAATGTAGCGATCCCAAAAAAAAGGAGACAGAATCAACAGGTTAATAGAATATAAAAGGGATTTGCTTACGCAGTCGACGATTCAATCGGCATACGGCACTGCGATCAACCGGACGACTTTGTGAACATATATTTACGACATCCTCAACCAGCATCAACATCAACTGGCAACCTCTTTAGCAACAACGCCACTTTCCTCGTCTTCACCATCTTCACCATCCTCACCTTGCATCCTTCTCTCTTTCGAGCGCCCTTTCACGTCTCAACGCCCAACGGAACACGTCCGCCATGTCATCCTTCACAACAGAGGCCTTTGCCCTGCTGGGCATCGGCCTCGGCTTCATCATGCTGCGGACCTATGCCCGTCTCTCGAAAACGGGCATGTCCGGCTTCAAGGCCGACGACTACCTCATGCTGGTCGCCGCCGTCGTCTACGCCGCCGAGACCGCGCTCGCCTACACCGTTGGCGCGTACTGGCATGGCATGGCCAACAGCGGCATGACGGACGCCGAGCGAGCCGCCCTCAGCCCGGACAGCGAGGAATACCGCATGCGCATCAACGGCAGCAAGACGCAGGTGGCGGGCTGGTCGACGTACACGCTGCTGCTGTGGCTGCTCAAGGCGTCCATGTGCACCTTCTACCTGCGACTGACCGAGGGTCTCAACTACCACCGCCGCATCTACGCAGGCTTCGTTTTGATTTTCACGACGTGGGTCGCCGTGCTGCTGTCCATTCTGCTGGGCTGCCGGCCGCTGTCCAAGAACTGGCAGATTTACCCCGACCCAGGCAGTACGTCTGTTGCTCCTCTCCCCATTTTTGTTTCGGTTTTCTCATGTATTCATGTTTATTGTTATTGTTCTTTTTGTTGTTGGTATTCTTGGTTGTATTCTTGGTGGTATTCTTGGTGTATTCTTGGTGTATTCTTGGTGTATTCTTGGTTCCCAACAGCCCATCAGCCCATCCCGCTAACACTCTAGACCATTGCCAACCGGCCATCTCGCGTATCGACATCTTTGTCACTGTCGTGCTCAACGTCGCCACCGACATCTATCTCATGTCCATCCCACTGCCCATGCTGTGGAAGGCCAACCTGCGACCCGCTAAAAAGATTGGCCTCATGGTCCTGTTCTCCGGCGGCATCTTTGTGACCACGGCCGCCATCCTGCGCTGCATCTTGATCATCACCAACCCCGTCACCGGCGCCCAGCAGGCCGGCTCGTGGGCCTGCCGCGAGACGTTTGTCGCCGTCGTTACCTCCAACGCGCCAATGATCTTCCCGCTCCTGCGCCATTGGGGCGGCCCCTTGTTCAGCACCATGCGCAGCTTCTCGTCGCGTTCCAAGCGCACCGGCAACAGCACGGACGGCGCCGGCAAAACGGGCGGCATCGGCCGGTCGGTCAATGGCATGTTTATCCTGGAGGACAAGAGCAACTCGCGCGGCGGCTTTAGCGTGCGCTCCGTCAACCCGATTCCCAACATGACCTTTTCGGAAAGTGAGGAGTACATTTACAACGAGCAGCAACAGCAGCAGCAGCAAGACGAACACAACCGGCAGCGACGCAGCCGCAGCGGCAACCAGCAACAGAGCGGTGGTCGCAGCAACGTGGACTATGACATTGAGCAGCAGTACCCGGCTGTCTCGTCGTCGGCCGGCGTCGGTGGAAGCATCGGCACGGGCTCTGCGGCTGTGGCCACGGTTGTCCCGTCTGGCATCACCAAGCAAGTCGTTTTGCAAATCACCGAAGAGGAAGGCCAGCGCCGGCGCAGCACATTTGGCGTCTCGGGTGGTGTTGCGCCGGGCGTGACTCACCACATGAACAAGAACGACAACAACAACAACAACAACAACAACAATGCCTCCGACACCGACTCCGCCATCGACTCGCGCAACAGCTTGGACATGCTCGAGAAAATTGCCCCCGGCGCGCGCCAGGGCAACTACTTTCTGACCAGCAACAACCCAGGCAGCGTCCAGCAACGCCAAAAGCACCAAAAGCAGCGGTCGTCCAACATCAACAACCGGGCAGGCGACACCAACTCGCTGTCGACGGCCGCCACGTCTGCCGCTTCCCCACTGGCCGCCAACTCCTGGGACGGCAAGCCGCCCCACAGCCAGAGCGGCGACGTGAGCGTCGAAGACAGCAATCGCGGGGGCCTGACGCCGAGTAGTCGGAGGCGGTAGTCGGGGACGGTGGTCGGAGACGGCGGTCGGAGCCAGCATGTGCTGTGTAAAAGTATTAGAGGACTTGGGGAGAGGTGCATTGATTTTATTTGTCTCTTCCATGGCTAGGCTTCGTTCTTACGATCTGGATTTCGTGTCTTTTTATTTGTCGTTTTCTCTGTTCCTTTTCTTATACCCTTCTACAAGACGGCACCGGCACTGGATTCACCGGCCGTTTGCATACCTGCATACAAAATATACGGCATGCAGCTCGATAGATAAAATACACGACCTTACCGTTCGTCACCGACTATGTGTCGTGTACAGCACAAAATAGGAGCATCAAACATCGTGACTGGGTAGTATTAGTAACCATGCATACATCTGAAAGTACAACAGTACAAAAACGTATCGCATTATCGTCGAGAAGTCCAGTTCAAGAGACACCGTCACCGCCTCGCGGAAACTCGCGGCAAAACGAAATTGCGTATGGCCTCCAGCAAATAGAAATCATGTGGCTGGAGTAGTGCGGCTAGCAGAAGCAAGGAATGGAGGAGGAGGGGGATAAGAAGACGAACGACGGACTGGAATACGGGAGAACAAAAAGCAAAAACATGAAAAGACAACAAAAGAAAACCGATGAGAGTGAGATTTGAACTCACGCGACCGAAGCCATATGATTTCTAGTCATACCCATTAGACCACTCTGGCATCTCACCTTGTTGGCTGCTTCTGGGGACATTCGCAACGTAGCGAGGCTTTTGTGGACGGCCGCCCACCAGACAAGGCCCGTGGGCCCACGATTCGCTGTTGGACGCATCCGTCGACTGGGTCCGGTCCTGGTGCTTTTTCGACGTCTTCCTGTAGATTTCAGAGCATTGTGCGTCGTTCTCGCCCCGCCAGTCGGACCACGTCATTGTACTGCTGTGTGGCTCAACGAAGAATTTTATTATGGAAACACAGACCTGTAAATCGAAACAGTGACGCGGAAATGTATCGGGTATCTGCTTGTCGTTGCCGTTGACGGCTGGATGGATGAAGATAAATTTGAAAATTGTAAGATACAATATTTATTATTTCACATTTTCATAGCGACCGCGTATTTTTATTCGTTTGTCTCCCTTCAGAATCTGTGCGGTTGTTTACATCGACTACGCATAATTTTATTGTTGAAAATGAATTACAATGTTTAAGATGGGAATGAAAACAAAAACTCCAAAACAAAAACAGAGACATCATTTGTTTCCTTTAATAAAATGAACAGCAAGAAGCATCATGAATTAACGAGAAAGTACAGAGTACGTCCTTCCCGATTGGGAAATCAACAATTCACGCTGAGGAAGGAGCATTGCAAGCATTGTTGGTGCTGCCTTCCTCTTCGAGTTGAGATGTTGCCGAGTAAACCAGTTGTGATGCCGGCCGGTCCTTCCTTGCGAGTAGCTCTTTCTGTTTACCCGACAGTCGCCCTGCGGATACATCTTCTGAGTCTCCTCGCGTTCCCTCCTTTGTTTTGATCTCTTCTTCCTCCCCATCACAACACGGCTTCGGCATCCTACATTCTCTTTGCTCGTCCTCAATCGATCTTCATCGTCCAAGCCATTATTGTTACGCACCTCTGCCATTGTCTTACAACTACAAACCAGCCACACTACCTTGATACCACATAGTCACACGTCTCTCAACACAATGGATTCGCAGTCTCCTCCACCGCCTCCTTCCACTGAGGTCGGCACCCCATCATCATCGGCGCCTGCCGCCGGCAAGATGACGTTTGGTGAACGCTTCCATGAGCTGCTCTACCCACTGGCCATTGCCGTCATATCCTTTGTCGTTTCGTTTGTTGTCGGCGTGGGAGCGGCTACGGCCGTGGCCTCCGGACTGGCCTCCCGTCTCCTGGCCCTGGTTGACGACGCCATCGCCTACAGCTGGCAGCTCGTGGACGTCTACCAAAGACTGGGCCTGGTCGCCGCTGGCGCCACTTTTGCCAATGCAGTGGCCTCCGCGGTCGACAATCGGCTCGAGGAAGTGACTGCGCAGTACAAACCGGCGAACCTTGACTCGGTGATCAAGACGCTGCTGGTGGGCGACCGCAAGGACGTGGCGGCGTACAAGCAATATCCGTTCCTGGGCATGATCTTGGTGCCCCTCATGGCGACGGTTTTGTTTTTCTTCATGTGTGGTGTCCGCGTTGTCCGCAACCTGCAAGGCTACAAAGCGTTGGTGGACGCCGCAGGCAAGCTGAAGCAGTAGGAAAAGGTGGAAGGACGGACGTGTCCATAGCCTTACAGGCTTCAAGCGGTGTGTTGGGTGCACGGGGGGCGTCTGGCGGTTCCTGATGGACAAATATCCTCAAACGTTTGTTGTCTAAGATGCTAGATAGCTTGTTCCTATGAATAACCAGCTTGCCCGACACACGGCAAGCAATGGCCCCTTAGAACAATCAGACAAGCCCTGTTCCAGACCAAAACAAACAAATACTGACTCTCCTCCAATACCTCGCTGGCTTCGCCACCCTTCCTTGTGGACTTTAAGATTCGGCAAAAAGTCAGGTGCTCTTCTTTATGGAACTACTCTCCGACAATAGGAAAAAAAAGCTAAAAACAAAATATAGGATATGAGTGGCATGCGAACCCACGCCTCTTGCGAGATAGCACGTTCGCGTTGGCCGATTATTGTATGAGGCCATGAACAGGGCGACCACCGAGACCTTCCTTACTTTGTCTCCTTCGGTGGCCAGGTAGGTGTTGTCTCGTAGGTCTCCCAGGTCGGCGACAGCGGCATCACCGCCGACCGCACAAACACGTGCTTGGCGTGCGCCCAGTCCAGCAGCTTGTCTGGATCCTCAATCGCGCCACCCTTGACCGACACCCGCTCACGGATCGAGCCGTCGGGCAGCGTCGCGCCGTGGATCAACCGGGACCCGCAGCGCCGGCAGAAGAAGCAGTGCAACGTGTTGCCGCTGTCCGTCGGGTGCGAAAAATGGGATACGGGGCCGCCCTGCTCTTCGAGCAGCGACGGGTCCAGTGGGTAGAAACCCAGGGTGGGCGGGAAATACACCGACGTGCCAAAGGCGGACCCAGACTGGTGGCGGCAGTTGGTGCAGTGGCAGTGAGCGATGCCCATGGGCGTGGTGGACGGCGTGCGGAGGCGGACGGTGCCGCATTCGCAGGTGATGACGAAGCCAGTCAGGCCCGTTGCTGCCGCGGGCGACGCTGGCACGGGGGTGGGAGTCGGTTCGGCCATGGTGCAAGTAGGTAGATGTGGTGATGAGAGGGGAACGGATTGTGGTGAGTGTTCAAAGCAACGAGTGAAAAAGTGTCAATGCGAAAAGGGCGAGGACGAGAGGATGAGATGACATAGCTTGTTGTAGTTCACCGACGTCTCCAAGCGAATCGGTATCTTGCTTCCGATTTCGGCGATTGCGCCGAAATAACAGGGGAGCCGATTGATGGAGCAAAGAAGGACGCCGTGCTACGTGTAAGTGTGCCAGGCTTTGTAAGAATATATATCAAATTTGATGTGTGTCCGTCTTCCCTGCTATACAAATACAAAAGGTAGACTGCAAAACCCGCATGCCAGGAACATATGCAACGCCTTTCAAGCCGGAAATGCGTAGCTACAATGGAAATGAGTGTTTATGAAGACAATGCAAACTCCTCGACGCGCCGAACGAGGTGAAACGGAAGAAACTCAAAGAAAATCAAAGAAACTCAAAGACAATTAAAAAAAACATAAAAATGTGGCAACGAAAGCCCGGATGAAGCCACACGCAAACTAGAATTGAGAAGCGGAAACAAAAAGGAAACAAGTCGACAACGAGATGGCAACAAGACCACGACATGACAGCAACAGGCCACCGACCAAGTGACCCAAAGGCCGCACGGGTAGGACATAGACTGCGACACAAATCGCACCATGCCAGGTAATATGATCAGCAAAGTGGACGGCTCGTTCCTCCTCTACGCATCGACCCGCGTGCCAAACGTCACTGCATGAACAGCAGGAACAGCGGGAGCAGCAGGACCCGGCGCGGGCGCATCGGGCTGCTAGGCCTTGCCATCCGCGTCCGGCCGTGGCGGGAACGTGGGCGCGCCCTTGGCATACTTTTCCACATACAGCCGCGCCTGCTCCTCAAAGGCGGCCCGCTGTGTCCGGTACTCGTCGGCAATGCGCGCCTCCAGCGGGTCGTCCGGCTGCGGCTCGACCAGCAGATTCCGCACGGCCTCGAGCACGCTCGTCATTGGGAACGCCGGCTTCCAGTTGTCCGTCTTGAGGATGGCCAGGCAGATGTTGCCGGCGCTGTCGTTGGTGACGTTGGGGTGGTAGATGCGCGTGGCAAATGTGACGACCGGCGGCTTGAAGGGGTAGCTGCTGGGCAGCACGACGACGAGGCCGTAGGTGCCCTTGGCATAGACGGTGTCAGGAGGCCCCTGCAGCGTGATGTGCCAGATGCTCATATCGTCTGGATACGGCATCTCGATGGTCATGCCGTCCGGCGCGTTGGCCTGGCAGTTGGCAAAGTCCTGGTGCGGCAGAAAGAGAGGTCAGCATATGACCTAGTAGCGGGCCGCGTAGAGACCGTCATTTGGAACTAACCTTTGCAATTCGCTTGAACGACATTGTGGCTGCTGTGGAAAGGATACAAGATATCGCGAGATGTGGATAAGGTGATGGGGTCAAAGTTGCAACGGGAGTTGAGTGCTGCCGATGAATGCTGAAGAAGGTTGACTGGGAAAACGTCGGCTGTTCGCAGGGAAGAGGAAGAGGACGTCTTGCTGCTGTATTTAAAAGACGCAGGATGCAACGCTTTTGTGGTTCCTGTAGGCAGGGAGGCAAAAGGAACAAAGGCACGAGGCACAAAGGCAGCCAAAGATGCTGCATCCGGACATGTCTTGATGACTCGCTGAAGCTTCAGGCGGCCCTCGGCCATTGGCGGGGCACAAAGAGCTTTGAACGGCGTCTGTTGAGACTCGACACACCACCTATCAACGGCAGTGACCTCACTGGTCAGTTAGCAGCGTCATTGCTGCGGGGTGCGGCGACAGGTGGCTGCTGTCACTGTTGTGTCTGCCGTTGGGGCGCCACAGCTCAGCCACAGGAGCACATCCAACCCCTGAAGATTTCGAGTCGAGGCCCTTGCTTGGCACGGCTAGACCCTCTTACCCTCTGAATGAGGGGACTGAAGCCGCTAGACAACCCATTGGCCAGCGCAATTGCGTATCGGACGGTCAGGGCCCTGGATTCCACTGGTCGCAGTAAGCTTGGCGCGGCCTCGTCTCGTGAAACTGCCTCGTTTCGGGCAGCGCCCCTCTCTTCCGCCTCTCCTCCGTTCTCACTCCACAACCTCAACAGCGACACTCTGTCGGTGCTCGGCTCCTGTGTCCCTCCTGTTTCCCATTCCCACGCGGCACTGTCAACCACACCCCTCCCTCCCCTCTTACCACCACCCCCCACTGCCCCTCTCAATGAGCGGTCTCGAGGACCCGGCCATTGCGGCCGCCTACGACGCCGTCCGCTCCGACAAGGACGCTGCCAACTGGCTCCTTGTCGGCGACCTGCCCGACAAGAAGGGCGTCCTGGGCCTGCTCGCCACGGGCGAAGGCGGCCTTGCCGAGCTCGCCGAGAAGCTCGACGACACCCAGGCCCAGTACGGCTACGCCCGCGTCGAGTACGCCAACGACTCCGAGTCCACCCGCGTCAAGTTTATTCTCGTCGTCTGGATCGGCAGCCAGACCAAGGTCATGCGCAAGGCCCGCGTCAGCATCGAGTCCGGCGAGGTCAAGAAGGTCCTGCGCCACCACAGCATCCAGGTCGACGTCCACGACCGCAAGTCCGACCTGGCCGAGGCCGACATTGTCGCGCGTCTGCGCAAGGCCGGCGGCGCCGACTACAACGGCGGCCGGGGGTGAGTAGGACACGGCGGGATGCGAATGGATTGGATTGGATGGTGGGATGCGGCGTGCCTGAACACAGCCGGGCAAAGAGTAAACAGCAGCGGACAGCGGACGAACAGGGGGGACGGCGGTTCTTTGCAGCGTTTTGCGCTCAGCGTTTTGTGCCGTATTTTTTGTTTCATTTTTTGTCTCCCCGTTTCGTCTCTGGATATATACCTCAGAACATGAAAGACGAACAAGGAAAGACTACAATGCAAATGCGACTGTGAACGACGTGAGGAGTCATGATGGGACTTGGATGTCTGTAGGGCCCTCTGTAGGGTGATGTTTGCATAAATACGGTGCAACGGACCAGCTGAAACAAATATCAAAATGAAAAGCATATACATAAAGGCCGCCCTGGTACCGTCCCGCGTGCCCGGTAATACAATAAAAATGATGTATCAATACAAAAAAGTAGCAAAAAGGTAGCAAAAGAAACCGAGCTGTAGCCAAAGACCAAATAGGGAATCCCCGGTGACGCCGCTGCCAAAATATTTGTACAAACCGATCTGTTTGCTCCTTGCTTCTTAGACATCGACGAGGGCCACACTGGACTCTCTCCCGTCGTCCATTTCCGCATCCTTGCCGTCGCCCTCAGCTTCGACTGTGTCTTCTTCGTCCTCCTCTTCGGCGTCTTCCTCGTCTCCGTCTTCGTCACCATCTTCCTCGTCGTCCTCGCCCTCCTCGCCTTCTTCTACGTCTTCCTCTTCTTCTCCATCCGTTTCCTCGATGTCTTCACCCTCTTCGTCCTCATCAACTTCAGCGGCTGCCTCGCCTTCTTCGCCTTCCTCGCCTTCAAGGGCGGTCGCGCCCTCCTCCTCTTCTTCTTCGTCTTCAGCTTCGACCTCTTCAACATCTTCGCCCTCGTCTTCCTCCTGTTCTTCCTCTTCTCCGCCTTCATCTTCTTCTTCCTCCTCGGCTTCGCTATTCTCGGCCGTCTCGGTAGGTTCGCTGCGCCGCAGATTCGGGAACAGCATCGACGCAGGCGCATTCTCTTCGTAGTCGGCCGGGACGTCGCTGAGCTCGCTGAGTTCGCTCTCATCGTCCGCCCAGTCGTTGACGCTCGCATGCGGCGACGATCCAGCCTCGCTTCCGCCCGACTTTTTGGCGTCTTTGCTGTCGCCGCCACCTTCGTCCTCGTCATGCTCGTCGTCCGCATCCTTCATCTCCGTGTCGTCGGCGCCGCCATCGCCGTTCTGGCCCGGACCGGCACTACGGTGGCGGCTCTTGCTGCGCGTGCTGCGCGTCCGGCCGCGCGTGCTGACCCCTTCCTCTCCCTCGGCGCCACTACCGTCGCCGTCCTTGCTGTCCTTGCCATCGCCACCGCCGAGACCCTCGGCACTCGTCACGTTGAGGTCGTTGCGCGCGCTTGAGGACGAGCCCAGACGTGTCGACCGCCGGCTCATGCCGCCGCGCTCGCCTGGACCATCACCGCCGCGACGGGACTGCATGTTGGTACCTGTGGCGCCATGGCCGTCGCTACCAGCAGCACCGGATGAACCGCTTGGACCGCCGCCCGTCTTGGCAAGGAGGTCGCCCAGGAGGGACGACGCCTGCTCGGCCTTTCGAAGGATGTCGACGCGGCGCACACCGGGGGCACGTCCACGGCGGTGGGGATGGTCGCTGCCCATGCCAGAGCCTTGGCGTTCCATCTTTTCCGCGGCAAACAGGCCACCAGGGGTTTCGGAGCCGGCGCGGGACACGCCGTTCATGCTGTCTTTGTCGGCGCCGCCACCGTGACGGTCCGACAGCAGGTTGAACGACAGCATGATCGCCGCGGTGGTCGACGATGCCGCCTCGGCTTGCTTCTCCTTCTCGGCCCGCTCTGCCCGCTCTGCCTTTTCCGCCTTGTCCGCCTCATCTCGCAGCTTCCGCAGCCGTTCTTCGACAATCTTGGCCGGGTCCTCGCCGGGCAGCGTACGGCCAACGTCCGCAAAGATGGCGCTGTAGCAGTCGCTAATTAGGTCGTCAATGGAACCGCCCTTAAGCAGACCCGCGTTGAGCTTTTTGATCTCAATGGCTTCCCGCATCGCGTTGAGCGCAAAGTGGTCCATGTCCGGTTTCTCCACCCACTCGGCAATGCGCTCGGCATAAATCTCAAACTCCTCGGGCGTCACGTTCTTGAATGCAACGTCGGCGCCGTGGGGGATCTTGTAGTATTTGCGCAGCAAGCGCAGGTAGCTGACAACGCACGTCTGCCACAGGTCGTTAAAGTGGTAGAAGTCGGCCCCCTTTTTGCGGATCCGCCGCAGCAGCGCCTCGAGGTTGATGCGGTCGTCCAGGACCACGAGCAGCCGCGTCATGAAGCGGATGTATTGCTCCGTGAACACGTGGTGCCGACCGGGGCGTTCAGCGTCGCACTTCCAGACGTTCATTACCATGGTCTTGGTGAACATGGACTCGCGCAACACGGCAAACGCCGCTTGAGCTTTTCCCTTGCGCACCTCCTCTTCCGGGTCAGTCTCCACCTTCGTGACAGCCTTGTCCTCCTCCTTTTCGGCATCCTTGTCACCACCTTTGTCGACAGCCATCGCGGTGTCCGTCGCGCTGTTTGGTTCTGGAGCCTCAGTGACATTGATCTCCGAACTATCCTTGTCTGCGCCCTCTTTGTTGGCTGGCTCTTCGTCAATGTCCATTTTGTTGGCATCTTTGTTGGCGTCTTTGTCGGCGTCCTTTTTGGCGCCATTTCCGGCGTCATTTCCGGCGTCCTTGTCAGACCCCTTCTCGTTCGCCTTGGCGGCGACCCTAGGAGACGACCGCACAACGATGCTATCGCCAATTTTTTCAGTCGGCTCTTTCGACGACTTCTTGGTTGACTTGGACATGGAAACGTCATTGGCCTCTTCTTCCGCACCAGGGCCGTTGCCAACAACGTGCTCTTGGTCGTTGGTCTTGTCAGCCTTGGAGTTGTCGGCTTCTCTCTCATCAGGCTTCTTGTCCGCCGCAGAAGCTTCTTGGCTCTTTTCCTTTGTGCTTTCCGTTGTCATGTCGATGGCCTTGTTGGACTTGTCCGAAGTCGCCTCGTTGTCACCGTTCTTGGTCGTCCCATTGGAGGGATCTTTCGCCTCCTTTGACACGCCGTTGGTGCCGTTGGTGCTGGTGACATCGTCGACCTCAATTACGAGCGTATCGTCTGTGCCGTGCTCTTCCTCGACATCCATACCCTCGGCGACTGGTACGGCGTCTTCGGCTAGGTCGCAGTCGCCAAACAGGATCTTTGCCTGGCGGATGGCCATGCGGTGCTGCCAATTGGACTTGTCCTTGTCGCGGAGATGCTGGAGCGTCTTGGCCATGAAGTCGTCCCATTCCGCCATGTTCGTGGCTGACATCGTCTCGCCGTGCTGGACGGCGTACGGCTGGCGCTGCAAGATGTCGACGGCCGCCTGCGCGTGCAAATCATTGCGACGTACCAGCTTGTCAATGACAGACACGATCTTGTAGTGCGGCTCGAGCACCGGGTCCTGGCCATGTCGAGGCTTGGGCAGCAAGGACACCACCTCGATGGCCTTTTCTAGGGCACATACAATGTCGTCGACCGACGGATGCGATGCACGCTCGCGGGGATGGAGCTCATCCACGGGCTTTTGGTACATCTTCCACAGACACTTGGACAGCATGTACGCGCTCTTCCAGTCCTTGCCACGGCGCGCGAGGGCGCGGCGGAAGAGGCCAGCGCTGTACTTCCAGACCATGTAGCTGGACATCTCGCCATGCTGCAGCTTCTTGTAGGTCGACATGTGATCCGGCGCGATGAACCAGCGCTCGTGCTGCGCGTGTTGGAAACATTCCATGGCGAAGGGCTCGCGACTGCTTGAGTACATGCGCAGGCCAAAATCCGCGTACAGGTCGTGCACGGCGTCAAAGTCGTTCTCGGATAGTTCTTTGGGGTCGGCGTGGTAGTAGGACAAGGCCAGCGTGTAGCAGTGGATGGCACTGCGCTGGAGCTTAACGAGCTCGGCGCGATCCTTGTTAATCTTTTCGGCAGACCAGAGCACAGCCTCGTCCAAGTCGTAGTCGGAGCATTCGGCCAGACGGAACCATGCATCCCACCGGGTCGGGGTCAGCTGCAGCTGCAGGCGCAAGTACTGCGTGCCAACACGGAGGTCGTCGGTAGCGCCTGGCGTTTGTCGGCGGTTGAGGTCGACGCCCTTGAACTTGGTCAGGGCCACCATGCCCATAAGAAAGAACCAGCCACTGCGGGCCAGCACGGTATCCGGCGTGGTGGCCGACACCGTGTCGAGTTCCACGACACCCTTCCATGCCTCGTAGAGGCGCATCGGATGGATAGGGCGCTTCAGGTATTCGGTAAAATAGCGAAGGTTGTGGATCATCTGGCTGGTCGACCGTGTCTGGCCAATGGCCTGCTGCATGTGCTCAATGGTGTTCTTGAGGTCGGACTTGAGAAGGTCTTTCATCTGCATGCCACTGGCCAGCGCCATGACCTTGTCGACCAGGGCAAGTGCATTCTTCCGCTCCAGCTTTTCAACGGGGCAGCCGTGTTCCTGCACGTCAAACGAGCCCACACCGAGCTTGATGCCGTGCAGGTCGTACAGGACCTGGCCAAGATAGTCCTCCCAGTTGTCGATGCCTTTCATCTTCAACAGCTCGGCGCGCACCAGGCGGAGGAAGATCTTGTTTGAGGCCTTGCAGTATTTCCGGGAGCCCACAACCTGGTGAATGGCGCCGATAAATTCTGCGAGGTCGGCCTGAATCGAAGGAAGAGAAAGTGGCAGCGGCGTGTGGCTGGCAGGAGGTGAGCCTGGCTTGGTAGGTGTGAGAGGCCCAGGAGGTGACCCCGGCGTCGAGCCTGGGGTTGACGGGACGGCGGAAGCCCGGACGTCTGCAGCAGATGTGGCTGCCACCATCTTGAGGCCCGTCTTTAGGATGGTGTACTGCAGACTCCAAGTACGGACCTGAATTTCACGCAGCTTGTTTTGGAAGGAGTGGAACGTCTGCGTGTTGGATGCCGTGGAAGACATGCCAATGCGGACCTCGTCTTCGTGTAGAGTCGCGACGTGGAGCATGCAGCTGATGCGTGCCAGCGCAGTTGCTGATGACCGGACATGTTCTTCGTCAATGACTTCAAATACCTGGGGATCGTTGACGGCCATATGAAGGGCCTGGATGGTCATCTCGTCAATCGTCTTGAGGAGAAGCATAAACGCCTGCAGCCTGGTGGACTCCTGCGGTGTCGACAGATACTGTTCGCTTTCCAGGTCGCGGACGACCATCTCGATGCACCGCAGGTAGCATGACAACACTTTTGTGGAGTAGTCAATCTCCTTGTAGGCATCGGCGAGCCTTGTCCAGAGGAACAGCCGCAGCTCAGTGTTGCTGCCGCGGAGGAACTTCCACATATCACGAAGTTCTGGCGAGGCACACTCGCAAATGGGTTTCTGTTCACCGGCAGTGTCGTCGCCAATGGGAACATAGACAGAGTCAGGGTTCAGGACCGGCTCGAGTTTGTCGATGATTACGACGGGGTCCTTCAGCTCCTCCTGGAAGAGCGAAAGGAAGAAGTCCATCGTTGTGAGCTTGCTGATCTCGCGATCTGCGGCCTTGTACGACACTTCCGGCATAACGGCGTTGTTCGGCAACACAACCTCGATTGTCGGGCCCTTCTGTTGTTCTTCATAGAGTGTCTGACGAAGGCTCTCCCAGCAGGCCAGGATATGGTCCCTTGGAACACCCGGCGTAAGGGCAGTAGAAAAGACAGATGCCCATAAAAAGCGGCAGGTCAAGTTCCTATCGCCGCGAGGAGCCGACCGAGCAAAGTCTGATGCAAGGTTCATCCAGCGGTCGAGTCGCAGCTTCGTCTCTGTGCGAATGGTCGCGTCCACCGCACTGCTAGGGTTCGTGATTCGTTCATAGATGTCGATATACAGCTCGAAGATCATCTGAACAAGGCCGTGGATCTCCTCGACGGCCATGGCCGGTCTCGAAGTAGAATCCACAATCGCTTTTGTGGAGCCGGCAAGGTCCCGCGAACGCTGTACCTCGTCAAGGACTCTGGTAACTATTGGTGTGTCAAATGTGTTGAGCATCTGTACGACGACCGTCTTCATAGATTCGGACCACTTCAGGGATCCATAGCTTTGCGCCATCGCAGACATCCACGCATGGACGACGTCTTGGATGGTGTACCAGCCTTTGTTCACCATAATAACAAAGGCACGCAGGTCTCGCATCTCATCAAACGCTGCTCGCTCTGGCGGGTGCTGGTGGCCGGACCTAGCGCGTTCCAGAAACGCCTCTAGGCCCAGCACAGGAGTGTCTTTTTTGTTGAGCAGAATCCGCGCCCTGTCGTCTTTGAACGCTGTGATGAGGGAGGTACGCAGATCCCTTGCGAGTTGGTTCTGCAGTTTGGCAATACGGCCCTCCGTCTCGCCGCACGCCTCGATTGTTTCGTCTAGTGCTGGGATATCGGTGACGCCGACCTTTTCAAGAAGCTGTTTTGTCAGGCGGAACAGGTGCTGGTCTGCTTCCTGGTAGGGCTGAAGTTGTTCAGCAAACGCAGCGTTGGGGTCAGCGGCAACTTCAGCCAGCGTCTCACGCCGGCGGATGCGTTTGCTTCGCTTCGTGTCGGCATGTTCGTCGTCGCCGGCTTCGGGGAGCCCGGCCGCAGACTGAGAACGCTTGCGAGACTGCGATGCACTTCCCTCCTTGCTGGCATCCCTCTGCGATGAGTTGTCGGGCGAGTCTTTGTCTTTGGCGGCAACTGCCTCTTTGTCGTCGGAGGTGGAAGGACCGCTGGCTTTTGCGAGCTCTTCCGGCTCTGCATCCACGCTTTCTTCGGCCTTGACGTCCTTTGCAGTCTTGTCGCTGCTCTCAAGGTCTTCAGCATCTTGATGCAGGCCCGAGAGCTGCTGGTCAATCTCTATTTGCATAATCTGGTGGTCGTCAGGCATCTGCGGTGCATCCAGGAAGAGACCACGGCCTGAGATGCCATGCTCATTCAGCGACTTGACGAGAGCAAGGCCTAGGTCGGCCCAGGAAGGCTCCGTGAACTCGATCGTGATACGTGTTCTGTCCTTCTCTCTGGGTTCCGTGATATCTCTGGAGGGCTGCACGACATGTTTGGTCGGGTTTGGGAGCCACGGGAGGGGGTCAAGGTATCGCTTTAGTGACGCTGCTATTTCCCTCCGCAAATACGGCACCATGATAGGGTGCGACAGCGAAATGTCGTCGGAGAGATCTTGCAGCTGGTTTCGGAGCTGCTCACCAGCAAAGCCTTCGGCGAGAGACGGCGGTGCAACCTCCACAACAGCCGGGTCATCGTCTAGCTCAATGGCGGCCTCCAGGCAGTACCGCTCAATCCGGGCACTTCGCAGAAAGGCGGCGATGCGCGACGTCCTCCGCCACAGTTCTGCATCGGACGGGTCGCGGTCAAGCGCCGCATCAAACTCGTCGAGTGCATTCTTCGTGTCGCCCTGGACATCTGTCTCCGCAAACACGGCGTTTCCCTTATTCCCTTCTGCCCGCCATGTCCGCACTTTGTGTCGCACCTTGTCCAGCAGGAACTGGCCATGGTTCTTGTATGCAATGTAGTATGCCTGCGGCAGGCTGCTTCCGGTGGAGTTGTCGTCGAGAAGGGCGGAATCGAGGGAGGCGACAAAGGAAGGGCCTGGGGTCAGGGGTGTGACGGTCTGGCGCGCGGCACGATCGTAGTCGGTGGCAGCCTCGGGGTAGCTGAAAATGGCCGACTTAAAGAGTACGTCGTATGCCTTCTCGGCCTCAGGAAAAGACTTGGGGCCTTGCGCATGGAGCCTCAAGGCCGTTTGGTAGAGCTTGAGCGCATCGTCGATCTGGAGAGTATTGTGTTAACAGCCGGCGCAGAGGCACATTTGGACTGGAGGGCATTGCCTACTTGAATGCGCCGTGTGACTTCTACCTCGTCCTCGAGGTTGTCCTCGGGCTCGACATTGATGGCCGCAAAGGCGGGCTGAAAAAAAAAAGAGACGACAGTCAGAATCAACCAGAACGAAGCTCAAAAGAGCCGCTGAAGTGAGAATGGAATACGTTCACATACCATCTTGAGTACGACGACAATTGCTTCATGCGTTCAATATAATTCTGTAGATTATGCCGAAAATGTACGTTAGGGCAAATTGTGGCGCCGGCGATCGTGGTGGGCGTGCGATGTTGTGCGAAGATGGGTCGAAAGATTTCAAGCATCATGTACCGGAAGCCCAGGCAATCGCGTATAGCTAGTCTAAGGAGACGCGATGCCCCATTAACGGTCAATCCGATAGATACTTGCACCGCCACATCTGTGACGTGGCGAGCCTATCTCTGATTGTGGCTAGTGAAGGTGCTAGCCCTGGGCGTGTGGAACAAGGGGCAACCGAATTGGCTCTAGGTGAGTTAAGACCAGTTTCCAGGAGAGGCTGGAGGCAGGAACCATAAGAACAACACTGCAGTCCGAAAACGTTCTCCAGCAACAACTCTCTTTCATCTGCCCGCGCACTAGAGCTGCGCCATTGGCATCGCGACGCCCCAACTTCACGAACGGCCAGATTGGCACTGCCTGGACCCTGCATACAGCTTCTTTTAACGTCGAACCGTCCCTGCGGCGCGACCGCCAAAGCTCCATCCTGCCTTGGAATCATAAAAGCTTCCATTTCGCGCCTTTCTCCAAATCCACCGCCAGTATCACCACCTCGCATCACGTCCGCCCAGGGTCTTGAGCTTGCGCATACAGCAAGCTCTCTGCCACCATGGTCGCACCTGCGGTTCCCGAGTATGTCACCCTCCCATCTGCTCGCAAGCGTTGTCCTCCTGGCTTTCGCCAACCCCTCTCCACGTGTCCTCCCCCTTTCGTAAATCTCGAGTGGGAGACTGATCGTTTTGCGTCTGCAGGATTATGGAGGAGGAGCTCCACGAGTCTATTGAGAGTCGTACCGAGCAGCTCATGTCCCTCCGCGAGCTTGGTCCGCCGGATCTTGTTCATCTCGTCAAGGCGCCCGTCCGGGGCAATGGTCGCCAGGTAAGCAACAGCTTAGTTGAGCTTCCTGAGGATCCCCGGGAGACTGCCAGCGCATCGTACTGACTTTGTGGTGCTTGTTGTTGTAGATTGGTGTCTACCACCACGTCACCGGCGTCGACGCGTCTTCGTCTGCCAGCTTGGCAGCATACATCAACACTCTCACCTACCGCGAACCCGGCGCAACAGCAACGACAAAGATCACCGAGGGCCTCTACTGGTACGACTGGACTCTATGCACATGCGTGAGGATGGCAGCGTGAATGATGGGCTAACCAACGACTACGATGACTTATAGCTGCTACAATGCGCTTTCGCGGCTCGACATGCGCGTGCATGTCTCGATTCCCGGCACCGTCAAGAGCTACTTTGTCGACGAGCGCGGCGAGCAGAAAAAGGCGACCGACGACTTGTGGCTCGAGACGTACCTCTGCAGCGTGCTGCGCGCATACTCCTACGCTGATGACGGCAGCGGCGAAACGATACGTAAGATCATGGGCGTGCGGCGTTTCAACCCTGTCACGAGTACCGAGACCGAGCACCGCTTCCTAAGCAGTGCCGAGCAGCTTTTCTTCCGAGGTATGTTTACGACGACGACGACAATCACGCGCCCTGGGTAGTTGATGAGGGGTTGAATGGCGCGCGCTAACTTTACGTTCCAGGTTGGCAACTCGGCTCCGACTCAACCGTCCAAGTTCCCACCGCCGTCTCGAACCACCTTGTCAGCGGGCTCCTCAAATACTTCGAGACAACCGGCCGTTACGCGTCCGGTATCAACCTATTCCAGAAACTGCAGACACAGAATGTGGAGGTCGCCTCGCTCCTTGCAAAGGTGCTCTTCATGGGCAACGAGGAGGTTGAGGGCGTGCGCGTCCTCTACGAGGCGCTCAAGCTGGAGCCAATGGACCATGTTATGCTCGATACACAAGCTGACTTCCTGCTGCGGAAAGCGCGCTCAGCTGCCAGCCCCGAGCAGAAAGAGGCCCGCTTGCGCATGGCACTGGGCTGCGCCGATCGTGGCACCATTGCGGCACCGAGCGAGTTCGACACCTGGGCCCGCCTGGCCGAAGTATACGTTGCCCAAGAAGACTGGGAGAATGCGCTGACGACGCTCAACTCGTGCCCCATGTTCACGTACCAAGATAAGGACGCGCCGATGATGCCGGAGCCCAAGGACGTCACCCTGCCCATTCTTCCCGAGACACGCCTCGACGAGATCGACACGGAGATGGAGCAACGGTTCAACGAGCAGGTCGATCCCAGCCTGCTGAACCTGCGCGCATCGGCCTACCGCGGCACGTTCAAGAAGGCGTACAAGATTCTCACAGAAATGACGGCCAAGATCGGCTGGGACCAGCTACTGAAGATCCGCAGCAACGTGTTTGTCATGGAGGACGAGTACCGCACCGAGCGCAGGGAAGGCCCGCCGTCTGTGGCGTCGTATCCGACAAAGTCGGGCAACGAAGCCAATGGCAACAATGCGAGCACAGACGCCCTTCGCGGCACGCCCGATCGCCAGCCAAACGGCGACCATCCGGACGACGACGACTCCAAAGCAAGCGATGCGTCGGAAGACGATGAGTCCAAGATTGACGATAGCGAAGAGACCAAGGCCGAGGAGGCCGGAGCCGAGGGCGTTGATGGTCCCACCATTGAGAAGCCGACAACGGCCGCCGACGCCGGTGACGGCAAGCCCGACGAGAATGTAGGTGGTTTGCATTGTCCCTGGGATTTTTTTTTTCTTCTTTACCCAGCAATTGTTCCATGAAACATGTTCTAATGTTTTTTCTACTCCAGGGTTCCACGGTCCCGACCGAAGAGCAGCTTTCGCGCCTCAACAACAAGCGGCTATGCGAGCGCTGGCTCGATAGCCTGTTCATGGTCCTGTACGAGGACCTGCGTGTCTACACCATCTGGCGGACCCAGATGGCCCAGTACCGCGCCCAGTCTATGCAGTACAAGAAGTCTGGCGAGGAGTGGGAGATCCTCGGCAACTTGGCCGAGCGCCTGCAGCACGAGGACGAGGCGGTCGAGGCCTACCGTGCGTGTCTCGCCCAGCGCTTCAGCCCGCGTGCCCTGGCCGGCATCCTGCGCGCCCTCAAGAAGACGCGCGGTGCCACGCCGGAGACGGTCGCTGCCATCATCCGACTCGTCACGTGGCAGTACCGGTGGTACTCGGGCTTCTCGCCGGAGTTGCTGCAGACGGTGCGGACGCTGATTGAGGAAGAGGGCGGCGTCAAGGTGGGCAGCTTGATCCAGGCAACCAACCTGCCGCAGCATGTGCTGGACCTGACGCACCACTATGCCGCCCTGTGTGCTACCTTCCACAGCTCCGGCACGGACGGCTAGGAAAGACGTGACTCGGGTGCGATGCGATGAGGGTGCGGGTGTGAGTGGCCAGTGTATCTATTGTACGGCGAACGAAAAAGAGTTCTCGGGCTGTGGGACTCCGACACTGATTTCGTTGGAGACCGGTGAAAGTTGTAAAAGGTTTTCTACTTTATTAATTTTTGTGTTTCTCTTACATTCTTTTTTTCGTGATCTGAACACTTGCTTTCGGCTCGTTTATGCTGCCTTGGATTTGTGCTTCACACGTCATGAGGTTCGCTTTTCTGTTGTTGCATTCTCGATTCTCGTTTTAGACAGGGGCTAAGGCTCTCTTAGGCGTTGCCTACAAAATTAATTTACAGTTTCTACAACGGCCGCGATACGAATGTGCTCGTGATACGGCAGTTCATGGAAGCCACGTTGTTTCTCTATAAAATATTGTCTTCTCCGTGTCGTTTGTCATGCAATGCTCGTATCAAACAAAACATGCTTATGCGACCATTTTTACTATGAACCGTTGCTGCCGTCCTAACCTTGTCTAAACAACCCACAAGCCGTAAGCAACATACAAAATGATTTTTTTTTAAAAAAGGGCTGTCAGATCGTCCATCCGCGGATATCATGTGAGGACGGGCAGATATGCTATGAAAAATGCTATAGACCAACTCCGAGTGGAAAGAAATATGGTTCAAAAAAAAAAAAAGAAAAGAAAAGAAAGAAACGCTCGGGCTTTCCGTATCAAACAGCGGCGGCGACAAAGAAGCAGTCTGGTAAAACACTACATCACCTCTGTAGGGTGGCGGTCACGACGGCGCCCAAACAGCGTTCCCTTTCTACGGACAGTTGCGTCACCTTGGCCGCTGCTCTCTGGCGTGTCATGGCCGTCGGGGTGGGGTGACTTTGGCGAGTCCGTAGCAGCAAGGGCGTCGGCTCGAGCCTCTTTAAATGCATCGCGCCGTTCACGCCGCTTTTCCTCGATGCTCTCCTGACTGAGGTGGCCAAACCCGTTGCGACGGCGAAAGGTGGCCTCCATGAGCATGTTGCAGTCCAGCAGGTGGCGCGGCAGGCCCTGCACGACGCCAAACATCTCCATAGGATCCGTCACGGCACGGATTTCGGGCTCGCCAAGCTTGAAGATGGCCAGCGCAACGCGGAAGAGTGTCTTGCTGCCTTCGTAGAAGAAAACGTCCCAAACACGCAGCGTTGTCTCGATGGGCAGCGTCCCAATGAAGCAGGACATAAACCACGCCGTCATGCAAAGGGTGATGGGAGGAAGGCGCTCGGCAGAGGCGGCTGTGAGAGGGTCCGTCTTGTTCCCGCCGACTCTCGGCAGTTTCATCATGCGGCCAATAGCAACCGGCTTCTGTGCGTCGCGGTGTGCAGGCGTACTGTCCTCCAAGTCGCCCCCGATCTTCGCCCATACGCCCGGTAGCGACTCCTGCATGGCGGCCATGAGAACACCCAAGTCAACTTTCGAGCCTTCAAGAGACATCTCATGGGTACCAGGCAAGAAAATGCGCGTGATGACATTGAGAAGCCAGAAGCAATGCTCCTCCGTCTCCACAAACAACAAGAGCAAGCCGGCCAAGAAATTCAGACTTTGGCAGTACCCGATGCGAGGGTTGTAGATTGAAAAGGCGAGAAGAACTCTGCGCAGCTTCGAGACGATCTTTGGCTCATCCGGACGATCAACGGTGATGTCGCTGACGGCCTGGTCGGGGCCGTCAGATTCCCCGTGGCCAGGTTGCTGGGTTCCAGAAAATTGGAAGGCAACGTTGTCGGGAAATGTGCGGTGCAAATCACGCTCAATTGACTCGATATCGACGGCCTTTGCCTCACCACGACGAGCACGGACAAGCAGTTGGTTGTAAATACCAGGGTGCTTGGCAATGATGCTGGGTCCACCGGCATAGTAGAACCACGCAGCACCACGCCATTCGGGCGGGATGCCCTTCCGGATGAAGCGCTTTGTCTTCACACTTGGCGGCGGGAAGCGCGTGGGTTTGTCTGTGATCAAGCCCGAGTCGCGCAGGTACGACACCCACTTTCTGCGTCGCCGCCCAATATATTCCGTGTAGGGAGCGTTCCATGCATCGTACTGCTCACGCGTAATATACTGGTTGTGCTTGCGGAAGCCGTACCGGTCACGCATGCCTGGGTCATCAGGTTCGTCTTGGGCCCGGGCGAACAGCGAGGGTGCCTTTGCCGAGCCAGGGCGGCTGTCAAAGGATGTATTTAACTGTGGCGACGACAGCGGCGAAGGGTTGCCAGAAGGCTTGTCGTCTGATTCCAGCATCTTGGCTGAATCGCGTTTTTCCTTGAGATCATCCTGGTCATTTGCGTTGGGAACTTGGAGCTGTCTGTTATTCATGTGCTGCGTGACAAGTCCAAAGCCACTATCTTTTGGTACCGACGACGACAGACCGGAATAACGGATAGGCCGCGACGTGTCCAGTGCGGCATTGTGCGACAATCCGGCCCTATTTGTGGAGGAGGGAGGAATGGGCAAAGAGTCACTGATAGCTTCCAGAATTTGCGAGTCAATCAGACCAGATGCTAGTACCTCCGGGCCGGACGGCGTCACACCGTGGTCGTGAGCTTCTTCAGCGTCCGTGAAATCCTCGTCGCCCGAGTCCTTGCCGGAGGCGGTGCCACCATACGGCCCGTCATTGTCTTCTGCCCCGGTGGAGTCGCCAAAGCCTTTTTCGTAGAGGCCCATAACATCGTCGACACTGAGGCCATCATCGGCTCCAGTAGGGGTATTTGTGTACCATGCCATGGACGCGTGGGAGCTGGCCTTTGTCAACATGCTGCTACGTGCTGTGCTGGTTTCAGTGAACACGGTCTTGTTTGCTGTTGATGATGTCCATTGAGAACGATAGCTGGACCGGGTCTCTTCATCAGCACGTGCAAAAGTTGGGTCGCGAAGCTGGGATAGGCTTTGTGCCCCAAGCAGCTGCGGCCTGGCATTGGGGTTGTTGCTGCCAGTGCTGTTTGTACGACTGTAGGCAACAGGAGGACGTGGAAGACCAGGGGAAGGCGCATCGGTATTTAGTGGCTGTGTGGACGGGACGACCTGGGCATTGGGGCGCGTGTTGTCGGTGGATGGGCGATCTGTGACGGAAGAGTATGTGGAAGACGATTTGTGAGAAGAGACGGACATGCCGCGCGCACGTTCGCGTGGCCAAGTGGACGACTGCGCCGAGACTGCGGCAGCCGGCGCCGGACTTTCTAGCCGGACAGGATCGGGGGTATGTGAGCTTGTAGATATGGCGGGGAGAGCATCACGCGAGCCTTGTTTGACGCTGGGCTTCCGTGGCCGAGAAAAGTTCCCGACAATCATGGTGTTTGGAACCGCCTGCGGAGGCGGCGGTGGTGACGAGAAGTCGGGGGATAAGGGGGGCGGCGGAGTCGAGGGAGTTTCTGTAGCTGTTATTGCTGTTCCTGTTGCTGCTGCGGTTGCGGTTGCGTCAGGAAAGGGGCTCGGCTTGTCGGATGGCGGCAGGGAGTCGTCGGTCGAGGTGGATGCTCGCCCTTGTGGAATATGGTTCGATACGAATGGGTGTGAAGAGAGCCCAGCAAAGCGAGGTGTCGACGAGGAGGAGGACGGAGACCGCAGAAGAGACTTGGCCGCAAACGTGCTGTGCGAAGGCGAGACCGGGCTGGTCGGCGCGGTCGAAAAGCCTACGGATGCAATTGATGTGTGAAGAGACGACAGGGGGACGGGGCCAGTGGTAAAAGACGAGCCCGAGTAGCTGTAGACGGCAGAGCCGTTGGCGAGCTTGGGCCAGCGCGGCGAGGTGGGCGACGTCGGTGACTGGGGTAGAGGTGGAAGATACGAAGAACGTCGAGTGCTGCCGTCGTGATCAGAATCACCTTCCAAATCACCGCCGTCTGGGCCTTCGTCGAGGCTGTCGTCAAAGTCGAATTTGTTTTTGTGTGACTGCGTCTTCGTCCTGGGCGAGCCGAGCAAAGTCCGTCCAGTTGTTTTGCCGCTGCTGCTTGTGCTGCTCCTGCCGTTGTCGCGGGTGTGGATGCGAGATTGCTGTTGACTGTCATGGGCAGCAGGCCACGCACCCTCGTCGAAACCCAGGGGCTCCACGTCTGAGGCAGTATCTTCGTGTTTCGTAGGGGGCTGGTTCTGTCGCAGGCGGCCCGCAAACAAGCCGACGTCGCGGTTCCTCGAGCTCTGCCGCCGCCTAAACGATGCAGCCGTGGGCGAGAAAGACGATGCCGGGCCCTCAGCATCCCCAGCATATGCCGAGTCGTCGTGCTCCTGGTAGGCCATTGTCGCCAGTACGGCCGCGCCACATGCTGCAGATACGGTGCGGACGATACGAATTGCTGGTGTGCTCGAAGAGCGGCGAGTTGGGACGAAACAAGCTCAATGGCAAATCTGCCTTAATTGGCGGATGGGGAAGCGAGACGGATTGCTTTTATGATCTGGAAATGGATCTTTCTACGGCGTGCCCAGTGGACGTTACTTTCTCTTTTTTTCCTCTTTTTGGCATGTTCGGTTTCCTTGTTCTTGCCTAATTTGTCTGGGCGTGCGTCCTTTGTTTTGATCGACTTTTAGGGGTGGGAAGCAGCGGATGTGCACAAGACGTGGTGCTAGTCTCACAAGCGGCAGGCGCGTGGCGTACGCGCTCGTAGTGCCGTGAATAAGTGCCAGGAACCACATCGCGTCTGGAACGCCCGCACGGCTGGTGCCATGGCACGCCTGCGTCAAGGGAAATTGGTTTTTTGTGGAGGAACAATGCCGCCTCCGTATTCAGTGCTGCGCTATTTCAGGTCAAGGGCTGGAAGGCATGCTGGGAAGTCCCACACAGCAAGCTCATTACTGTCGCGAAATGTCTCAGCGGGCATTTTGCACGCGGGAAGTTGGACAAACAGGGCATCAATTTCGTGTTCAACACAGCACAGTTTCTGCGTACGGCTTGGAGGAAAGGGCGTACCTAAACGCAAGGAGGACGACACAGGTGAACGGACGACTTCAAGCGACTGCGCAGGAAACCATCCGGAACGCATTAATACTTCGCAAGCGGCTGCCAGTAAGTACAAATCGATTGGCGGGCGAGCCATGGTCCTTCAACAACTAGGGGAGAGGCTGCTGTTCGTAGACCGCAATGGAACGCAAGGCAGAACAGTCTGTACTTGTGAACAAAGGGTGCCGCCACTTGGTTTCACGTTGCTGATCGATGCGGGCAACATGTGATTGGTACGAGCGCTCCAATATGAGAATTTCCAGGCAGGTTGCAAGGAACCTCTGCCGGTAGGACGCAGGCTAGAAAATTGAGTACGACCCTGCACGCGTGGTGGCACGCAAGAAATGCCATGAGGGTGTAAAGTAAAGACAAAGTAAACAAGAATACCGGACGCCTGTCCTTTTTGTACAGCTGTGCGAGGGCCTCATAGAAGGTGCTGAATGCCTTCTGGTGGCCTCATTTGTTTCATCAGAATGTGAAGACAAATGAAGTGGGAAAGCGCGATTCTCAACTTCGGTCCAGGAACGGAAACCGCGACACTCGAGGCACGAGAAAACATATTTGCTTTGTCCGAGTCTCATTCGCGGACGAAACCTTTCCATTATTCAGACTTTTTTGAGATTTTTTTTGTTGGGGGGGGGGGTTCGTTCGGCCCCAGGAACTGCCTCCTCCTCTGTCTAACGTTATGGTGTAAATTCAAACGATACACTGTCACCACTGTCGCATTCCCCGACCATCGTCGCCGACAGGATCAGTCCTCAGTACCAGGGTTCGCCCAGGATGGAACCGGGGTGCGTCTTCCAGAAACACAATTTTCTGCTTCTTTGTGGAGGATTGTGGAGACTCCCAGGCCAATTCCAGGTGCTTGTCTGCCAGTCAAAATTTCGGTTCCAACGCTTTCTTGAGGTCTTGTCTGCTCCCTCGTCAGTCGTCGCATTTTTCTTGCCGAGCTCGCTTTTCTATCCCTCGCCGTTCTCCGCGGCACATTTTTCGTTTGATATTTGCTGCCTTTATTCCACAAGCCCACTTAGTTCTCACGCATCGCTCATTTACCTACAAGCCTGGAAACAGTATGTCGGATGTTCAGATATTCCTCGACTTCCGCGGCAATCACTCAAGAATATAAACGCTGTCCATGAGGCCACACGAAGGAACAGCATGCTGGCATGGGGGGTCAATCAGTAGAAAACTAAAGTGGCTAGAAGGAGCCACGCACGCCAGGATCATCAACCAGTCTTTCTCGACCATCACCAGAACCTCTTGGCAGAGAACATTTTCATCCCCCGGCACATGGCAGTATCGCGCAAGATGATGAATAACGGCGATCTTGTCGCGAACCACGATAGCACTGTGAGCGGCACCATCGTTTGACGTCACGGAAATGAACTTGTTGGCACCTGTGCGGCTGTTTCTTATCCCAGTAACGCGCAACAACGCGTCGCGAAGTGGAGGCCACCAGGAACCGAAACTTCCACCTCTTCCCCTCATTTCCCATACGGGGGGTATCTGGACATTCTCACTCCTCATGTCTTGCAAAAAACTCTTGCATTTCTGTCGAGCATTTCTGTCGAGTAGTCAGATTTCTTCCTTTTATTTCCTCTTTCCACAGTCCAACAGTTTGCGTAACCTCGAAAGAATGTTGCAGCCCACGGTCCAACATTATCGCTACAATTGGCCGTGTGAGTTACTCCCGTCACGCTGTGCGTTTTGTTCCCACTCTAACCCGTTCTTTAGGACGAAAACATGTCGAGTTGCACAAACGTGCGGCTTGCATCCAGCATTGTCAGTGCCACTTGCAACAGTCCGACTCTTGATGTCTGGCGTTGCGTCGAGGCATAATGGCACGTTGCTGACTGTTCATCTTGGTTGCACGTGACGCAGCTGCAGTGCGATAAACGATAAGAAGAGTCACCTGCTTGCCGCCTGCCAACAGCTGCCACGCCTTACAAGGTGAACGGACCACCTCCCCTCTTGGTGCATTTCCAAACGTTTGCACCGTTGACCAATAGCAGAGCCGGCAAGGGCCGGCAGGTACCACTTTCTTTTGGTGACGGCAGCGCACGGACCACATTGCGGTTCCTGCTTGCCGTCCTCAAAATAAGAAACGACGTGCTTTGCAAGCGCAATGCGGGTGCAGGAGCAAGTATCTGTATGACACCGCTACCCAGAGCTGCACCCACACCTCTTCCTCCGTCGCCCCCTTTTGCGCCCGCGCAAGGGAGGACAGCGAGCACACAAAGGAAACGCCCGACCTGGCCTGGGCAGTTGAGCTCGAGCTTCCCCCCCCTCCCCGACCTGTTGCGCCTTCCACCTCTCCCACCGTTCTCCCATTTTCCCTATCCATTGCGCCTTCCCTCCCTCTTTTCCCTCTTCTTTCCTGTTTCTTTTCTTTGTTAGCTGCAAGCACCGCTCCTTCCTAACTTCAGCCGTCTCTTTTCTGACGCTTTCCCACCCAGTTTTCCCACCAGCTGTGACGGCGCCGTTCCAGTAGCATGCTGTAGTTACCCGTAGTCTCACGTAGAAAGGGCCTTTCGCCCCAAGAATCAGGTCCTCCCTCCTTTCCCTCTTGCTCTTTTCTTTTTTTGTCCTCTTTCCTTCCTCTTCTTCTCCTTTCTTCGCTGTTCTGTAAACTATTCCATCTCGATTTCCATCCCAACTTACCATCAAAATACGACCAAATTTGACCAATTGGTCTGCCGAACCCACCTTTAACCACCTGTGAACATGTCTACCCGCAAGAGGAAGCAGGAGCAGGACGAAGAGGAGGAGTTCCTCTCCCTCCCCAGCGGCGACGAGGAAGAAGAGGAGTAAGTGACTGCTGTTTTACACTGCTTTCGTACTTCCCACCATCGATGTCGAGTTTTATTTGTCTGTGTTGTTGCAAAAAGGCCGCGAACGATCTCATCCGGGCCTGTCTAAGTCGCGCAATTGGCCCATGCTTTTTGAGCGGTCTCGTTGGCCAGCAAAACAGCGCCCAAATGCGACAGGATGCGCCTGCCCTCCGCGCAATCGCATCCAATCGCAATCTGGCACATTGTTTTGATGCGATCCAGATGCAAAGAGTCGTGTCCATCGATGTTTTATGATGGACGCCGTATCTTGCGTGCATCCGGCGGTGCCGGTGGCAGAGTGCAATGGAACGACATGAAAAACCATGCTGACATTGGCCCTTTCCCTCCAGGTTCGAGGATGAGGACGACTACGAAGAGGGTGATGAGGACGATGACGAAGAGGAGGAGGAGAGAGGAGGAGGAGGGCGACGAAGAAAACGGCGATGATGCCGGTGATGCCGCCGCCAAGCCCGGTACGTATTCCTTATTGGATTGCAGAACCTGACTGTGGAACATCTTTCCCTTTCAATTTGCATGCTGACAAATGATGCCCATCCCAGCTGCCCCTCCCAAGAAGAAGCAAAAGGTTACTTCCGCCGAAGATGATGAGGAGAACGGCGAGGACGCCGAAGGCGATGACGATGCTGAAGAGGATGAGGAGGACGCTGAGGAGCCTGAAGAGCCCGAAGAGCTCGATGGCGACGAAGAGGCCGAGGCCAATGGCGATGCTGCCGACGACCTCGTCAAGAAGGCAGCTACCAAGACCGATGCGCCTGTCGTTGCCGACGGCGAGGACGAGGTTGCGGCTGGCGGCGAGGACGAGGAGTAAGGCAGCAGTCGAGACTAAAGCAACGGCCGATCGACACGTCGCCTTGCTGCTGTTAAGCATCCTGCGCGCCTGATCTATGCCACTGGCGTTTACCACCGACAAGCCTACACCCATAACAAGCAGACCTCCCTTCATACCTTTGTTCTCAAGCCTTCCCGGCGTTTAAAAGCCATCTCCTTTGCAGTCTTGTGAATAGAAAAAGTACTCAACGCTATTTGGGAAATAAATAGACAGCATTAGCTGGAATACGTATTGCGTCCACTTTTATTCTTACTGCATTAAGTCAAACGACGAGAGAAAAACATGAAAGCAACATAAACTGTTCCAGGATGCCAACATAGAAATGCATGAACACTTTCCATAGTTTGACTATCTGACATGAGCGCGGAAAGAATGACAGAATGAGTGGCCAGCACGCAAACAACTTAAAAAGTAGTGTATTCTGTTGAGTTTGGAGGTTCTTTTCAATTGCTATTTTTTATTGAAAAAATAGCAAATAGAAACAATAAAAAACCAAAAAATCTCCAAAAAATATGAATAAAAGGGGAATTAAGTAAATTGATCGAACGCCCTCGGGCACTCATGCATAACACCAAAGTATGTATTGTTCACGGAAAGTCTATTTTGTGTTGACTCTTGATACCCTCACACGACTTTCCACCATTTAATCAATTTAGCCTCTTTTATTTGCATTTGAAAAATCAAATGCCCCTACAATGCACACCAACATAAGAGCTATTCAAAGAGAGATTTGTTATTCGTGACCTCTGCCAGGGTGCGTCTATTTACAAAGTATATTGAGGAGCACCGCCCCCTCGCCTCACCCGTCCTTTGTTTAACACAACCCGAGAAGGGCGTGCAAAGCGAATGGAAGAAAGACCTTCTGAGGACTGCCAACTTTGAACTTGAGTTACACAGCAGAAGCAGAACGCCCTGGCGGAATAGGCCGGGTTCACTTCCGGCGCCTTTTGTAAATTAACTTTCACATACCAACGTCGTTTCCTTCTGCGTGGAAGGACGATAGGTGGCAACGGCCGCGGGTATACCTATGTATCTTCAATTACCGCCATATAAGCCCCGTTTTTATCTATTTCGGAAACCAATCCGGCGTCCATATCGTCCTGTCGACATGCAAGTTGACAACCGCATTTTGAATTCTTGACCAACCTCGCGGACTTTCATGTGGAAGCACATGTGTATGCAGTTCTAGGTTCCCTTGTACAAGGGGTTGCCTCGTGACATGCTGCTGTGTACATCCCTTCTTTTCCTTCCATCGTTTGCTCCAAATGCCTTAAATTCATTGGCTGCTATTGTAAAGCCAAAGCCAAACAAAACTGTAGACGCCGTACTTCAATATGTGACACGTCCGAGGCGTGCTTGACTACGAGCCACTTATCTTTGTGTCCTATACCGGTTAAAGTTTCTCGTCACCTTGTCTCAACACCGTACGCCGTGAAGAATGCGTGTGGCCCCAGTGCTGGTCATGCTGACCGCATTACTTGATATATATATTCAGATGGCCGTTTGCAGGAGCCTCACTATTGCTCCTTATCCCTCCTGTGTGTATATCCTGGGCACGGTCCAAGTAAATTAGTGAGCCCATTTGCTCTCTTTGCACGACACGGATATCGGCATGGTGCTATCTCGCAGGTAGAGTGAAACCTCGGTGTTGCAGTTGTGTTAGCCTTCGAGACCTTTTCATCAGTTGGATCATTGCCTGCATTGTTGTGTCTATGCAAGCATCCACGTATATGATGCAACGGACGGTGGCGAAAACGTCAGAGTCAAACACTCAAACTCTCGTGCCCCGACCCCCAGAATCTCATTGTCCAAGCTACGCATAGAGTAAATAACTGCAAGGAGACACCTTGGTAACGAATCTAAATACGAAAGGCTCGCCTGACCTTGTCGCTATCAAAGCAAAACTAGGTAAGGAATGGCTATGATGGTGCCATGCTGGCCTACGATAGCTGGCATATTTCTGAAATCCAAGGCCTAAAAAGTAAATTATTTAAGAGGACCCCTGTGTTTTTACCCTATCAGACCTAACCCACTCAAGTATTTGTGCACGTCACCGATTGTATTGTTTTGACCGTTGTGGTGGCACCCCCTACATGTAACTTTTGTTGGCTGTCCTTAGCCGCAGCCTTTGGCATCGATCTATGGCGGTTTTCGTGATTCAAGGACATTGACGGACGGGAATCTGTTTACGTTTCGCTGTCACCTCATCTAATTTCTTTCACGGAATTCCGAGCTAATAGAGTTTTTGGGACTCAACTGGAAGGGTGCAACGGTATAGACGGAGTAATATATGTTGTTCTCAGTCAGCTTTTCAAGAACGTAGATCGTTAAATTCTAAGATGCAACACTACATTAGCTGTAAACACTCCGGATGGTGATTTTAGTAAAATAAACATAGCTGTCACTCTTGAAAATGCAACGTCCTATCCTTGTTTCTTGTTTTCTTGTTTACAAGTCTTTGTCCTCGGGGGTCCTTTGACTCATGACAAAGTCGCAATCTTGGTGTCAGTAGCATTGTAATCTACAGCAAAATTATTATCAGACAGCGCTAAGCTGTACGCAGCTTGGTTATGTTCGCACCCGATCGTCAACGCCGCGGATATTACGATTTTATCGAAGGCATTCTTTTGACACTTCCCGTGTCTTTGAGATGTCACAACAGTGGGCCCCCGTTCCTTCTTGACTTGCCATAGTGCAAACTGCTATGATAAAGGTGGCTGTCATACGGCCTATACCGAGTACGGTAGGAATGTCTTGGATGCACCTTCCCGCGGACAATTTTTATCTGCTCCTTCTCGAGTTGTGTCGAGGCAGGGTCGTACTTGCTTACTGTGTGTTCCCTAATGTCCATTGTTCCTGCCATATTTGCATTGTTGACAAGGTCTAGTTTTTGCGCCTGGCTTGGAAAGAAGCCCCTGTCGGCCTGGTCGGTTGGCCTTTGTTGTCATAGCCAAGCTCCAAAAAGTTAGTGTGGCTCACAGCTCTTTCCAGCATGACGTGCAGCATACGGGCTTCCCTTTCCCCGCATGATTTGACAAGGTGTGGTACACCTGTTGGAATTCTGTTGCGGGTCGACACCCTCTCCTTCGTAGCTTCCTTATAGGGGAGTAATCGCAGCCGTAAGAAAGCAACGACCTAGTTGCTAGGAATAGGAAGGTAAGAACTACTAGACGACAGCAAGCTAGGAAAGAAAATACCACATCACCTTTGTAATCGCAAGCTTCTTTCAGGTCCATTCTTCCAATCAACAACAAACAAACCACAGCGAAGATAATCTAGAATGAATCGATAGAATTTGTCCCGGTGACACCATGGGTATGTACTGGGTACGTGTGGTACACTATCCGCGGTCTAAGCAATCCGGGCCAGGCCAGCACAACAAATGCGGGTGGACAATACAATGGTACGACTCCCGCAAGCAGAAAGGCCCGCAGGTCTGCAATCCTCGTTGTGGTAGGCGTTGGGCGAGAACAAAATAAAGCGGTGCTTTTGCCTTGGCATGCAGGGTGTTGACCGGCGTCGAAAGAATCGCGAAACGGCAGCAAAAGTCGAGCCGCAACAAACGCAAGGCCCAGGCCAAACTGAGAGACACGAATACGTCAGACCGAAACCAAATGCACCTCCGTTCGGCGAAAGGGACACCAAGGAAAGCAGCTTGTCAGCGGTGTCGAAAGTGTATCTGCAAATCTCACTTGTTGCCAACAAAATAGACGAAACGAAGACTTACAAAATTGAATGAAAGGAATCCCATCTTAGTAGATGGGCCCAACCAAAGCGGAGGGCTGAGCTCACACCACATGCCGCTCTTGGGTGGGATGGACCAGCAGCTAGACGCAGCCAATCGTGGATTTCGGATCCAATACCGGTCGGTTGCAGCACGACGGGGCCGTTGGCAAAGTTGCCGTTGCAACGCAGCTCAATTTCGCATACTTTTTACATCCCTCTATGTGTCCTGCTGGCCGGCCGTTTCTGTCCCAGCCAGATTTATGCCACCAACTTCGTTTAAAAGTTCCATCCCCCCTCCCGGCTTTTCCGTCGACCAAAGGCATATAAATAAGGGGATGCGGCTGCAGGACGAGAACAGAATTGCCACAAAAAGGTACTTCCATGCAGTCACACCCAGTCCCGCATGTAACTCGAGAGTCCAAACCGGCAGGATCTCAGCCAACACACGACGCAACCCCCCCGACAAACCTTGGTTATCTCGGCAGATTTTATCTGCGCTGGGGAAATGCATATACTTGCTGTCCTGCACATCTCCAAATTTGATCACCGATCTCCCATCAATGCTGAAGAGCCTCAAAGGTTCGCACTCCTTGTAATCGGTCCGGCCCGAAGTGAAGGATAGGCAAGCGGCGTGATCGGCATCAAAGAACTCGGCGATCCCCACAACGACCAGAGTTATGGACCAAACCTCTGCCACGGCATTTGAAGGCGAGGGTGATGTTGAATTTATGGGCGATGTAGGTTGATTTTGTCTACGATCTCCAATATTTCTATTGTTGGACTATTCGAAGATGTCAAGTCATCAACCGCAAATAGTCCTGTCTGCTAACCTGCATTCAGTCTCACAATATGTCGAAAGCCACTGTTGCCACTCCAAACTCACTGTTTGTGAGTCCAATATGGGGTGCTGAGACCGCATTCTCTACGGCGACCTTCACGCCCGGTATCTACCTGCACGATAGGGATCCTGCATACGGATATATGGATCCCCTCGACACAACTGGATTAACTGACTGGGCCAATTCTATCCCGGGCGAAATGGAATCTACCAGAATTTCAACTGTGACAACACTACCTTTGCAGAACCAGTTCCTGTCGACGGCACCGCCCAGTAAGGAACACCATACAGGTTGGGCTATGAGCACTACCGACCAGCTGCAACCTGGTTCCTCCTCCGCCTCGGCATCATCCTACGCAAAGATCAATGATGTACCGGCAACCCTACCTTCGATCATGCCGGACCAAACCCGCGTTTCGGCACCGGCTTTCTCAAAATCTGGCACAGCCGGCCCCGTACGGCCCTCACGTGTAGCCAAGTCAAAATCGAAGCTCGCGGTTGGTAGTACACGGCCGTCTCGGAACAACAGCGGAAACATTACCAGTAGCTCAAGTCTCGTCCAGTACGTCACCGCAATGGACGATAAGCACCAGACAAACTCGGCTGGCTCCTCATGTGAATCGCCTCCTTTCGACGAGCTGTCGCACCGAAGAAGCCGAACAGGATCGAATTTCAGTAGCAGCGGTGACAGTGGGGGTAGCGCCAATGGTCTTATGACGACAGGTCATGGTGGGAACCACAATGTCACGCTTCGAACAGCCAGCCGCAAGCCAAAGTCACAGCCCACTGCGTCGATAAATGCATCCACATCAACCGTCACAGGAACCAAGGAGAATGGAAATCCAAAGACTGATTCGCCGACCTCAGAGTTGCCCGGTGCCGCAGCTTCATCATTGTCACCTGATGGCGACAGTGGGAATACCGACGGCCTGATAACTGAAGAGCACCGCGCACGCCAGAATCACAACATTGTTGAGAAGCAGTACCGCAACCGACTCAATTCACAGTTTGAGCGGCTGCTTTCCATCCTGCCAGCGAATCAGATGGAAGGTGCCGATACGGGCAAGTCTGTGGATTTTGATGAACGGCGGATGAGCAAGGCTGAGGTGCTGGACCTAGCACGGCGGCGGATTCATGCTTTAGAGAGCGAGATCAAGCAATTGTACGCCGACCGTGACAACCTGCGCAACAACGTGGCCACGCTCAACCTGGCGATCCGGAACGGGCAGCGTCCACAACAGCAGCAGCCACAGCAACAGCAGAGGTTGAGCATCGCCATCTAGGCAGCATACTTTGTATAGCACATAAGAGGAGGCGGTTTAAAATTTACGAGCAACCAATGGGAGAGGTCAGTTTGTCATTTTGGGTCTAGTAGGCTTATTTGCTTTCGAATTCAGGGCGACCACGGCGATAAACCATGAAGTACATGCAAACCAGGGTTTTCAACTTGCGAGAAAGAGAATTGAGTTGATGTCAAAATGTTTCTTACTCATTGTGATGGTTTACTACTAATTTTGGCTTTGTTTTGCTTTGCGTTTTTCTTTCGTTGTTGTCCCGCTGTTGATTTTTATATGTAATAACAGCTGAAGATTGCTTATTATCGTTTTGTCCGCGACTGTTTACAGATGACGTTACTAAATATCTCATAGCTATTGAACTTTATACCGTGCAAGTTTTGATACCATGTCGTATTGGGTCCCCACCGCGTACGTATTTCATCAAGGAAAGAAATCAAGTTGCAACGTGCAGATACTCGCTGCAAAAGTATAGGATGAGAGCTGAAATTATGTGCTGATAACTCAATAAGCAAAACAGGCACCGATGTGGATGCAGTGGAGTCTTACCAACTCCGCCACCGTGCCTTGCTTTCTTCTTACTGAGAGATGCTCTGCATAACCAGAAAAAGTACCACAGCCAGCCTTGGCCCAGGGACCGAAACCATGGAAAGGCTGCGAGAGAAACGGAGCCAGGGGAGCTCCTGTGGGGCCGTGGATCAGGGAGTCCAAGGCTTGGTCGAGCGCGTCGAGCTTTGTCATGAAGACGATGGCGAAGCGCGCCCGTCACGGTTCTTGTCTTTGCAGTGAAAGATACGTATCGTCTGGATGCACTTGAGCGCGGAAGCAGGGATGGACGGAGGCGAGCGTCTTGGCGTGCATGTCAATACGAATTTGATGATGTTGATGCTCTGGATGTCTTACGAAACACTCGTCTCGGATGGCCTCGATGACAGCTTCTGTTCAGTTGATAATTTTTAGCCGTGCTATCGACATGCTCTCGGCACGTCTGGAGTTCACATGTTACGGTGTTATTAAGTGCTCGCCCTTATCTGTATCCCTACGTGCCTGAAAGAACCGAACGCACCGTTGAAGAGTTTTTGATGTGGTCACTTCTATTTATGGATTTGGTGGCAAATTCTCTGTCAGGGCGTAAAGCGAGTCTAGAACACACTTTCATAGTCTCGGCCTCGTTAGGTACGGCATGGGGAGAGCAAGTCGGTATCAAACAGAAGATAATATCTGTAAACGATATATCGTCGATTGATGCTCTCAAGTCTTTTGTCAGTGGATTTGTCGTTCTTACTTCGGCTCGTATTGGTCTACTGAAGCTGCTCCAATCGAAAACCTCAAATGCTCGACGTCATTTGTTTGCGTGGCCAGCTAGACCCTGAATTCGAAACAACGCCTGAAAGAGATCCGTTGAAGCGCTGTGGTCACCTAGAACAAAGAAACAAGACAGGACCACTCGCAGTGTGTGAGCACTGTGGCTACGACTCTCTACACAAGCAGTGGACCGCGGGTCCACAAGTGCCACAGCGACCACCCCCCCTAAATTGTACCCCTCTAGCATCCCGTCGGCCCTAAAACGGCCCCCACTCGCCTTATGAGGGCTCTCGGCGCAAGTGTCGTGCACGTCATTTCAAGTTTTTCTGGATTGTTTTGCCATAAGCTGTTGAGGCTGACGGGTTTGCACATGAGTAGCTATTCGAGATGCATTTTGCAAATCTCTTCGGTGAACACCTGTTTGTCCCAAGAGCGGCCCGAAGTAGAAGCAAATGGGCTAATTGTCATTGTCCGTATTAGATGACGAAACCAGCACTTTGGGCAAGTCTAGACCATTCCGTCAACCAAAAAAAAATAAAAAAATAGCAGGAGCGATACAGCAGGGCGGCCTTTGCCTCACAAGAAAAATGGAGACTATTCTGTAGACCTCGCCATCTTTATCAGCATTAAGACTAAACAGGAAAGCCCGGCCGGATGCTCTGCACTGGGCTTCCAAATTCAGGATCGACAGATGGCGAGTTTTCCCACCCATTGGCGCTTTGTGACTTCCCCATTCATTCCTTTTGCGGCAGGCCGCAGTTTGTCCATTAGCAGCGTGGTATGCAAAAGATGGCTCCGAAGAGAAGGAGCAAGTAAAGGTCTCCCCGATTTCCCGATACTTATGGTCTGTCTATCGCTCCTTCTCTCGTTCTTTCCTCGCTCTTATTTTCGTTTTTGAAAGGACCTGTCTCTGCTCCCCTGCATTGTTGTCGCATCTTTGCCCAATTATCGCCACTTTCAAAACATCTATTGCCATTCCCAATCGCAACTGGTTGGCTTTCAACCGGGCAATTTTACGATTTTGCATCTTCCCCGCTCTGTTGTCGACGGTTGACGACCAACAACTGCGGATCATATATTCCCCATCCTCGTCACACATTGTCACGCATCACAATACGACGAGCTTGGTCCTGACTTTGAGCAACGATGTCGTAACGATCTACGGCAATTTGGATGTGGAAATCAGCAAGAGTACAGAGGCTCATATCCAAACCAGGCTCCCGATATCGCATGTGTGCATTTGACGTCGAGTTGAAATTGATTGACACGGCACGCATACTGCGCACAGGGCACAACAACAAGTATTTTTAACACTTGCCTGCTCGACTTCGACCTGAGGGCGACCATCCAAGGGCACATACTCAAACCGTCATGTCGACGCCAAACGAAACAGCGACGAACCCTTTTGACGCAATAACGCCCCCGATAAAGGGTAAAGAGAAGAAAAGAGTGGGCTGGTCGCAGGGAAATTCAACGCCACACCAAGCACAATCTGTTCCGGGCTCGGCTGGAGAAGGCGGCGGAGCTGGCCGGTCGCAGGCCGGCCATGCGTCCCACGACGAAGACCGGACCTCACACGACGGCGTTGACCACCACGAACTGACACGGGCTCTCACGCGAATCCTTAGCAACGAGAAGCTACAGCGTGGCACCGAAAATTCACCACCTGGCGAACAATCAGGTGCTGCCGCATCGAGCCACCCACCGCACGAGCCGGCCCTTTCTCCGGTTCCGGCCGTGACTGTTCTTGCTGAGCCAACACCCCCGTACTTCCCACCGGCCCGGCAACAACAGCAAGAACAGTCTGAAAAGGCTGCACGAGAGCGTGCCGATCGTCTTGCCCAAAGTGTTGAAAGGGACTACTCGAATCCTGCGTCGCGAGCTGAGTCTGTAGCTGGCGGGTCAGGCGGCGACGACGACGACGAAGAGGCAGCTGCAGCCGAAGGAGCGCTCTTTGGATTGCGGCGGCGGCGGTGGAGAAGCGGCACGATCAGCGGCAACGGAGTCCGCGACCACGACGACGACCATGACGAGGGGCGTATTGATGGTCACGACAACGAAGACGATGAAGAGCACCAAGAGATCGACCCTCATATGGCCGCCCAAACCTTGGTTCGGTCGCACACGCGAGGACATGTTCCCAAGGCGGCCATTCTTTCGCAACAGGTGACGGACGACACTGGTTTCCATTACGACGCAGCCATGGCACACTCGGGCAACTCGACCCCCGGCAACACGTTTGGGCACGACACTGAGGAATATGTACCGCCACCAAACAAGTACAACGGCGGGATTTTGTCGTCGCTCCTCCGCCTGTACAACCACCCGAATGCGTCCGCCAGCAACAGTGCCGCCAATTCTGAGCGCAGCACGCCCACTGGGACGCCTGCTTCGTCTCGGCCTCCGTCCCCGGGTCCTGGCGATGGCACCGAGACACCGAAGCGACGCAGCGGATTCTTTGGAAAAAAGGTCGGCAAGCCTCACGAACACGACGGAACCCACACTCCCAAAACCAAAGGCCAACCCTGGGGCGTTTTCCATCCAAACCACAAACACTCCCACTCCACGACGAGTCTCACGGCTGGCCTCCTCGGGACATCGTCCATTTTGGCGTCGACGGGCTCGGCCGGCATTGGCCAGGCGGTGACAGAGCGGGTCAAGCGTGAACGACCGCCTCTGAAGCGCAACCGCCACTCAGCGAGCAGCATCTTCACGACAGGGTCACCCAAGTTCCGCGAGGGCAGCAATGGTGGAGGCGGGCGCCGTCGCCGCCGCGAAGAAGAGCAGATGCGCATCACGAAGCACATTGCAGAAGTGCTTTCTCGGCACCGCTATCTAACCCTGTTGTGTCGAGCCCTGATGATGTACGGTGCCCCGACGCATCGCCTCGAAGACTACCTCAAGATGTCGGCTCGCGTATTGGAGATTGAAGCGCAGTTCCTCTACATTCCGGGCTGCATGCTCGTGAGCTTTGATGACAGCAGCACGCATACGGCCGAGGTGAAGCTGGTCCGGGCACCGCAGGGCGTCGATCTGGGCAAGCTCAGTGATGTTCACGCCATCTACAAGGAAGTCATTCACGATCATATCAGTGTGGACGAGGCCATATCACTGCTCAACGGCATCACGAGCAAGCCGCCAAAGTATAAAGTCTGGATGCGCATTCCCGTGTACGGACTGGCGTCGGCATGCGTAGCACCTTTTGCCTTTGGCGGTCGCTTCATCGACATTCCCATGTGCTTCGTCCTTGGTTGCGTTGTCGGGATGCTTGCGCTCATTGCCGCACCGTCCAATGCCTTCTACTCGAATGTTTTTGAGATTACGGCCGCTGTCATCACCTCCTTCCTCGCGCGCGCAATCGGATCCATTGCAGGCGGCAAAATCTTTTGCTTCTCGGCACTCGCCCAGTCGGCCATTGCGCTCATTCTGCCGGGCTACATGGTCCTTTGCAGCAGCCTGGAGCTGCAGAGCCAGAATATTGTGGCTGGCTCTGTGCGCATGGTGTATGCCATGATCTACACGCTCTTCCTCGGTTACGGCATCACCATTGGCACGGCCGTCTACGGCGCGATTGACAGCACCGCGGTCAGCACCACAAACTGCACCGATTCGCTCTCGCGGCCGTGGTACTTTTTGTTTGTGCCGTTCTTCACCATCTGCCTCTGCATCATCAACCAAGCCAAGTGGAGACAGATGCCCATAATGGTCCTGATTTCCTTGGGCGGCTTTGCTGTCACCTCCTACGCTTCGAGCTACTTCAGCAACAACGCCCAGATTCCGAACTCGCTGGGTGCGCTGTGCATTGGTATCTTGGCCAACGTGTATGCACGCACCAGCCCGTACTTTGAGCGCTACGTTGCGCCTCTGCGCGCAAAGTACTTTGCGCCGTTGGCCTCATCCATCGGCCGTCGCAAGAAGCGTCTGTCGCGCCGCGATGGCCAGGGCGCCGGCGACGACTACTTTGATATGCCGCCGTACCGCAAAGGCGAGGAGTCGCGTGCCGAGGAGGGCGCCATCCGCCTCACCAAGTCCAACAGCAGCGGCAACGAGCGGACGGCCGCCGAGATGGATGCGGACAAAGCAAAGGCCGAGAAGAAGGCACCGGGCAGCCACGAGGTCATTGGCTACGGCCTGGCCGCGGCGGCCATGCTGCCGGCCATTTTCGTGCAGGTGCCGTCGGGCCTGGCGGTCAACGGCTCTCTGCTGTCAGGCATTAACGCGGCCAATGATCTGACAGGCAACTCGTCGACGTCGCATGGCTCGGGCAACAGCACCGACAGCAGTGCCATCAATAACGTGTCCTTTACGGTGCTGCTCAGTGTCATCCAGGTGGCCATTGGTATTACAGTGGGACTGTTCTTTGCGGCCATCATCGTGTACCCGCTGGGCAAGCGGCGCAGTGCCCTGTTCAGTTTCTGAGCCAATGTGTCTTTCTGTCGGCTGCCTTGCTCAAGCGGCATACCGCCGTACCTCCATATTCTATGCAACCTTGTATTTGGTGTTTGGTTTTCATCAAGGGTCTGGCGTTTTCATTTCCTGTTTTCAAAATAGCATTTTAAAAGGAGCATCTACATATTGAAAACACCACAGCAAGGGGATGATTTGTGTATGTATTCACATGGCATCATTTAGACGAGTTAATGACAAAACAATCAAAAGAGCCAAAGTCGCATGCAATACAAAGTATTGCTATTTGCTACATGCATCATCACCTTGGTGCCTCGACTGCAGAAACAACACTTCTCTTCACACCTGCACAGGTACTGGGCCTGTCGTATCCGTCTAATGATGCACATCGCACAGTGCAATTAGGTGCCTGCTGCCGGCGAATCCTTGAAAAACGCCAAGCAGTCGTCAATGTTGGCGCGGATGGACTCGACATAGGACTTGCCGTCCCGCCGCGACCGAACGTCGTCTTGCGCCATGACTGTGGCAAACAACTGGGCCCGGTCGGCGCGCGAGAAGAGGCCTGGCGCGACAGTTAGCTCGCCGTCTTCGTCTGGGCCAGGCCGGAGACAGTGGTCTCTTGGCACCCCCAGGCAGCGCTCGACCGACTGCATCTGCGCATAAATCGCCTCGAGGAGACCGGCGGCGTATGCTTTGAGGGGCATGTCCTGCAGGGTGGCGACGCCGCCGATGCGCAGGACGGACTTGACTTGGACGCAGTCGAGGGGCATGATGGGCCCCGGCAGCCGGGCCAGCTTGCGGATGGTCTCGTGGGTGCGGTGGAAGAGGACGTCAAAGAGGCGCAGGAGGGCGAGGTACGTCGACAGGGCGAGCAGGAGCACTTCGGTGGGCAATGCTGCGCCCGGGGAAGCGCCCGGGGATGCACCCGAAGATGCACCCGAGGATGCACCGGCGGTGGTGGCCAGGACGTGGAGAATGTCAATGAGTTTCTTGCTGCAGGTCAAGAGGGCGGCGGGCGGGTGTTCGGGCACGTTGCTGTCGGCGCCTTCCTGGCCGTTGTCAATCGTGCACCAGTGGTGGACGGCGACGGGGTCGGCATAGTAGGTGTCGACGGACCCGATGCGCTGGTCGATTTCGTCACGCAAGGCCGCGAGCGAACGCGCGGCGTTGACACTGGGCGGTTGTCGCAGGCGGTACGGCGGGTAGAGAGCGACGGCGTGTCCCGGCGCGCCAGCGTCGCCGAGGTCCATGTCGCCGTCCCAGAGAAGATCCATGTCCAGAGCAAAGGCGCTGCTGGCGATGCTCGAGCTAGAGGTGGTCTGCAGATCCGGCGCCGTAAGGTCGGAGTCCGAGTCTGTCCGCGCGAGGCCATGCGGCGGCAGTGGCGGCAGCTGCGGGAGCGGCAGCGGCAGCGGGTGGCACGGATCCGCGTCGCTGGTGCTGGTGCTGGTTCCTGGTCCGGTGGTGCTGTCGTCGACCAGAGGACCAAAGAACGTGGCACTGTCGCCCAACGCCAGCGCGGCCCATGCGTCGGCATCGTTAGCCACTGCTGGTTGTTGTTGCTCATCCGAGGCTGCCGGCGTCGGAGGAGATGGCCGGTCGCCCTCGGCAGGACTGCGCCGTGGCCGTTTCGGCGGCCGTCCTGGCTGCCCGGCAGCGCCCGTGACGCAGGGTGAGCCCAGGTAGCTGCACCGGGCGCAGGATGCCATGCTGTCTTGTGGGCGCAGGCAGCGCACGCGCTTGGCCCGGCACGGGTCGCAGGCGGACCGCTTGAGTGGCTTGGCTGATGCTGACATGGGACATGTGGATGTCATGATGTTGTGGTGTATTGTTTGTTCGAATTGTTTGTAGTGACGTACGACGTGTGCTGCAATTACTGCTTACTATAATTATGTAAACGGCGCCAAAACTCTCCGAGGAGGTTTTCTTTCCCTCGGAGGATATCCCGCCGGCCAATCAGCAGCCACCATTCGACCGCCCCCGGACACCGTCTGCCTGCTCGACATCCTTTGACACCCGCTCCTCCTTCGTCTCGACCATGCCAAAGTCTGTGTCATTCTGCTCGCGCAGCGGCACGTGCTTCATGGCTGCTGTTGCCAGTAGTCCGAGGCCGCCAAACGCAATGGCGACCTGCCACGACCGCTGCAGCGCGGCACTCTGGACGCTGATGACCTGTGCACGCGTCTCGGGTGACAGCGTGTCGAGAAATCGGACATCGGCCGCCCCATACGCCCCGCCGGACTGGAAGACGGAGGCCACCGTTTGATCTGTGACGATGGCGGCTGCCAGCTGCGCCGCGCGGCTGGTGTAGATGGCGCCGGCAATGGCGACGCCCCACAGAATGCCGAAGCTGCGCATCACGCCCCAGGTCGCCGTGGCCAGCGCCGTGTCCTTGTCCGTCAGCGGCGCCAGCAGGGCGGGCAGCAGGGCGGCCATGCCGACGCCGGCGCCAAAGCTCTCGAGCACCTGGAAGCCGACCCAGGCGGCCGTGCTGGACGCGGCGTCGAGCAGCGAGAACAGGCCGAAGCCGACGGCGACGAGCGCAAAGCAGACGGCCAGAATGGGTTTGTAGCGTCCAAACCGGGACAGCAGGAGGCCGCCGAGGATGGCGCCCGGGAGAAGGGCCAGAATGGTGGGCAGCAGCGCCATGCCCGCGCGATAGGCATCCAAGGCGAGCACGCCCTGGAAGTAGACGGGCAGAAAATAGAGCGCCCACATGGTGACCAGGCCGTGCGCGAAGGTGAGCAGAAACACAATGGCGGTCGTGCGGAGGCGGAAGAGGCGGAGCGGCACCATGGGGTGAGGCGCCAGGCGCGTCTGTCCTTCCAGCGCCAGAAAGGCGCCCAGCGTAGCGAGGCCGACGAGCAGCGGCACCAGCACGCGGTACGACGACCACGGATCGGCGCCGCCGGCCCAGCCAAGAGCCAGGAGGATGGGAACCGTGCCGCCGACAAAGAGCACGCTGCCTAGCCAGTCGAGGCTCGCCAGCTTCGTGGCCACGGTCTGCGAGCGGTCGTACTGGACGTGCAGCACCGCCACCAGCAGCGCCACGGCCACGCCGCCCGTGGGCAGCGCCATGTAAAAGGCCCAGCGCCAGGTGCTGTGGCGCACCAGCAGCCCGCCAAACAGGGGGCCCAGCGCGGCCCCCAGGCCGACCATGCTGAGCACGGCGCCCATGTACGTGCCCCGCTGGCGCAGGGGCACCAGATCGCACACGACAATCTCGCAGAGCACGCCAATGCCGGCGCCGCCGATGCCCTGGACGGCGCGGCCGGCGATCAGGGCCGTCATGGACGTGGCGCGCCCGCAGACGGCACTGCCGGCCATGAAGAGCACGCCGGACGTGATCAACGGCCAGCGGCGGCCAAACACGTTGGCAAGTTGCCCGAACATGGGCAGCAGCGCGGTCCTGGCGCGTGAAAGTTAGCGGCAGACTGCGTGGCATGGAAACGAATGATAGCGTTGACGCTGCCTTACATGCTCAAAAAGTAGGCATTCGACACCCAGATGTAATTGTCGCCGCCGCCGAGATCCGCCACAATCGACGGCAGAACGGTCGACGTGACGGTGGCTTCCAGGGATGTGAGAAGGCTGATGAACGACAGGGCCACGAGAATCGCCCAGAACCGTGGCCCCGGCTTGAAGGTCGGGGGGCTCCTGGCCGGCTCCTCTTGTGTAGAGTCCATGGGAGTCGTTGGCGGCACCGAAGACAGTCGGAGGTTGAGATTGTGTCAGGCGCTGTGCATCGCAAATTGCGTCCAACAAAGCATGCCAGGAAATTGGACTCTATTTACACATATATATACGAGTATGTTCGTTTGTGGTTATCTATGGTGTACAGGTTGAGGGAGTTGCATATTTGCCTTTGTTTCTCTTGTCGGCCGGCTCCGCGGAGGGTTTGCGTGGTGGATATCAGATATAAACCAGCGCGGCCGCGCATGCTTTCGTAGCTGCCCCTTTGTCTTGTCTGTTTTCATAATAATCCCGTACTTCATCACGCTGTCTCAAACTACCAGCGCAGCATTCTGCCTCATGTTACATTCGATGTGTACTTGCCTCGGGCCCGAATCTGAGGCCCATATTTGGCAAAGACAAAGGGAATAGGAATGTTGAGCACGGCAAAACAGCCGAGGACACTACACGCCCAGCCGTTGCCCAGTCGCTCGTACCACGGACGCACCAGCAAGGGTAGAGCGGCCGCAAACACGCTCCGTGCAAACGTGTTGGCCGCCATGGCACTCGCGCCCCAGCGGTGGAAGGTGTCTACGATGTAGTTGACGGCGCTCGTGAAGATGGTGTAAAAGGCGAAGCCCATCATGGCGACGCCCACGGTGGGGACGATCCAGTGCACGCTTGGGGTGGACGCCCAGCCCATCATAAACAGGCCGCCGGCCAGCACAAACGACGCAAACTTCATGGGCGGCAGCCGCGCCTCGGGCACCGCAAGGCCGCCGTTGGCCGCGAGCATGCGGTTGTAGTGCTGCTGGCTGTGCCAGCTGAGGGCGGCGCCGCCGACAATGCCCACCAGCACGGCCAGAAAGGGCAGCGCGCCCTCGAGGCTGTTCCAGCCGCGGGTGTCCTGGAAAAGGATGGGAAAGGACGCCAGGCTGGCATAGAAGACGCCGTAGATGAAGGACGCGTAGATGGAGACGGTCAGGCAAATGGGCGTGAGGAGCATCTGCAGCGGCCGCAGACCGAACTGGACCGCCAGCTCTTTGAAGACAATGTCCTTTTCTTCCCACTCCGCATGCAGGGCCCAGTTGCCTGTGGCCTTGCGGAGCGCACGTGCCTTTCTGGTGAGCAGCACAGGACTATACGTCTCGTCGATGAACACGAGGCCCAGAACGAGGATGGTGCCCTGGAGGAGGGCGGTGATCTGAATCAAGAAACACGGCAAAGGATTCGAGCTTCGGTCAGAAGGGTATCCGCTGCCTTTTCTGGTGGGTCGTGACAACTTACGTATTCTGTCCACCGCCAGCTCGCGCCGCATAAAACAATGGCGCCACCAACCACTGGCGCTAGGTTCTGTACAGTGTTAGCCAGGCTTACTATAAAGCAGCCCCCTTCCTCTTGGATCCCAACATGGCCTGGAACGCACCGGACCCCCGCACACCAAAAGCATGTAGCCCACGATGGCGTTGCCGCGCTGCGACGGCCCCCACAAGTCCACCATCACGCCGCCCATGCAGGTGATGGGCGCCGTCCCCAGGAATCCCGTGAAGAAGCGAGTCAGCAGCACCGTCTGGATGTCCTTGGCCGTGGCCGTGCCGACGGACATGATGGTCGACACAGCGTACGGCAGCAGCACGGCCCATTTGCGGCCGTAGATTTCCGACAGCGGCGCCCACAGGAACGGCCCAAAGCCCCAGCCGAGAAGCAACAGGCTCGTCCCGAGCAGCGCCACCTCGGACGAGACGGCAAACTGCTCGGCCACCTTTTCGTTGGCGGGGGCATATCTGCCAATCTAGTTAGTGGCTTGCCCTTTGGTTTCACTGGGCTGCCGGGGGCGACATACGCTGTACTTGCCCAGACGGAGCCGAAACTCGCCATGCTGTAGAGGAGACTTGTATACACGCGCTTTGAGAACGGCCAGTTGTGCGGGTTGTACCTGTCGTCCGGGCCGTCAAAGGACACAATCATGGAGGTTGTCGACAATGCGACGCTGCCTGGCTCGACGTCTGTCGATTCATTTTTTGTGGGTGTTGTTGTTTCCGTCGCTGCCGTTGTTTGGTTCATTTTGGGTAAGATCAGCGGTTTTCCTGGCAAGCAAATTCACGGCACGCAAAATTGTGCTCGAAAATAAGGTGTGGCTGCTGTGGGCATCGTGAATCTGGATGGTGCAAATGCACGACTTATATTCGACATCAATTGCGTCGCAATCTGACTTGCTACAGATCGTCGTGCGTTATGGCAGATGCCAACCCAAGGGCGTGGCCCGAACGGGACCTGTTTGTACTTGTCTGATTAGGCTTAGCTGCGGTCCCTGTCATCGACCGATTGACTCAACCGCCGGGCTGCGAAATGGAGACCAGCCGAGCCATCACCCCACACTTCCCACACTTGGGCATTGACGTTATCGTACGAAAATAGTGATGATCTACACCAACTGTGGCTCAAAGCCGTCGACCTTGAAGAGCAGATCGAGTTGCCAGTGCACGTCTGGTCGTATATATCATGCCAAGCCCGTCAAGCCACACTGGCGAACGTCAAAGAAGATCAAGACAAGGATCTATGCACTCCTTACACATAGACTATCCTAGATAATACTTCACACCGCCGTCCACATGCCCTCCACAGTCCTGCCAAAGAAGCTGGCGCCCGGCGCAACCATTGCGTTCGTCTCGCCGTCATGGCCCGGGCCACAGCACTCCTCACCGGCCGCGGCTACCGCGTCAGCGAGCTGTTCACGCCGGATACGGGCATCCAGTCGTCCATTGACCTCCGAATGGCCGAGCTGCGCACCGCCTTCACCGACCCGGCCATCGACGCCGTTGTCTGCACCATTGGCGGGTCGACCTTTACCGAACTGCTGCCCGCCCTCATCGCCGACACGGACCTGCATGCCGCCATCCGCGCCAACCCAAAAGTCGTCGTCGGCTGCTCGGACATCACGGGCTTGCATTGGTTCCTGCATGCGCTCACGGGCCTGCGCTCCTTTTACGGCCCGGGCGCCATCCCGGAGCTCGGCGAGGCCAACAACATCGACGACAGCGAAACGCCGCGGCACTTTTGCGCGGAGCACCTCTTCCGCACCATCACAGACCCCACGCCCATTGGCGATGTGGCCCGCTCGCCTACCTACGCGCCCGCCGTGCATCCGTTCTGGTCCGACCCAGCCTCGACCGAACCGCCCAAACTGGCGCCCACGACCGGCTGGACCTGGATTCGCCCAGGCCGCGCACAGGGCCGCCTCTTCGGCGGCTGCGTGACTGTCATGGCACGCCTCGGCGGCGTTCAGGCCGTCGTGCCCGACTGGACGGGCCGCATCGTCTTCATCGAGACACAGGTGGCGGACGACATGGTGTCGGGTCTCCCCCTCAACCGCGTCCGTGCCGGTCTGGCCGATCTGGTTGCCCAGGGCGTCTTTGACGCGGCCGCCGGTGTAGTTGTCGGCCGGCCCTTTGGCTACGACACGGAAGAGCAGCGCGCCGCCTACATTGGTGTTCTCCGCGGCCATCTGTGCGAGGGCCGCTTTGCCGACGCGACGTTCCCGATTCTGTTCAACGTCGACATCGGCCACACCGTGCCCATGGTCACCTTGCCCTACGACGCCTTGGCCGAGCTGGACTCGGCCAAGGACCGCTTTGCTATTTTGGAGTCGGCGGTTCGTTGATCCTAGTTGGATAGTGTATTAAATATAAAACCTATAGTGCTACACATCCATTTCCGTAAGCTCGTGTCGTAATATGATCCTTCACGGAAGTCAATTTGACGATATGATGATGCACTTGTGTCGAACGTGTCAGTCCAGTGGGCTCCGTACCAATGCTGCCTCACTCGGCACCGAAATCTGCTGCGAGTCCGGGAAGCCCCTACGAGATACAAGTCATTGCAAATAGACCCAGGCTGCAGAAGTAAAGACCATCAGGATCAAATATTCTCGACATGAAAGCCATCGTGAGATATGGATGACGGCCCTGCTCACCACCTCGTTCGACGCAGGATAGCTAGGATTCAGCCTGTGATAAGAAGGAAGCGCGTTTGGTGTTTGCTCATAACGATTGGAGGTTGTCGTATCGTTCAGTTGTTGCTTAGCCGCCGCCATGTATTGCTCTCCAAACAGGTACTATATATTTACTATGCCTGTATCTATAGACCCGATCGCGGGCCCGCCAAGTCGCACGCTGTAGGCATCTGCCGGCAGCTTTAGCCAGTAGGAAGGCGGCGGACAGGCGCCGAGATCACCGTGCCTGCGGGTCGAAACCAGGTCTAGGCGCGTCGGAAACGTATATTACAGGGAACGGGCAATACAGGAGACGATCCGATGGATGGTTCACATGAACGTGACGCTGACAGCGCGTGCCAGATGCGCCGTGTCCGAGAAAGCCTTTTAATCTGTGCACCAGCTGCATGCATCCCACAAAGCACACGTTCGATGCATATGTGCCGTCCTCAACCTATGCTGGTCTGACGATCCTCTGGAATCGGACGTCCATAGGGCAAATTGCATGCAAAAGGAGTAGAGAGTCATGATCCTCCAGAGACAGAGTCATGCTCGGTCTTGCCGGTCAATCTGCGGCAACCATAGTATGTCTTAATCTTCTTTATATCAACACGATCCTACCGGGATAGCAGGACTTTATCTGATGGATTCAAATACAGGAGGCTGTGGCTGGATGCGAGAGCACGGATAATCACCAGTGTTTCCAAAACACACTCTAAACTCTCTGAATAGTCGGTTTGATGTGAATATGAGGGGCCGGCTTGCAACACGCCGTTTACACATTGTCAGCCAATATCGAGGCTGCTATTTTTGTAGGCAGTGCCACGCTTTCCGGTCATCTTCATCCCTCAATCCTCGTTCCTGTTCTGTTTGTTTTGCATCCTTCATGATCTTGGCGGTGCTCGTGGTCCATCATCGCGTATGCCATCTCTGTAGCTATCACCATGACCGATTCGTGGCTCATGCATCTGGCGGTCGACGGAGATGCTCATTTTCTCAAGTCTCACGACGCCGTGATGCACACACAAAAAGTATAAATATGACCGTCGTCTCTCCTTCGAGGGTAGGATATATCTCCCATCATTCCATCCACAGACTCCCACTTGCACTCCCAGGCACCTCTGCAAACAAGACTCCAACCCCACCACAGAACTCTTATAAAAAGCCCAGCTCCAGACCCCTCGTCAGCTCCCGCTCGACCGAATCCGCAAACATGTTCTACAGCGTCTTGTTCGCCATGCTTTTGAGCTCCATCCGCGCGGTGGAGGGCACGCCCACCTACCAGGAGGAGTACCGCGTCGCCAGCTACGTACCCAAGTACTACAACTCGTGGCGCGGCATCCAGGTCATTGCCCCCGACACACCCTACGTGGCGGCCTCGGGCCCGGACAGCCTCTACTTCATCGACACCCGCTTCGACAACGACACGGCTGCCCACATCAAGGAGCAGATCGAGTGGGCCATGCTCCCCAACCCGGACGAGCACTTCTTCATTGACGAGGTGGCCGCCACCGCCTTTGTGCGCAACTCCGCCACCAAGGAGGTCGTCTTCACCTTCGACCCGCCCTTTGCGCGCGTCTTCTTCGCCCGCTTCATGAACAAGCAGAACCCCAGCCTGCAGCTGCCCGAGCACGAGGACGGCGGCGAGTGGGTCGTCAAGTACAACCTCGGCGGCAACCTGTACAAGGAGCGCAGCATCCAGGCCTGCTCCGACCACGGCTGCAACACCGCCTCCGACTGCACGCCGCACAACTGCGACTCGTGCCACGTGGCCCGCGTCGACAACGAGTGCGAGCACCCGACCGTCAACGCCGTCGGCTCCTGCAAGAAGACCAACAAGAAGAAGTGCCCCAAGACCTTTGACGACCCGGCTCGCGCATCGGGCGAGACGGACGCCGCCTACTACGCCCGCCTCGATGCCCTGCACTGGGGCGCCGAGGAGTAAGAGGACCCATCCCAACTCGGACGACCCTAACGAAAGTCGTATCTCGTAGAATCTGCAACGTCAATCCCACGCAGAGTCTCGACTGGGATCCAGTAGAATACAAGGTCAAAAGAGGGGCGATGCTCTCCAGCTCTTGCCATTGCCTCGATGCCAGAGTGGAAGACGGAGACGGGGTGGCGATGGGGCAACCCATTGGTGGGATGGTTTGAGTGCTATCAACTAGCAAAGGATTCTTCACTTTACCAAATCAAATTGTTTCAACACATAAAACCACATAAGCACCAATTTCAACCGGAATAATATAGACAAATACTACTTTATTCTTCGACGGCGGCATTGCGACCTGCGAGCTGGCTGCATCATAAATAACGTAGAAGCATTGGCAAAAGCTTGTTCTGACATAGATGGGAACATTCGCTGTTGTTGATGGAAAGGATTTACCCGTGCCGCAGAATTGATGACAGCTAGGAAATACTACAGCGGGACGTGTGCCGTTCACGACTCGAACAGTTGCCGGGACATCGAGCGGAAGTGCCTAGTACTGCGAACACGGTGATTTAGCCTTATGATGACTCTTGGACTGGCTGGATGTACTGACCGTCTTGACTGCCCTCATGGCCCTCGTCGGCAAGAACGGTCAGACGCTGTCGATCTGCCCGACGCTGTTCGGAGGCATCTGTGGCGGTGTTGTCGGACATTGGCGCTTCGCAGGTCTTCTACACCTCCATGCGCGCCGCCACCGGCCCCATCATCCTCTCCATCCATGTCTCCGTGTGTTCGTCTCGGCTGCCCGTCTTTGTCGACTGCGACATCACGGCCGCTGCCGCGTCAACGGGCCTGCTCACCAGCAGCCTGCTGGATCACTTCGCGGCGCTGCCCAACAGCACCACGACAACACTGGATGCCGTCCCCGGCATGAACAGCACCATCTTCGAGTAAAGGATAGACTAGCTTGTCTTATTTCAGGGATACCAAAGTGGAAATCTTTCGTTTACAGCCCCCTTTTCGTGGTTATGTAAGAACTCACGACTCGCTGCTTCCGGATCGTCGTCTCTGCTACTTTGGGAAAGAGCCTCCCATTTACCAAAAAGCCGTAGTTTGGGAAAGAGACACAATGGCCATCGGGTTGATCCTTCCCGTTTTGTTGTTGTTCCATCACGTCGAGTAGCGTCCATCGAAGCAACACAGATAAACAATGGAGACGACGAAATGGGGCCGCGTCTTTTTGTCTATCTTCATCGCCTCCCTCCAGGCCATATCCATACCAACCACAACCGAATCGCCGATCTTGCAGTCTTGGAAAGCCTAATGGCCTGAGACACAGAGTCGTTTCTTGGAGAATTGGACGTTTACTATTGTTTATTTTAGCATTGACTTTTCCCGCATGTCTTTATTTTCTTTTGTTTTTTTCTGCCTTTGAGATCGGTTTGTCTTTCTTTTTCCATCGTCTTTTTGAACCTACAGTCTGGCATCACCGTCTACCACATCATCCCTCCCACTCGAAATTCGATCACTAGCATGATGCAGCCTGTTGAGCCAGAGAGTGCATATGCATCTCCTGGCTACGTCCGTCAATTTCGTTCCCCTCCTGCGGCATATGAGGTCCGCGGCTGGGAACAGGTCTACGTTGAGGGAGCCAGCGGCCGCCGCGACTCATTGCCACACCAGAATTCACCAACCACACATGATCCTGTGAGAATCCCAGAGATACAGTCGCCCGCGCTTGAGATGGCGGGAATAATGGACGGAGCACTCTCAGGGCCGGACAGCGATACCGTCAACACACTGGCTGCTTCCCTGATGATCTCGACTGCAGTCTCTCCTACTGTCAGCGCATCGGAGACGCTCGTGGACGCCAGCGAGCACCGCTCTCGCACCCAGTACACCAGTCTCTACGACGACAAAAAGCAGTGGCTCAAGGCCAAGACAGCTGTCTACGTCGAGAATCTGGCAGCCCGCGCCCACACCCTCCGCACCTACTACAAGGCCATCATCTGGTCTCTGCTGCTGATGTTGCCGGTGATCTTGGTCGGCTACGCCCAGAACCTTGCCGTCTCGCTGCTGGCGCAGCCCCAGTTTGAAGAACGGTTCTCGGGTGACGAGGACGACTTTGGAGCCGCCTGGATGCTGGCCGTGCAGATGTGTTCTGTGGGCAGCTCCATGCTCGGCGGCCTGTTGGTTGGCTAGCTGTCGTCACAGTTTTCCGTCCGCCACATTTTGGCCACGTCGCTCATGCTCTTCCTCGGCTGCACCTTCATCAACTTCTGGGCACCGTCCATGGTCGTCATTTTGGTCGGCACGCTGCTTCAGGGCCTCTGCTCTGGAGGCTTCGGCACGCTGGCCAGCACATACATCTCCGACGTGTGCACGCCGACCATCAGCAACGTGCTGACCGGCATGATCAGCTGCTGCTGGATCGTGGGCCAGCTGGCCTCCTACGGCGTCCTTTGGCTCATGGTAGACGTCGAGGGCGCCGGCGCATACCGCATTCCTATGGCGCTCCAATGGGTCATTCCCGTGCCCATTGCCATTGCCTGTCTCGCGGCTCCGTCGTCTCCATGGTGCCATGTCCGTCGCGGCAACACGGCGGATGCCTTGCACGCACTGGAGCGCCTCACATGCTCGCCCGATCGACGGCGGTCCCGCTTTGGCATCCATCCCACCGACCCAGCGGTCCTTCGGCTGGCCGAGATCCAGGCCGTGGTGGCCTTGGAGACGACACAACTGACGGACAAGATTGAGTTTCGTGAATGCTTTCGCAAGTCAAACCGGCGGCGCACAGAGATTGCCGTCATGGTCAATGTTGGACAGATCGTGGTCGGTTTCGCCATTGCCAGTCAGCTTGTCAACTTCATGCGCCTGGCCGGCCTCAAGAGCGACGATTCCATCAAGATGGCATTCTGTAAGACCCGTCCCACCCGCGGCCGGACTCATACTTTTGCGTTGAACATTTCACCCCTCTAACAGAACAGTCAATGCCATCATCCTGCTTTTGGGCAGCATATGCTACTTTATCTTCTACACCCGCCTGTCGACGCGGACCATGTATTTGGGCGGCCTGGTTTGCATATGGCCAGTCCTGTCCATGATTGGGATTCTGGATATCCTGAAACGCCGCTCCGTGATCAAATACCAAGGAGGCTCCTAGGGACAAGCCGTTCTTCTCTTTGGTTGGTCATTTCTCTACGGCGCGACCGTCGGTCCGTCCACCAACACAATTGTCTGCGATGTGAGCTCGGCCGCGCTGCGCACCAAGACCCTCTCGTTGTCGCGAATGGCCAACGACATGGGCAGCCTGATGCAATCAGCCGCCGGGCCCTACATGCTGGGTCATGACAAGGGCAACCTCCAGGGCCTAACAGCGTTTCCAGCCGTGGGCCTCATCTCCATTTGGATCATCTGGGCCAGCGTGCGGCTGCCCGAAATGAAGAACATTCCCCAGGCTGTGGCAGACGTTCTGTTTGCCCGCCGCATTCCGGCTCGCCGGTTCCAGCGTGAGGCCAATCGGTTGCAGGTCATGGACGGTCAAGTCGTGGACGGCCAGGTGGACGCCGTGACAGGCGTGGGCGGCCCAGGCGTTGTGGTCGAGGTGGCAAACGACGCTGCTCTTGTGGTGTAGACGTGCTGTTCTGCTTTGACGGTTTTGATGTTTTGATGTTTTGATTGTTTGCGTTTTGTGTCTGATCTGGTCGATATCATTATTACCACAGCATGTTTACGATGCATAAATGTACAGTTTGGCGTTGTGGGCTAGCTGACAGCGGAGATGTAATCCGAACGTCCGGTGCTCACGCGCTTTTACGCGCAGTGTCTATTCGGTACAGATTTTCTCTCTTTTTTGCACTATTACAGCTTCATCGCGTTCACCGGCAAAAAATGTCTTGTTCTCAGTTTCCTTTTTCTGTTCTTACGCCCTAGTCCATTGTCGATTCCTACCTCCGTCGTTGAAGCAGATGTGACACGAGTCATGCATTTCTGTCGTAACAGCATTTCAATGGTGCGGGTGTCTCTTGGCCGTTTATTTTGCGATGCCATATGCTCTTCCTTTTCCCCATCCCCCTATATTGATTTTCAACTTTGAATTCGATCATTTATTTTTGCTTTTCCTCGTTTTCCCCGTTCCCCTTGTTTCCTTCTTTGGCCCTTTCTGCTTTGTTGGAGCAGTGCCGCGCAGTGTTTCGCCTGTCTGTCCTTGCTCAGACGCCAGAGAGATACAGGAGGCGTCGATCTCGCAAATCCGTAACACTGAATTACCCTTCCCGCTCACAACATGGTGCAGACGAAAGGGAGAAAGTTCAGCCGGTTTGCGGACGTTAGAATGATGGTCTTCTCACCATTGAGCGAAACAGGAGACTGCTGTCTTTGTCTTTGACAAGTAAAATCACCCATGCATCTTTCAGCGAGTTACGGTCGGCCACCTCGCTCCTTGTTGCCGACATTATGCCTGCCAGTCCTTTTTGAGATGATCATCTCGCCGTCTTTATTTTCCACTGACGTTATTTATCGCTTTTTTGGGTTTCTCTTTCTACTCCCCTTTCCCACGGCTCTGCATATGCACCTTTTCTCCCTCCTTGGCATTGCCGTTGTGCAGGCGCAGTCACTCACGCTACAGGCGCCGGTTGCTGCGATCGACAGCGCCGGCCATCATCCCCAACCTCAAAACGGGCACACCAGGTCGTCGTGCTGGGCATCGTCTTGGCACGCGTCGGCTATTCGTGGACGACTGCCTCCCAAGACGACGAGGCATGCTGTGCTTCCGGATGGCGTCACCGGCTGGCATCCGCGCAAGCTCGACTATCGCGCGTTGGCGGTGGTTGCTGAGCTGCAGCCAGGCCGTTTGCTTCTCGTGACACATTCAGACTTTGAGACGGACGAGGACACCACAGCATGGCCCGTCCTAGCCAAAATGGTCGACACAGACGGCTCGGTCGGCGGCAGAGACGCCTTGCTGCGTGATCTTGCGCGGGAGGTGACCATCTACCAGCGCCTCGACGGTACGGGAATCACACCAACGTTTCTTGGGCATGTTGTCGACGACACCGGTCGCCCCGCTGGCTTTCTTGTCGAGTACGCTCCCCAGGACCCCGAGGCACGCCGCAACCCAGACAGGATGCGCGCCTGCCTGGACGTTCTCCGCAGGCTGCATGGGCACAACATTGCCCACAACGACGCCCACGACGGGAACTGTCTTTTACGAAACCACGGCGACGGCAGGACAACGGCTCTCCTAGTCGATTTCGAGCTGGCTGAGGAGGCGGCGTCGGAGGCGGCGTCGGAGGCGGCCAAGGCCCGCGATGTCAGCGTCATGGACCGCTGCATCCGGGGCATCGCATATACAGCAGGGCAGAAAGACGGGCGGCAGAATGAGCCTTCCCATGTACGCTATTGAATTTTTATAATGACTGCCAGTGCCTTATCTTGTGACTCGCTTTTGAAACATCCGTCTGTAAGTCGCCACCTCGAGCTTGGTAAGACGGCTCAGTATCGTATGGTCCATGGCTTTCAAGCCCATAATGTTCGATGCAGCGCCAAAAACGTCCGGTGAGCGTTCCACGACCAGCAAGAACACGCGACAGCCCACTTCTGTCGCATTGTGAGCAAGATTTGCCGACGCGGTCGACGCTGCAGTGCATCATCGTTGCTGCCGGTCTTCCACCTCGGCTTGACTTTTCAAGCGGCACCTGAAACGAGTCCGATGTTTGTGTTGGTTTGCGGTACGCCGTTCTCCAGGAGGGTCTTTTTATGGCTTTTTATGGCTTTTTTCGTCCTTTTGTGTTCAGGCAGCGACAACAGGGGGTGGTTTGCGGCGGATCGACAGATCTGAGGCAGATGCTGCTCGGCGCCAAAATGCACGGCCCCCTCTGCCGCTCCAAAGCGCGCCCTCATCGTGCAGCAAAAACAGTAGCCCAAAACAAGCGACGTCGTCAACGAGTCAAAAAAAACGTCCAAAAAGTCCCATCCACCGGACGAAAAAGCAGATCTGCTGCACATAGGCTGTTTGAGGCTTGGCAAGACCTCCTGTCCTTGGGCCTCCTTGCTACGCCGCATTTTCCGCGTGCCACCGCAGAGACCGCGTCAGACGCCATGCGAGTCATGGCATGGGCTTGCCGGCGTCGCACACCCGCGCCCCTGCAAACCCGTATTTCCTGGGAGAAGACAAGATGTCAGAAGACAACAGACGACACCAGACGAAACAAGCGGCAAGACACTGGCCAAGGCGCACAGTACGCAGGGATGGATTTCAGGATTTTTCGGATTTCAGGCTGGGCGATCGAACACAACAATGAGCTTGCTTGTGGCTCCGCGGGGATGCTCTTGATGCTCTTGATGCGTCTCTCGTCTCCTGTTTTCAGCAATGTCACATAGCGACCATGCAGAACGTGGTGCAGCCGGCCATGGAATGATGTCCTAAGAGCCGCCTCAGATAGATTGCGCGTCGCGGCAAACACCGAACAATAAAACGTAGATTCACAGAATGTATATATAAAGTGCCTCTCCTCTACCCGTCTCCGAAACTCTTGTTTTTCTATTCTGCTCATCACAAATCATACTCGGTCTTTTCCTCTACTTTATATTCTGCCTTCGTTTCTTCTTCTGTCTGTGACAGTTTTCTCGACCCGGCGTCGTCTATTTTACTTGTACTTTACCACTCTCTTTTTCTTTTCGTTTTTTATTTCAAACGATTCTTTTCAAACCGTCAATATGGTTCGCATCACTTTCGCTGCTGCTCTGGCTTGTACGTATTTTGGCCTTCTTCTGCCGTTGTCCCCCTTCCCTGTATCCGTTCCTCCTTTCGGTTGTTTGGACAATACTAACACGACTGCTTCGTAGTCGCCGTCTCTGCCATGGCCCTCGCCCCCAACAACTCCGGCGCTGCCGATGTCGGCAACGGCAAGGGTCAGCAGTTCACCACGGGCGGCTGCGTCGCCAACGCCGACTGCCGCAGCGCCTGCTGCGCCGAGATCAGCGGCAGCGGCCTCGGCATCTGCTCGGCCGAGGGCGCCCAGTTCCAGAACGGCAAGCTCGGCTGCGGCTTCACCGACCCCAACTCGGCGGCCACCATTGCGGCGGCCAAGGCCCAGGTTGCCAAGCAGGGCTTTTAAACACGTCCGCTACCTTGTGTCTATGTCCCGTCCCTAGTCCGGCCATCCAACGTCTCCCAACATCATAACATACCATTTGTTCGTTGTTCGCAATGCATATGTCCGCCTAGCGTTTGCTTTGCTTTTTTTTAGAGAGAAAAAAATTCAACCAACACAACAAGAGCCTTGTTGACTCCTAATTGCCCTCGCCTAAGAATGTTCCCGTCCGCTCCTTGTCCAAATATGTGACCGTGATGATGTGTTGTCTCGTTTCCGTGTGGTACGTACGCATCCTATGAGATATACGGATTGCGTCCTCGGCGTGATGAAGTACAAGGTGGTTTTGTATATGACACATAATATTGAATTATTTTAATTATTTTATATTTATTTCTCAATTAATTAGGTTTCCATTTTACCCATCTGAAAACCAAATACAATATAATAAACTATTTCAACAATAACTACCATCAACAAAAGCTTTTAAAAAGACTTCGGCAGGGACATCCACCACCACTGCTTTCAAAACAACGTATTGTGCCACACTGTGACTGACATACCGTACATGTTGTCAGCAGTGCAACAGATTGTTGGACGTTGGAGTTAAATGGCACCCGGCAATACGGATGTATCGCTGAATCTCAGGGACTTACAGCGGATTCAGCCCTAACTTTTTTGCCTGGAGTGGCGTCCAGTACAGTCTTGTAAGTTAACGAATATCACGACGACGGGAAATAATTCGAAGCAGAAACAGGCAAAGAAAGACACCATAGGCCGTTTGTTTCTCATCCTTCAATTGCATTTTATGTACTCGACAACGTGGGGGTTTGGTGCCTCCGGAACGGCGCACTGCAGGCAACGCTTGACGTACAGCACGCCATCGGCGGCCGCTATGAGGTGGACCTGCGGAATTAGCCGCTGCAGCCGAGGCGAGACGCTGGCGGAGCAGGCACGGTCTGCTTTGAAATGCAAATTGGGCGATGGAGCTCACTCCGGTCGGGCGTCGTTTTCTCGCCCACAACAAGACTTTTTTTGCTGCTGGCGCTTTGATTGAAACCGTTTTTGTGGTCTCAGTCGCGTTTCTCTTCTTCACACATCCTTATCGAGCGAACCATGGCACAACAGAGCATACAGGCGCCGGCGCCCGCGCGCGTCGACGAAGAAACGCCGTTGCTCGGCCCCGAAACCGGCGACGGCGCGATACGACCCGATGTTAATGGCAGCAGCAGCGACGACGACAGCCCGGCCAAGGACGACGATGTCGTCGGCAGCTCAGAGGACACGCCACGCCGGCCGACCAGCTGGTACGTGGGGCGCGCGGTCTGGACGTTGCTGGCGGCACTGGTCCTGTTTGTTTTCATCAAGGGCTGGATCGATGCCGGCGGCGACGTCGACTTTGACCTCAAGGACGCGCTCAAAAAGGCCCTGGGAAGCGGCGTCAGCGGCGCGGCGGCCATGGTGCTGCAGGTGCTGCTGCTGATGCCGCTGCGGACGATCATGAACTACCAGTACCGTTTTGGGCACTCGTTTAGCGAGGCCACGGCCATTCTGTACCGCGAGCGCGGCGTCAGCCGCTACTACGACGGCCTGGGGGCGGCGCTCGTGCAGGGCCCCATCTCGCGCTTTGGCGACACGGCCGCCAACGCCGGCATCCTGGCGCTGCTGCACTCCAACTCGTACCTCAAGGACCTGCCCTCGCTGATCCAGACCGTCTTTGTCTCGCTGTGCGCCGCCGCGTTTCGCATCGTCCTCACGCCCATCGACACGGTCAAGACCACCCTCCAGGCCCAGGGCCCGCGCGGCACCGCTCTCTTGCGCCAGCGCATCAAGACCAACGGCCTCGGCAGTCTCTGGTGGGGTGCGCTCGCGACGGCCGCGGCCACGTTTGCCGGCAACTACCCCTGGTTCGCCACGTACAACCTGCTGACCGCCTGGATCCCCGAGCCCGCGCGCCACCCGCTGGCCGTCTGGCTGCTGCGGCTGGCCGTCATCGGCTTTGTGGCCTCGGCCGTCTCCGACACCGTGTCCAACTCGCTGCGCGTCGTCAAGACGTACCGCCAGGTCAACGACACCAAGGTGTCGTACCTGGAGGCGGCGGCGCTGGTGGTGCAGGCGGACGGGCTGATCGGCCTGTTTGGCCGCGGGCTCAAGACACGCATTCTCTGCAACGGTCTGCAGGGTCTCTTGTTTTCCATTCTGTGGAAGCTGTTTTTGGACCTGTACGTGGAGGGACGAGGCAGCTCGTCCTCGTGATGCTCTTGTTTGCTGACCACCCGTTTCATCGTTTGTCATGTTTTGCACATCACTCATACTAACACTCTCTCATAGGTGGGACAAGAAGACTGGGTTGTAGGATCCGTGACGATGCAGATGACGACTCGGGACCAAAAGAAAAGACTTGGAAGCAAGGGAGAGTGCACATCGCGTCCTGACACGCCGGACTGAAGAGAGAGAAAGACACCAAGAGCAGCAAGATTGACACAAGGCAAGATAGAGCAAGACATGCAGCCCATGCAGCCCATGCAGCCATGCCGGCGCGTGGCCGGAATGGCCGTGGAAGGCGCACGTCGAAGCAAACTGTCGTTTGGAAGCGAGACATGCGTAGAGGAGCGCCAAGAGGCTACGAGGGGTTGACGCAGTGTTGGGTCTGGACCTTGACAGGAGTTGGAAACCGGTGGAATGACTTTACGAACTTTGCGTTTGCGTTACGACATATGGCACACTGAATAGAAGAAAGCAAGACGGTTCATTGCTTTTTCCTTGTTCGATGACACATCGACCGTAGCGCTCTGCACTTTGTAGGCACAATGCGACGGTGTTGTTCCGCGCGCCGGCGGACGGAACTGCAGCCGACATGCAACTGGACGGCTATGCGAAGCAAGGGGAATCCTATGCGAGGCTAATATGTGAGGCCAATATGCGAGGCCAATATGCGAGGCCAATATGCGAGGCTAAGAAAGCCAGAAAGTGCATCTAGACTTGGGTTGGACCGGCCCCCGCAGTGCGTGTGAGACAAGGCATGCAGTCTATCGAAAAGAAGTCTGTTGACAAGAGCCAGAACCAGAAGAAAAATGAAACAGAAAAGAAAGAAAAGCTCAACTGGGCACTGCATCCCTTGACGGGTGGACCGTTTGCTGTGGGGAGGGGCTTCCTATTGGAAGCAAAGTCGTTGTTGAAATAAAAGAAAGCAAATATGATGGAGTGAGAACAAATGAACACAAAATGACGTAAAATAAGGTAGAAACGCATGTTGTAAGACGCAAAAAGAGGGTCGGCCATGATAGTGCAAAGTGCGGAGTGAGGTCGCACTGGCAATGTGAGGGATGGGAACAGGAGTCGAAGAGGCGAGGACAGGCCAAGGGCTCTAGGCTCTAGACTCTAGGCTCTAGGCTCTAGGCTCTGGGGGAGCAGGAAGTCGGTGCCAGATATGTAGGCGGGGGGCGGCAGTGCCATGTCCGGGACGGGCAGCCTTTATTTTATTATTATTATTTTTTATATTTCTGTTCTTTTTTATTTTTGTTCTTGTTATTTTATTTTTTCTCTCTTCTCATGCACTTCCTACATTTCTTTCGTTTCTTGCTGTCGCCGTCCCACACAAGCAAGAAACTACGAAAAGAAGTTGCCGATCATCCTTGCAGGGTGCAATTCGGCCACGATCCGAGGCGGGACCCATGATCTGCGACCGTTGCACTGACTGGGGGGTAGCAAAAGCTGACAGGGAACAGGATGGCATTTGACACCGGCTTGACATACAAAGTATATCAAAAGCGACGGTAGATATAGAAAGACATTGCCAAACATCCATCGTTTTTCGGAGAATACAATGATAGGGGATATTGCCGCGAGGCATCACAAGGCGCTGGCAGACTTGGCCTGTATTTGGAAGCTGGGATGCAAAGATGGTACGATTTCAGAATGTGAAATGATGTGGAGGAAGAGGAGAGCGACTGGAAAAGAAATATGGACACTGCCAGTGTGCTAGAAATTCGGGGGATCGGTGTAGATGACCAAATGGCCGGCGAAAGCATGCGGCAGCAAAGTTCAAGCAAGAAAAGGAGCCACAGACTAGACAAAGACACAGCAGACAGAGTCGGAAACGGCACACTTGAACACACATGAACACACGTAGAAAGTCGATAAAGTCACACAACGGAAACGCAACAAATATGGGTGGGTTGCTAGTTGACAATCGACCCGTCGCGCGAAAGGAGGGCACGCTGCCAACGAGGCAAGCTTGCTGCAAGGGATGTGGTCGTCTGAGACATCTGGTCTGAAGCCACTCTA